TTTCAAGTATTATCTATCGGTGTTAGCGAAATGGTTATTTTTTCACTAAACTCTCATCAAAGTCAGGAAAAGTAAGGATACGTCGATAACATCAACGACAACGTGTAAAAACATTAGAACCATGGCAAGTGCGGTATTTAAAATAGGATATTCACCTTTAGATGTGCCTTGGACCCTAATTATTTGTACCTTTAACATTACGTTAACTAATTGTGTGTATATGTGTGTAATTGTAAATGCGGTGGGTAGTGATTGCAGTGTAGATTCCTCGTCCATTGACTTTTATGAGATTCACATTTTCTTGACCTTTCTTGAAGAGTAAGTGAGTATGGTTTTACGCCGCTTTTAGCAATATTTCAGCAAAATACGTGTAGGATACTAGAAATAGGATTCAAACATTGTACCCACATGAGGAATCGAACACCGACGAGTTTTTGGCATGACGAGCAAACGCTCTAACCACTAGGCTACCCAAGCGACCTTTCTTGATGAAAGGTGATTGATCAACACATGGCGGTTTAGGGAAAAGAAGGAATATTGAAAATAACTACCAAAAAATGGTAAATGCACAAATTATTGCAGGTTTTTGGAAACGGAAATAGAGTCAAATCCCTGGCAAGGCCAAGCGCCTCTGGCTGCCATGGTCTTAGCTCAGTATACCCAGGCGTAGTGACATAGGTGAGCAGGTGTTATATTGCTGACCAACGCGTTATTGAGACAGCACTTACTCCACAGTAAGCCACTTACACATCAGTAAGCGATAATTTGGCTTAGGGACCGTTGATAATTTATTGCTGGTGTGTGTGTGTGTGTGTGTGTGAGAGAGGGAGAGAGAAAGAGAGAGAGAGATATGGTGATGATGACGTTGATGATGATTTTAGGGGGGTCACCCATTTTGTTCTAGGGAGGTAGGGGGGTCAGCAATTTTGTACTCATGTACTTTGTACTTATAAAATATACAAAAATTATGTTTGAAAATTATAGGGGTTGAGGGGGGTCATTCATTTTGTACATGACATGCAGGGGGTCACTTACTTTGTAAATATATTACTATATATATATATATTTTTTTTTTTTGGGGGGGGGTCATTCACATAGTAACGTCTGACGTTATCCACGCACATAGGCTTGGCGCTAAGCGGGTTAATGCTACCAAACCTCGTCCAATGATTGTAAAGCTGCACCTGTCTGACGATAAGGTGCTTGGGACTTGGTATCTCGAGTGACCTAACGTCACGTCAACGTCAGCAACTTCAGGCTTTGAAGGGGACAAACATGTACGGCTATTTCAAGGATGGCCAGCTGGTGACAGTACCTCGTTCAACCAGTGGAGCTACCGGATTCATCAACGTACGGGATACCAGAGTTCTCACCCAAACAAGGAAACGGCAAGCGAGGTCGAAATCAACCCTGCCGTAGGAATCTGGCCGAGGCCGGGTCGTATCTCACAGGGTACTGCTGACAATGACACCGGCGTTACACCCACTGAACACCGCTTGCGCAACGAAATTCTCTCATTTCTGTATTGGAATATAAACAGCCTTCGTAATAAATCAGGAGATGATGACTTTATAGATTATATTAGAACATTTAAGAGTATTTGCCTTCTCGAAACCTTTGTTGACTCTAATTGCAACATGAATTGGTTGTCTGATTACAAAGTTTTTTTCCAGCTCAGCTGTGAAACTGTCTGATTATGGCAGACTTTCGGGAGGTGTGTGCGTGTGAGTGAGTGAGTTCAGTTTTACGCCGCACTCAGCAATATTCCAGCTATATGGCGGCCGTCTGTAAATAATCGAGTCTGGACCAGACAATTCAGTGATCAACAGCATGAGCATCGATCTGCGCAATTGGGAACCGATGACATGTGTCAACCAAGACAGCGAGCCTGACCACCCGATCCCGTTAGTCGCCTTTTACGACAAGCATAGTCGCCTTTTGTGGCAAGCATGGGTTGCTGAAGACCTATTCTACCCCGGATCTTCACGGGTCGTATACATCAGTCTATTAGCAAGTTTTGTAAGTTCATAACTACAGATATCGACAATTTGATATGTATACACATGTCAAAAGATTTATTTGCTATTGATAAGCATGTTAATTTGATATATGCACATATATACCACCCGAAGCCTCTCCTTATTACAACCATGTTGATACTAATTGTAGTCCAGATAAACTTAAGGAATTTTATTAGATAAACAATCGGAACTTAGTGATTCACATATTGTTTTGTGTGGTGATCTAAATTCCCGAACTGGTAATGCAAATAACTATTGCTGCGCAATATAACCGGTTTACCGGTATTTACCGGTTCGAGACATGACTATAGACAGTCCTATTGCAGAACAGGAAATATTAGAAGCGATCAATCATCTTAAAAATGGGAAGGCTGCTGGACCTGACGTTAACATAGTAGAAATGATAAAGTGTTCTAAATTCGAAATTATGCCGTTCCTTACGAAATGTTTCAATAAGTTGTTTGAACATGGAATTGTCCCCTGCAGTTGGTCAAGCTCTATAATAATTCCACTTCCTAAAAAGGGGGACAGAAACGATCCAGACAATTATCGGGGTATATCATTAAAGAGTATCTTGGGGAAAGTATTTACTTTGATATTGAACAATAGACTATCAAACTGGGCGAATATGCGTGATAAGATTCCTGAATCCCAGGCAGGATTTAGAAAGGGATATTCTACCACGGATCATATATTTACTCTGTATGCACTAGTCCAAAAATCACTGTCAAAAAGAAAACATAAGTTGTACATAGCATTTGTAGTATTAAAGAGGCATTCGATTCGGTCAATCGTTTTAAATTATGGCAGTGTTTACGCAAGGCAGGTTTACAAGGGAAAATGGTGAGCATTCTGAAATCAATGTATTCTAACGTTCGATCTTGTGTGCGTTGCAAAGCCGGGATTACAGATCTTTTCTGTTGTCCACTTGGTTTAAGGACCGCCTCCGTGGTGTAGTGGTTAGAGCGTCCGCCCGGAGAGCAGAAGGTCGCGGGTTCGATCCCCGACCGCGTCATACCAAAAGACGTTAAAATATGGTACTTGTTGGTCCCTGCCTGGCGCTCGACATTAATGGGTACAACAAGGACTGGTCGGCTCGGAGTAAGTATAATGTGTGTGAGTGGGGTATCCATGCTTCACTGCGGCATGGTATCTCAGTGGGCTGGCACTATAAACCCAGCTTAAGTCTGGGCTAGTACAAGCAGCCACACATACACACACACACACGCATGCACGTCGTCATATGAGCGAAATATTCTCAAGCACGACGTTAAATCCAATTTCACCTCACCTCACCTCACTTGGTTTAAGACAAGGTTGCTGCTTAAGTCCACTCCTAGTTTCCTTCTTCATTAGTGAATTATATCACGATATCAACTTAGGTGGAAAACATGGAATCCAAATGTACGCAGATCTTGTAGCAGTCCTAATGCTCCGTTTTGCTGACGACGTTATTTTAGTGTCGGATACTGTGGTCGGTTTACAAAATCAATTAAATATCTTAGAAAGCTATACTAAAGAATGGAATTTGGCGGTTAATTTAAGCAAAACAGAAATTAAGACAGGAATTAAGACAGAAATATATACCACACCATTATGCATATATATCTTTGTTACAAACTAATAATGAAAATATTCTTGTTCAATTGTCTTTGTATATAAAGCATGCATTAACAAAAAGAGATCTTCTTATAAAAAGAATTGTATACCCTTAAATATATATGTAAATATCCAAAATATTCCTTTATCACTGTAACTCTCATGTATATGGGCCGGAGGCCTTTCATACAATAAACAACTTTTGACTTTGACTACATGCTTCTCCATACAAATCATCACAGACACACACACACAGACACAGACACACACAGAGAGAGAGAGACACACACACAGACACACACACACACATAGCCATAAATAATGAACGGCCCCTTTTGTGATCGTGGACCAGGCAAACCAACGGTCAAGAGCATGAGCACAGACCCACACTGTGAGCGTATGACGACACATACATAAACCAGTCCTTGTAACAACCCAACCACAAGACGTTGAATCAGGTCTGCTAACACGTTCCGAAAAGTTATGTATATATGAAACATACTAAACGGGGATGCCATTCTTACATCACCGAGTAATGGGGATCTGTTCTGAAAACACTTGGTAATGTTGATATATTCAGACAACACGAAGCTGAGTAAAAGGAATATATTCTGACACCACTGACTAATTAGGATTTATTCTAACAAACAGTGCTATGTAGGGATTACTTCTGATCTATTCTAAGAGCACAAAATAATGGCGATCTATTCTGACAAGCACTGGGTGATGGGGATCTATTCTCGAAAGCGCTGGTTAATGAAGATCTCTTCTGACAAGCACTGAGAAATGAAGATCTCTTCTGACAAGCACTGAGTAATGAAGATCTCTTCTGACAAGCACTGAGTAATGAAGATCTCTTCTGACAAGCACTGAGTAATGAAGATCTATTCTGACAAGCACTGAGTAATGAAGATCTATTCTGACAAGCACTGTGTAATGAAAATCTGTTCTGCCAAACACTGAATAATTATTTGTCAGAGTTCTACCTGCGGACTGCCAATACCTCAGTAATTTAAATACTACGACAACAACATGAGCACTTACTTAACTCAGCCTATTCCGATGTTACCGGTACATTAATCATTGTTACTTGCCAACACCATCAACAAGACCTCTATATTGAACAACCCATGCTTGTCGTAAGAGGCGACTAACGGGATCGGGTGGTCAGGCTCGCTGACTTGGTTGACCCATGTCATCGGTTCCCAATTGTGCAGATCGATGCTCAGGCTGTTGATCACTGGACTGTCTGGTCCGGACTCGATTATTTACAGAATGCCGCCATATAGCTGAAATATCGCTGAGTGCGGTGTTAAGCAACATCCAACCAAACCAAATCTATATCGAAAGAATACTATGGCACCTCATGCCGTGTGTCAGAAGGAGTTCAACCTGAGAGTAACCCACTCCATTCTGTCACCATATTCTCAACCATCGCCGTAGTCACTGACTCCGCTACTATCGCTATCGTCACCAACTCTGCCACCATCACCTACATCGCCACAATCGCCGCCACCGTCACCAACTCTGCCACTATCGCCGCCGTCACCTTCTACGCCACGATCGCCGCCGCTGTCACCTACTCCGCCTCCGTCGTCATATACAGTGAGTATGGTCGATACCATCATCCAAAACTTATATGCTGAATATGTCTCGTGTTTCAAAGTCGTTGTGAAAGGGACAGATAGGGGAGGCAAGACGCTAACGGACACCGAGCTGGTTTTGTTCCTCTGTGAAGGTAATGTAATATCTCGTACTTTAGTTTCAATGCTCTTCGTTTTTTATTTGGTTATTTGAATAAAAAATTATACTATGTAAGAAAATCCGTGGCATAAAGACTGACCTATGGACTGACTAAAACTGTACGAGGAATGAATGTCGGAAATGTAAATGAATTAATTTATTTAAAATGTAACATGAATAAAAATCGAAAGTGTTGCTGTCCTCTGAAGAAATTGCTTTGAAAGAGCAGATTGATATATATAGGAATATATATTTCTGAAAATCTTGTCAGTTGCATGTGAAAACGACAATAAATCAGAAATACATTTAGAACACGAACTTTGAAATAGCATACGTTTGAGATTATATCCTCACTATATTCCGTATTACACATTAGACAAATTCCACATTTTTGCACTGTGCGTTTCCGGTAAAAACAAACATGGCGGCGCGTTCAAAAGTCCGTCGTGGTGTCGTTTGTTCAAAACAAACTACTGCACTGACACGCTGAAACAAGAGAATACAGTTGATGAGACTTGCGCTATTATTGGTTCGGAATTAAGGAATCGCAATGGTAAGATAGAACTCGATGTGGTTATCCGTTTTCATGCCGCTATGTTATCACACTCACTTAACTCGCGAAACTGAAACTAGTGAAACATTCACCAACATTTACCAAATTACTGTCAGTCACTCTGGGGAGTAGTACAATTTACCGGGATGAATTTTAATCAAGCTAGGCAACACTCAATTATTTCCAGACATCGCCATATTGCTGAGGGCGTTACAAAATAAACAAACAACAAACTGACAACATACACACAGACAGTCGCTCTCAGACATATCTAGACTGTCATTAGTTACAATAAACTGCAGAGGTCTGGGTTCTTTGAAAGGGACAGATTTCCGCCCGTAACCCCGTATTTTTGTTAATCATTATATGCCAAAAAATATACGCCTATGTTTTTTTTAAAACAGCCTATACCTAACCCTAACCCTAAAATCTAACCACAAACCTAACCCTAAACCCTCAAAATAACCTTAATAAATAGAATACATCTCAAGCGGGGGGTACGGGCGGAACTCTTACTGTTGAAAGTATACCAATCACATTTTTGCCTTGTTCATACTCCGTTATTTACCAGCCACTGTCACGTTGCAGGAATAATGTTGAAATTTGGGTGCAGTGTTATACAATAAGTAATAAGCAAACGCACTACCCAATTCACAGTAACAATAACCAGTATTAAATAAGCTGCTTTTTTTTTGTTGTCTTAGCTTAAAAGTTCACAAATGACGACCCCCAGTTTTTTCAATTTCGGATAGTAGTAAGAAACAGTAAATATTGCGAAGAATAAGTTGCTTTGAGAATTCAGTGAAATATTATCAGAAATGTGTATTTATTGTCATTTTCACCGTCAATACCATTTACCATGGTTACATCTTACTATGTTGGGGATAGTGTTAGTAAATTGAAGAATATTGGCACAAACTGAGAGTGGGACATCAGTATCATCATGATCATATTGCTAGGGTATAATGTGCATGATTCTGAGTGCTTTTGGTTGTTGTTTTATATCTATATGTTGTTTTTGTTTTTTTGAGTTGAGGCAGTAGGGAGGTGTCAATACATGTCTATGCATTGTTATGAACATCGGTAAATAATGTTTATTTGTATCATCATGGATCATCAATATTTCTTAGTGTCACAGTGTTCATGGTCTGTATTTTAAATGTTAGACATTACTAGATATGTATGGAGTCATAAGACTTCTGCTACTGAACATGCTGAAGTTTATTCCTGCTAAGATGGCATGTGCAAGGAGTAGAGGCAATGCAGTTACCATTGGAAACAAGGTTGTAAGTGCCTTTACAAATACACTGGGTACAGCTTTCACATGATGTAACTTGTAAGTGGTTTTCATCATGTTCATGCAACAGTGTTTCTGTTCTCCGGTATATACCTGAAAATCGTCGGAAACATTCGTTAGGGACCGGTAAATTAAAAGCCAGCCAGACACTGTGTCCGGTAAATAATCATGTATTAAAATAAAAAATCATGGGTATGCGAAATGACAGTCTTGGCTGTGGTCGCAAAAATTGTTATGTTTTTGAAATACCCAGGCTAAAAATAACTTTAAAATGAGAACTTACAGTATGGTAATCGGATATTTTCATTCATGACCGGTAAAATTTTAGGTCGCCAGACACAGTGTCCGATAAATAATTAAATCAGTGGAAACACTGTGCAAGATATGTACCTTTACTAGATCCCATTGTTTACCATTGTTCACCATAAATATTTGCCAGTGACTCTTTTGTTTGAATGTAGTTATATAGCAAATATTCAGTATCCTCAGTATTTTGTGTAATATCATTACTGTAATTAAAACATGTACAGTAACATTCTGACCACTGTTAACAATAACATGGTTAAAGATGATAAACAATATGAAAGGACATATTACTTTTTTCAGAGCAAACTCAGCCAGCAATCTACTTTGGGAGGATTTCTGAAGAAGAAATCCAGCAGCAAAACCCCTGAAATTGACGATTCCGATGATGATACGGACATCTCCATTGTAAAAGTTGTCCCATCCCAAAAGGTATTCTGTCTATGAACATGATGAATAAAAGTAACAGTAACATGAACAGCCAGGTTAGGTTGACTGCCTTTAGTTATTGTCTTCACCTCAATAAGTTTCCTGAAACACACATCATTTGTACAATTTCGGGGTGGAAATAACCCATTGCCCGACGTCCGAGTCCAGTGTTATTTTCTGTCGGGCAAGCAAATTTGTATATCACACTGTACCGGTGTCCAGTTGATTTCCGATGTTAATTATGTTGTTTATTTAAAAAATCAACAAGAAAACGGACGGTGTAGTGGAAAAATTATCATGTCAAGTGATTTTACGTGTGCCACTGTACCGGAGTACACTAGCAATTTTAAAGTTATTTCCACCCCTGACAATGTAGAATTTTTATATAATATGGTCACTTATATAGTGCTGAACTCCATGTTGCAGGGATGTTGTCTAAGCACTTACAGCATGATGGACTTTATTACCCCGGATAACTTGAATTTTTTGTATATAGGATTGTTTTCTTTAGTTACGCAATTTATAATGTTGTCATGTTTTGAATGTTATTCTCTGTTCTAGAAGTCCATTAAATGGGTTAGTTCATCATTTGATGATTTTGCTGCCTTCCTCCCGTCAAAGCCAGCATGTTCGTCCCAGCTGTCAGATGCTACAACATCTCACAGCAAGAAGCGGATGAGGGACAGTGTACATCCTGAGCCCATACACCAGCCCTCCACTGCTGCTAAGGGGAAGAAACTCAAGAAGATCTCCAGAGATGATCTCTGGGCAGATAAACACAAGCCAAGCAATAAAGTAAGATATAAATCCCAAATATGTCATGTAAATAAGTGAATAGGTCTTACATGTCTAAGAGGCATTCAGTCACACTGCTAAGCCTTTCAGCTGTTTTTTCATACAATTGTGATTGTTTATATATATGTTTGCTTGATGAACATGTAATGTATCTTTGAGCATCAGTCAATTTGAACGGACACTTACGCCAAGCCTTTCTTTCCAGGGTGATTTAGCAGTTCACAAGAAGAAAGTTGATGATGTCGAGACATGGCTTCAAGATAGGACTATGTCTACACCAAAGGTTTGTCATCCCTCACACTCATCCATTCATGTCTTACTACAAAGCTATCGTGACAAAAATCATAATCATAGAGCTTTCATTCATTTTGCTGGGATTCTGGATTAGAATAGGTGACCTGACAAATGCTTGTCAATGTCAAAGACTAGTGGACCAGATGGTTGGTTACATTTACTTTGTTGACAGCATGTCATTGTACCTCGGTTAGTGTTGGATGTTGCTTACGATATCGATCACTGGTTTTTTTTCTGATCTAGATTTATTTTACAGGTCACTGTGATATCTATGAGTTGTGGCAGAAAGTGTTCCTTTGATCTGCTGTCAGTTGGTTTTCATATGTAATCTTCAGTTAAAAGTGGTACTATTGCAACCATCAGTAGTATTACACACTAGCTAGTACTGACTTGTTGTGCATGGGATGATGGCAGCATTTAAACTCTCATTCACTCTTTACCTCCAGCATGGAGCCCCCCATCTTACTTCTAACAGGCCCAGCTGGGGTGGGGAAGACTGCCACGGTCCAAGTACTCTGCAAGGAGCTTGGACTTGAGGTACAGGAATGGACCAACCCAATACAGCCAAGCTACAACTCTGAGCAGCTCTTGCCATCAGCTTATAATTCCTTTGGTAAGGAATGAATATATGTTTAATCCTTGTGAAATTTTGACCATCTACCTTGTCTACAAGGTGTTGTGGGTACAACATCTACCTGGGAACAGAAGGGTGGTGGTTAAGTCCTTTGGTGGCATCATTCCTGAATTCTGTAAATGGTGGCACTTGTTGTCACCCTGCCTGACAAGGTGTCAGTTTCCTGTGTCTGAGTGGGGTATTATGTCCATCTGCAGTGTGGTATTTCAGTGAGCATATGACCTGTGAAGATCTGGGTTAGCATTGGTCTTCAGCAACCCATGCTAGTCATAAGAGGTGATCAGATGGTCAGGCTCGCTGACTTGGTTGACAAATGAGTAGATAGATGCTCATGCTGCTGATCACTGGATTGTCTGGTCCAGACTTGATTATTTACAGTCAACCATCATACAGCTGGAATATTGCTGAGTGCGGCGTTCAACAACAAACCAGCCAACCATCACTGGGCACATTCCCTGACAAGTACAAGCCGCAACAGAGATACATGTATATGCATTCATGTCCCTCCAGTCTTCAAACCGCCTCTGTGGTGTAGTGAGTAGAGCGTCCGCCCTGAGAGTGTCACACCAAAAGACGTTAAAATATGGTACTTGTTGGTCCCTGCCTGGCGCTCGGCATTAATGGGTACAACAAGGACTGGTCGGCTCGGAGTCAGTATGATGTGTCTGAGTGGGGTATTCATGCTTCACTGCGGCATGGTATCACAGTGGGCTAGCACTATAAAACCAGCTTCAGTCTGGGCTAGTACAAGCAGCCGCACATACACATACACATGCATGCACGTCGTCTTATGTACCAAACATACCATTTTGACCTCATCAAAGGGTCAAGCTAAGGGTCATCACGGTATTATCGGTAGCTGGAATATTGCTGAGTGCCGCTCGCGGCAATAAACATACACATGCATGCACGTCGTCATATGAGCGAAATATTCTCAAGCACAACGTTAAACCCAATATCACCTCACCTCACCTCCAGTCTTCAAAAGTCTTTGCCTCACCCCACCTCATTGAACATGTTGCGGTATACTGATAGTAGTTTGGACATGTAGTGTTATTCCACAATATTGGTTGTATATTTGATACGACCGTAGTATTTCATAACTATTTACATGATAAGGATAGGTATCTTTCAGAAAACATTAAATTCATCAAAGATCAGGGTTGCCTCCCTTACTTCACTTGTCCCCAAGCCAGTACACATCAGTCCAAGAGAGACAGTTCTCATGGTCTTATAATGTTTATAATATCATGGTTAGATATGTACTTTTCTGTCCAGCACACTCCCGTCTAGACTCGGGCTATTCAGAATCTCAAGCGACACAGTTCAAGAATTTTCTGCTACGAGCCAACAAATACTCATCTCTGCAGATAGGCGACACCCTGTCGTCTAGTCACAAGATAATCTTTATAGAGGTAAGACCTTGTTTCACTATTTTCCATTTTTCACCTCAAAATTGGTTCCATTGTCAGAGCTTTATTTGTATTGTTAACTCTTGTCAAGAAACTACATTGGAGGCCTTAAGGGGTCTTAACGCTAAACGTCACGCCGAAGACCCGGGTTCGAATCCCCACATGGGTACTATGTGTGAAGCCCATTTCTGGTGTCCCCCGCGGTGATGTTGCTGGAATATTGCTAAAAGTGGCGTAAAACCAAACTCAGTCAGTCAGTCTTAACGCTAAAAGCATCTGCCCAGAGAGCGGAAGGTCGCGCGGGTTCGATCCCCGACCGCGTCATACCAAAAGACTTTAAAATTTGGTACTTGTTGGTCCCTGCCTGGCGATCAGCATTAATGGGTACAACAAGGCTTGGTCGGCTCGGAGTCAGTATAATGTGTCTGAGTGGGGTATTCATGCTTCACTGCGGCATGGTATCTCAGTGGGTTAGCACTATAAAACCAGCTTCAGTCTGGGCTAGTACAAGCAGCCGCACATACACATACACACGCATGCACGTCGTCATATGAGCGAAATATTCTCAAGCACGACGTTAAACCCAATTTCACCTCACCTCACCTTAACGCTAATTTCAAGCCTCACCTGACCAAGCATAACTTGACAACTTGAATCATGGCTGTCATATTGAAACTGCAATAGATTGTTCACTCAGTCACTAGTAATTGTGAGGTATGAGGGGTGGTGGGGTAGCACAGTGGAGAATGTGTTTACCTGTCCTGCTGAAGGCTTAGGTTTGATTCCCAAAATGGTACAGTGTTTGAAACCGATATCTTGTATCCCTGGAAGATGTACCACTGGTCCTTTGCTAAAACTAACAAAGTGAGTGAGTTCGGTTTTACGCCGCTTTTAGCAATATTCCATCAGATATGGGCTTCACACATTGTACCCATGTGGGGAATCGAACCAGGGTCTCTGGCGTGATGAGCGAACATTTTAACCACTTGTCTACCCCCACCACCCCAAAAGTAACAAAGAAAACCAAACTCACTCATATTTTGCGATGTTGTGATGTTTGTCACAATGTAGGCCTTTTTACCTTTATGTACACCTTTGGCTGCCATAGTTTCCATTTTGAATACATGATAAGCTTGAGAAATTAAAACAAAAGTGTGAAATTCACCCCAAATTTTGTGAAACACTGACAACAGCTGACATGGGCTTTGCTGTGCCCATGTACACAAGAGACTGGAACCATATTTCTGCGTTCATTGCAAAATTCCATATTTTATTACATGACAACAGTGACTGACCATGTTCACAAGTGACAGTGATACTGCTAAACAGCATCTGATATTCATGTGCTACAAACATTTGGGCAACAAAAGACAAAACATTTTCGAACATGAATAAAAAAAGAATTGTGCATGACATGTGCATTTTCGGAAAACTTTCCCGTATCACTCATAAAAGAGGCTGGAAGAAACTATTCTATTCTATTCCATTCAGCAGAGCATGCACACTTTTTGCTATCTTCTCTACAATGTGACTTAAACTGGAATAATAGGTAGGTTCACTTTATGTTCAGCATGTTGAAAGTAATTTGTGTTAGAACAATGATATATGTATATATTTTTATTTTCAGGAACTACCCAATATTTTCTTCCGTGACTCTTCATTATTTCACAATATACTCAGGTACAGAACATTATTATCATTATTGGATATTTAAATAGCGCACATATCCACGCACTTGTGCATGCTCAAGGCGCTGGTAGTTTTTCCCTCGATCATTGGATGTCAATCTCAACGGCACATCTTATTATCAATCTCAACTACCTGGGGAGTATAACACTAGGCGCACTGAGTTATTGCGGCTTTCCCATCCATACGAGGTACCCATTCACAGCTGGGTGGACTGGAACACATAGACACAGTATTTTGTCCAAGTTTACTGCACGTTGCTATACCCACAACTAGGTGTTTGCACGTATTCATGTGGCCACCATCTGGTCATATACCAACGGATTCGTGGATTCTTTTAAGTGCACAGGGTTGTGTACTGTACACTAGGGGTTGTGACAACACTGAAAGAGTCTGCACACAAAGTTGACTCCAAGGTTTTTACACCCGGTGACAGGTGGGCTCGATGCCGGCACCTCATGCTCGCTGGATCACTAGCCTGGCGCTTTAGCCAGCTCGCCGACCACGATCTTTGTACAAGCGGTACAAAGATTGCAACAGTTGTCTTTGAGGTGAGGTGAGGTGAGGTGAGGTGAGGTGAGGTGAGGTGAAATTGGGTTTTACGTCGTGCTTGAGAATATTTCGCTTAGATGACGACGTGCATGCGTGTGTATGTGTATGTGCAGCTACTTGTACTAGCCCAGACTTAAGCTGGTTTTATATTGCTAGCCCACTGAGATACCATGCCGCAGTGAAGCATGAATACCCCACTCAGACACATTATACTGATTCCGAGCCGACCAGACCTTGTTGTACCCATTAATGCCGAGAGCCAGGCAGGGACCAACAAGTACCATATTTTAACGTCTTTTGGTATGACGCGGTCAGGGGTCGAACCCGCGACCTTCCGCTCTCCGGGCGGACGCTCTAACCACTACACCACGGAGGCGGTTGTTGTCATTGATGTGATATTGAAGCTGATGAACAAACATCTGATAATCCTCTTGTGTCCCCTTTGAGGTGTGGGACTGAAAGAGATGTACTATATGAGGATCAAGTTATTGCTTGTCATCCTTGTAAATGAATATCAAATGCAACGCAAGATGATAATATTCAAAACAATATGACATGTAAAACGTTTGTAGCTGAAACTTGTCATGACGATTTGAGCTATCAATGTTTATTTGAGACATACCATGTTTTGTGTTCTGACTAGAGTTGTCTGTTATCAGGAAGTACAGACAGGTTGGACGCTGCCCCCTGGTGTTCATTATCAGCGACACCACTAGTGGGGAATCCAATGAGAGACAGCTCTTCCCTGCAGACCTCCAGGCTGAGATCTGTATTGAAAGTATCAGCTTCAACCCTGTGGCTCCCACCATGATGGTGAAAGTGCTGGCCAGGATTGCAAACTCAGAATATAATCAGGTACAGCAATGTATTGATAATTCTATTATGAGATACTCTGTGTGCTGCCTCTAAGTCAATCCACTTGAATCAAACCATGTCAGTTGTATTGGGGAGGGCAGCCTGTAGTGATGAAAATTTTAGACATTTAGAACTATTGTGATTTCTGTGATCACAGTATTGTGTTGACTGTAAACAGATCATTGATGGTTTGAGTCTGGAATTCAAACCCATGACTGGCGGATCCTTTCACTGACAAGGGAGGCAACTCTGCAGAGTGAATTGCCCTCTCTGGACCACACAAAATACACCCTAACAATATATGTGTGCTTTATATGTGAAAGAAATAAGCCAGCCACTAATTTCTTTTTCAAATGATTTTCTTTTTCCTGTTTACATTGGTCAACCCAGTCAACTCTTTACACAGCTCAACTGAAAGATGAGTTATATTTTCAATGTGGAGTTAGGATACTTGTAAATGTATCACTCAGTATTTTAAATTAAATTTTTGTTTTCTCTTCTGATACTGCCATCAAATCAGCTCCTATATTCTGTTTCAGATTTTATTTTATTCTTTATCTTTGTTACCCTATGCAGTGAGTTATGTACGATGGCAACTATGTTTTTCAGCGGTCAATATCTGCCGTCCCATCGTCCCCGGTCATTGAGTCCATTGCCATGTCCAGTGCAGGAGACGTGAGGTCCGCCATCAACTCCCTCCAGTTTGCCTGTAGTCAAGGTAGGTCCGCCATCAACTCCCTCCAGTTTGCCTGTAGTCAAGGTAGGTCCGCCATCAACTCCCTCCAGTTTGCCTGTAGTCAAGGTAAGTCCGCCATCAACTCCTTCCAGTTTGCCTGTAGTCAAGGTAGGTCCACCATCAACTCCCTCCAGTTTGCCTGTAGTCAAGGTAGGTCTGCCATCAACTCCCTCCAGTTTGCCTGTAGTCAGGGTAGGTCCACCATCAACTCCCTCCAGTTTGCCTGTAGTCAAGGTAGGTCCGCCATCAACTCCCTCCAGTTTGCCTGTAGTCAAGGTAGGTCCGCCATCAACTCCCATCAGTTTGCCTGAAGTCAAGGTAGGTCCGCCATCAACTCCCTCCAGTTTGCCTGTAGTCAGGGTAGGTCCACATTAACTCCCTCCAGTTTGCCTGTAGTCAGGGTAGGTCCACATTAACTCCCTCCAGTTTGCCTGTAGTCAGGGTAGGTCCGCCATCAACTCCCTCCAGTTTGCCTGTAGTCAGGGTAGGTCCACATTAACTCCCTCCAGTTTGCCTGTAGTCAGGGTAGGTCCGCCATCAACTCCCTCCAGTTTGCCTGTAGTCAAGTCAAGTCAAGTTTATTGTATTCAAGGCCTCCGGCCCAGTTTGCCTGTAGTCAGGGTAGGTCTGCCTAATTGGCCAGACTAGAAGAAAAACATTAAAAACATCTTTGATTGTCCTGCATATCTTCAGCCCATTATGACAAATGGACCATTGTCCATTTGGATCTGTTCAAATGATCCCTTGCCAGAATTAGTTTTCCAATTACACAGTTAGTTGTGATTAAAACAAGCAACTATACTATATATTGGATGCTGTCAAAGTGTATAATGTATAAGGACTTCAGTCCCCAGTCTTTATACTCATGGAGTGGATCCGTTCTTGCTTAAGGTTCCTTCAGGACAGTGTACTAATTCAATAGAATATTCATTTGTACAAAACTGCATGTTGTGTTGTAAATCTCCTTTGAATTTTGAGGGCCGCCTCCGTGGTGTAGTGGTTAGAGCCTCCGCCCAGAGAGCTGAAGGTCGCGGGTTCGATCCCCGACCGCGTCATACCAAAAGACGTTAAAATATGGTACTTGTTGGTCCCTGCCTGGCGTTCGGCATTAATGGGTACAACAAGGACTGGTCGGGTCGGAGTCAGTATAATGTGTGTGAGTGGGGTATTCATGCTTCACTGCGGCATGGTATCTCAGTTGGCTAGCACTATAAAACCAGCTTAAGTCTGGGCTAGTACAAGCAGCCGCACATACACATACACACGCATGCATGTCGTTATATGAGCGAAATATTCTCAAGCACAACGTTAAACCCAATTTCACCTCACCTCACCTCTTTTGAATTTTGAGAGGGCAGTTTGAGATTTGATATCAATAACATGTGGGAGAGATATTCGGAGACAAGTTCAAGATTAGGATGAGATGATGACAGCATGAAACAAAGCAATGTCAGTAATTCTGTCCAGGATATTGTTACATCTCTATCACCCTGAGGTAAAATATTTTGGTGCACATATTTGTAATGTTTGCAAAGTGTGCACATATCTCTTTCCATTCCTTCACATTTCATTGGCTGAACTGTTTGAAACTACTTTCACAACATTCATTTGTTCATGGAATGTGAGGCTGAATGTAAGATATTAAATAGAAGTGAGCATATTTTCATATAAATATGATATCTTTGATAACTGATTATTACAGATAAACAAATGCTTGCTGTTTACATGTTATTCACTAACTGAGAAATTTGACAATGTGTGTTTCATAGAAAGACTACCAGTTACCTTAATGCTGCTGTGTTTTTCTTGCAGATACATTAGACCTGAAGCACAAGTGTACACCTAAACGAACAGCACCAAAAAAGTCTTCATCTGGCTCGGGACGTAGACTGAAGTATGAGACCAGTCAGAGAAAGGACACAAACACTGAGGCAGGGTCCTCAATCGGAGCCAGGGACACCTCCTGTTTCCTCTTTCATGCTATCGGCAAGGTGTTGTACTGTAAACGTAAGCTATATACTGGCACTGATGCAAATTTACCTGGATCTGTCTTTGCTCCCGTTTGGGGATAAGATCATGCTTGAGTGAGTGAGTTTAGTTTTACGTCGCACTCAGCAATATTCCAGCTGTATGGCGGCGGTCTGTAAATAATCGAATCTGGAGCAGACAATCCAGTGATCAACAGCATGAGCATCGATCTGCGCAATTGGGAACCGATGACATGTGTCAACCAAGTCAGTGAGCCTGACCACCCGATCCCATTAGTCACCTCTTACGACAAGCATAGTCGCCTTTTGTGGCAAGCATGGGTTGCTGAAGACCTATTCTACCCCGGATCTTCACGGGTCTGATCATGCTTGAAAACAGTAGAAGTATCTTATATCGAATTGTCGCTATTGTACAATAAAGAAGTTGATCATCCAGAAAGACTTGTCATTCCTAAGATTTGGCACCCAAGGCAAGAACAATGGAGCCCGGTGGTTGCAACATGTACCCTTTTCTTTATTTTTACGAATTTTACTGATTAAAATAAGGATGAAAATTAATGAAGAATGTCAACTAGCCTGAATAGTGATATATGTAGCAATAACAACAAAATGGTTGAATGAAATACTACAAGCCTCAAATATACTTTTAACATTAACAAAACTGAATCAGGCTCACAGCTTAATCCATGTTTCCATCTATGTGAAGAGGTGAATGGGAGCACTTTACCTTTAGCTATATAGATGTTAGTGCTGTTACTCAGTGGTAGGTTAGTGTGTGTTGTGTTCATGGTGTGTGGTGTATAAATATTATATTCAAGTTTGTGAACTACAGTCCACATTGTCAAGCCAGAGGATAAACCAGGCCACACAAAACACCTGCTATTCAGTTCTGTCAGATACTAGGCCCTATTCCTCACTATTTTCCCACCAGGGTTGATGGAGGAAGTAGGGCTGGGACGGGTAAGAAAAAATGGAATCGAGTACCTGCATGTACTTACCCGAATCGGAATCGAGTACCCGGAAATGTAAGGAATAAAGCGCTTCTGTCAACTTTTTGGAATATTCAATCACGAGTTGACAGAGATTTTTATACAAACCTTGAAAGGATGGCAATAAGACACTGAAACTGAACTTAGGATATTTAATTTACGTCTATTTAACAAATATAGAGAGTAACACCATTACATGCATTCCTCGTTAAAACACAGGACTTTTCGTTACCGCTGTTACTGTTACTTGACTCCTCACTGCTCATATATTACAGTCGTTAATAATGACCTCCATTAATCGGACAATACCAATATGATGCAAATGTGTGTTACGTCAATAATGAAAAAGACCAGTTATTATGTGCCCTTCTCCTTTTCCGGGTACTCGATTCCTAGAAATAGTACTCGATTCCAGCTATACCCGACCCGGATTCGAGTACCCGAGTACCCGAGTACCCGTCCCAGCACTAGGAGGAAGTGTTTGATTACTCAAGTATTCAATATGAAGATGATCAGGATGTTTCTGTCCCCTTGTAGGTGGGGACCCCAAGGAGTTTCCTGAACACTGCCTGCTGCCATCACGTTTATCTCAACACGACAGAGACCCACTGCTCCTAAACCCAGAGGTGAGTACACTTCACTCATTGTCTGAAAGACGGATGTTTTCTTAGGGTTCTAGAGATGTGTACTAGGTGCAGAGATGCCAACCCTTACGCTTTAGGCGTAATTATTACAATTTTGACCATTAAATTACGCCATTACACTTAATCTGCGAAAATTACGCTTTTCTACTCGTTTTACGAAAATCAATAAAGTGGATAAAGTTTCACATGGAAGTGTTTCGTAACGCACAGGTGCAGGGGTGCAGAATGGCCTTACACCGATAGGAATCGCTTACTCTTAGCATCGCACTCATTCCAATTAACTCGCAAGGAATTAAAGTATTTTGAGTCACATGACCAACAATTTTCGATGTATGGAGCTTCATAATGATTGGTCACATGTGTTTCTGTCTAGAATCTTCCTTTCGTGAAAACGTGTACCATGTTGAAGCGATTGGCAGACAAGTATTACACTTTTTAGGTCCAAATTACACTTTTTGACCTCTAGTGTTACACTTAGGCCCAAAATAGGGTTGGCATCTCTGTAGGTACCTCTCTGTATTGAGTCTAAAGTTCTTGTAAAACTGGTCAAGCTAAAAGCAGATACCTTTGAGAATCAAGCTTTGCAGAGCTGGTCTTCAGCCACCCATGCATGTTGTAAGAGGAGTGAATGAGTTTAGTTCTATGCCGCTTTAGCAATATTCCAGCAATATCATGGCGAGGGACACCAGAAATGGGCTTCACATATTGTACCCATTTGGGGAATAGAATCCAGGTCTTCAGCATGGCGAGTGACCGATTTAACCACTAGGTAACTCCACTGCCCTGTTACAAGAGGGGGGTGGTGGGGTAGCCTAATGGTTAAAGCGTTGGCTCATCACGCCGAAGACCCGGGTTCGAATTCCCACATGGGCACAATGTGTGAAGCCCAATTTCTGGTGTATGTTGATGATTTGCTGGAATCAACAAGAAAAGCGACGTAAAACCAAACTCAGTCAGTCAGTCAGTGTTACAAGAGGATACTAAGAGGATACTAATAGGACCAGATGTCAGACTCGCTAGCAATGTTGATGCATTCCATTGTATCTCAGTTACGTCAATCGATGCTCATGATGTCAATCACTGGATTGATCTTTTGGTGTGGTGTTAAACAAACAAACAAACCGAAGACGTGGGGCCAATTTGTGTGTGCCAGACATAAATATTTACAGGCACCCATGATATAGCAGGAATATTTGGTAAGGCATTAATCAACAACCACAAACTGACATTGGTGCATGTTGTAATGTTGTAATTACAGGAGGTTGTAGAGAAGTCACACCTGTCAGGTAACTACTTTGCCAGCTTCTTGCACCAAAACTATGTGGACTTCTACACCGACATCGATGACGTTGTGAGAGCTAGTCAGTACATCAGTGATGCCGACTTCTTCACTGCAGAGTGGGCAGTAAGTGGGATACGAAATGTTATTGGCTAAGAAACTTAAGAATGTCATATATTCTCCCCGATGTTTGGTTTGCATTCTGGGCGCTGTAAATATCTCTGAATTGTCAACCTGAGGATTGTGTGAGTGAATATTGTTTACGATCGCATTAGCAATTTTGCAGGTATACATGCAATCTCCTACCCAGAGTTCCATGCGGCCAGCCAGCATAGTACCTCTGCTACAGGCCAGAAAAATGTGACGATTCGTCACATCTTGCACCGTCCATTCAATAAAGTACATATTTCTTAACTCTTTTATTATTGACGAGCCTAAACATCTAATTAAACATCTTTGATAGAATGGCTTAGTTTCACTGAGAAACTATCCTAAAACATGTAACACTATTTCGATTTGCGTAGTGATCCTTTGTTTACATAGGTTGTACGGCTCCACGTGCTGTCATCGAAGCCGACAGGGAGCAAACGATGCAACCAGTTTGATATCTAAATATGTACTGTCATAGACCTTACTGTCGCAGTTGTGGAAGAATATATATGTAACAATGTAAAACATTGTGAAGAGCCCGCCAAAAAGCTTGTGTAAGGCCAGTCTCTTCTTATTATGAATACGTGCGTTTGATAACAAACAAGAGAAAAGTCCGGTCACGTGATATGCAAATCAGCCTGTGGCAGTGATGTTATGCTAAGTCATCACTGTGCCGGAGTGTGGTATACATGCTGACCAAACTTAGGAAGCTGAAATTTTATATGTTTCTCCTTATGAAGAAATTGCATCGTGTTTGAATCTTTATCATCTGTGACTAAGTGTGTGTGTTTCTTTGTGAAACATGACAAATGTGTATCTTTGAATTTGACATTATCTGTATCAATATCACATTGATATGAGGGATCACAGGCCTGTTTATTGTATCCCCAGTCTCGCTCAGCGATGGAGAACTATGCTGCGTCTATAGCTACACGGGGTGTGATTCACTCCAACTCCAGCATCGCCCGCCATGACAGCAAGAGGACTGGGTTGGGCTGGAAACCGATCCACAAGTCTCAGTGGTTCACGATACAGAGACAGGTAACACTGAGGGGGGAGTATCACAGTGACACACAAATTGGAAACTGTCATTATACAATCTAAATCAGTGTTTCCGTTCTCCGGTATATACCTGAAAATCGCTGTGATGTTGCTGGAATATTGCTAAAAGCGGCGTAAAACCAAACCCAGTCAGTCAGTCAGTCTCTCTTTGATATGGACCCGTGAAGAGCCGGGGTAGAATAGGTCTTCAGCAACCCATGCTTGCCACAAAAGGCGGCTATGCTTGTCGTAAGAGGCGACTAATGGGATCGGTGGTCAGACTCGCTGACTTGGTTGGCACATGTCATCGGTTCCCAATTGTGCAGATCGATGCTTATACTGTTGATCACTGGATTATCTGGTCCAGACGCGATTATTTACAGACTGCCGCCATATAGCTTGAATATTGCTGAATGCGGCGTAAAACTTAACTCACTCACTCACTCACTCTTTGATATGAATAACCGCCTCTGTGGTGTAGTGGTTAGAGCGTCCGCCCAGAGAGTGGAAGGTCGCAGGTTCGATCCCCGACCGCGTCATACCAAACGACGTTAAAATATGGTACTTGTTGGTCCCTGCCTGGCGCTCAGCATTAATGGGTACAACAAGGACTGGTCGGCTCATAGTCAGTATAATGTGTCTGAGTAGGGTATTCATGCTTCACTGCGGCATGGTATCTCAGTGGGCTAGCATTATAAAACCAGCTTCAGTCTGGGCTAGTACAAGCAGCCGCACATACACATACACATGCATGCACGTCGTCATATGAGCGCACTATTCTCAAGCACGACGTTAAACCCAATTTCACCTCACCTTTGATATGAATACCCCTGTGAATATGACTTATCTCCCCTTAACTGCATTGACGCAAATCATCCAGTTGCTTTCATTAGGCATGGGCATTTATTTAAGCTGAAGACTCATCTGTTGTGCAGGTGTCTATCTGTTGTGCAGGTGGTTTATCTGTTGTGCAGGTGGTTTATTTGTTGTACAGGTAGTTTATCTGTTGTGCAGGTGGTTTATTTGTTCTGCAGGTGGTTTATCTGTTGTGCAGGTAGTTTATCTGTCGTGCAGGTAGTTTACCTGTTGTGCAGGTGTTTATCTGTTCTGCAGGTGGTTTATCTGTTGTGCAGGTGTCTATCTGTTGTGCAGGTAGTTTATCTGTTGTGCAGGTGGTTTATTTGTTGTGCAGGTAGTTTATCTGTTGTGCAGGTAGTTTATCTGTTGTGCAAGTGGTTTATTTGTTCTGCAGGTGGTTTATCTGTTGTGCAGGTAGTTTATCTGTTGTGCAGGTCGTTTATCTGTCGTGCAGGTGTTTATCTGTTCTGCAGGTGGTTTATCTGTTGTGCAGGTAGTTTATCTGTTATGCAGGTAGTTTATCAGTTGTGCAGGTGGTTTATCTGTTGTGTAAGTGGTTTATCTGTTGTGCAGGTGTTTATCTGTTGTGCAGGTGTTTATCTCTTGTGCAGGTAGTTTATCTCTTGTGCAGGTAGTTTATCTGTTGTGCAGGTAGTTTATCTGTTGTGCAGGTTGTTTATCTGTTCTGCAGGTGGTTTATTTGTTGTGCAGGTAGTTTATTTGTTCTGCAGGTGGTTTATCTGTTGTGCAGGTAGTTTATCTGTTGTGCAGGTAGTTTATCTGTTGTGCAGGTGTTTATCTGTTGTGCAGGTAGTTTATCTGTTGTGCAGGTACTTTATCTGTTGTGCAGGTGGTATATCTGTTGTGCAGGTAGTTTATCTGTTGTGCAGCTGGTATATCTGTTGTGCAGCTGGTTTATCTGGTGTGCAGCTGGTATATCCGTTGTGCAGTCAGTTAACTGCTGTGCATTAGTGACAAATATACAAATTATGCCTTTGGTTTGGATTAATGCTGCTGTGAACAGTTTTTCAGTAGCACCCCAACACATCAGACTGAAATGGAACTAAAGCAAAAGAGGCCCCAAACGAACATAAACAACTGGAAACAGACAAAGTGACTGGCAGACAAAGTGATTCAGCAGATCTTGTCACACTTAAGGAACACAACACTGCTTAGTGAATTTTGACATCAGACCACTGGATACTATATCCTGAGTCAATGAGATGTATTTTATGATTGAACTATGAATAGTTCACCCCTATAATATTGTTCCTTTGATAAAATGTCGTTGTGCTCTTATTACAGGCAAAAAAGGAATATTGAAACTGCTTCTGCTCTGTTTAAAGGTAAGATACCAAAAGCTTAGCATTATTGCAAGTAAATGTATAATGTGATTGTAAATGTATAAAGTGATTGTATTGTTGTGTTATTGGTCTATGATTATTAATCATCAATGGTTACGAGCAATTCTCAAGAGTAGTAGATGTCCACCGCATCTTTCTTCATCACTGTCTCCATCTGCTCTGGTGTTAGATTCACTACCCCATCAACACCCTGTGAATCATCCCCTTTGGGCTCTCGTTTTCCTCTTAATCTTCCCCTAATCCACTTTCTCATGCCTTCACTCTTCATTTAAGTATAGTTTGTACAACACACTTATTCATATTTGAGTGTCAAGATCTCTGGGTTTTCTCACACTGAGCCAAAACAATGGAGTCGAAACAGACATAACACTTATTACAAATCACAATACTGCATAGTCAAAAAAACAAATTCTTTGCTAGACTGTTCTGCAAAGCACCAAAGAGAAACTGTGTTGTTTGAATTTCTTTTCATATTGCCATACCCACCAACTCACCCACTACCACACCCACTCACTCACTCACTCTTGCTGTGACAGGCTACCACTGGGATCCCAAGATGCTGTTAACAGAAGTCCTGCCCTACATGAACCAGATCAACGTCACTCTACACAGCCCAGGTAGGCCAGTCAGCTGTGTTAGTGTGTGTCAACTTTTTATGTAACTCCATATGAAGATAATTCTGTCATTGTTTACTTCATCGTTGTACACCAATACCATCTGCATTCTGGAGGAATGTGTATAGTACACACAATGTTGTCCTGCATAATCCTGATAATACATCACTTGCTTGATAACGGTGTTATAGTCTGTTTGCAGTGAAAACGTACCGATGAAGTTCACGATCATAGTTTCAAATCGCTATTATTGGTTTGTATTACAAGGGGGGTACACGCAGTAGTTGGAATAGTGAAACAAATGCACGTGCAGTTCGTGATGAGCGTTAACTACCGTAGAAACCAACCCTTCTTGTTCTCGGGGTTTCATTTAATGTGCCTACCCCCCTTGTAATACATACGAATAATAGCGATTTGAAACTATGATCATTTGTTAAACAACTTTTATCCTAAGTTGAATACAATTCTGAGATTTTAATGTTGAATTGGAAAGGTAAAGTTATGAGGATTCGCAATCTTCATTTCACATTATTTGATTTACTTTTTTGTTTAAAGTGATATTCATTGGTACATTTTCACTGCAAACAGACTATAGTACCTACACCGAAACGTCGCACTCATTGCAATAAAGAAGTTGACTATCCATAGAACTTAGTTTTCCTTCCCAATAATACATTAATGATTAATCTTCCTGATAATGCATTAATGATTAATTTTCTTAATGTATTTTTGGAGGTAGATTCAAGTCGGATCTCTTTACAAAAGTTGCAGACCTTAGGCTAACAACAGATTTGTATTGTGTTGTACTGTGTAATGTATAAATGATTTCCATCTCAATATTTTACTTTCAGCTCAGATTTCCTTTACTCAAGAGATGTGTAGATATTCCACCTTTGGCAGTGGCAGGTGAGAAGAAAGTGTTATCCATACAAATGTCAACATGAGCCTTCTGATGTGGGTTGAACATGTTAAAGACATGTATTGAAACTACACCTACAACTAAAACTGACTACTTTTGACACTGTTCTGGTTGATTTGACAGATTTTACAATGATCGAACTCTTAAGTGACCTAGGTCTTTTACGACATAACGAGCAAGTCACTTCACATCACACATTGTGACATCATTGTGATATGAAGGCAGGCCAGCCAACTTACAGGATATTTACAATATGGCCAGTCTGATGGCTAGAAACTTTTAACAGGTAATGATGATGATTCTATTCACTGACCATGTTTATGTTCATGTTCACATGTTTATTGGTCAGTGTAGGATTTGTGTCACACTGACACTGTTCAACATGCACACAGACACTGCTGTTGTGTGAAAAATTACCTCTTCTTCTGTTGACCGCCTCCTTCTGTTGACCACTGCGGCATAGTATCTCAGTGGGCTAGCACTATAAAACCAGCCTAAATCTGGGCTAGTACAAGCAGCTGCACATACATTACACACACACACAGTGTGAGACATGCTGTTGTCTTAAAATTACCTCTTCTTCTGTTCATATGCTACAGACAGTGAAATATTCTCAAGCACGACGTTAAACCCAATTTCACCTCACCTCTTCTTCTGTTCTTTATGCTACACACAGACAGTGTGAGACCGGCTGTTGTCTTAAAATTACCTCTCCTTCTGTTCTTTATGCTACACACAGACAGTGAGAGACACTGCTGTTGTCTTAAAATTACCTCTTCTGTTCTTTATGCTACACACAGACATTGCTGTTGTCTTAAAATTACCTCTTCTTCTGTTATTTGTCCAACACACTGATACAGCTGCAGCTTTCATCTGTCTCTACATGTTCCACATCCCATCCCTGATATCTATATGTTTCAGGAGGCTGGAGAAGCTTGAGGAGACTGATGTTCTGGATGGGGAGGATGAAGCCCCGCCGGCCACCTCTCAGCCCACACAGGCAGGTGGAGACGAGGTGCCCCTCAGTCAGAACAAGGTTCAGGTGCCTGACGATGAGGAAGACGATGACCCAGTTATAGAGGACTACGACGATGAGGACTATGAAGACCTGTTTCTCTCAGATGACAGTTTCACATGACCCAGCATGTAGGGTACAGGGACCTACTGAGTGAAACTTCATTCTCAGGAACAAACTGTGACAAAGTATTTCTCTAAAAGCAATACAGGATCACATAGGCTGAAAACAGCTTATGAAATTTCTTTAGTTTGTAAATGAGGTTGTGTGGCATATGGTTTATGTCGTCATGTGTGGTTATTGGGTGTCGTCACGATATGACGGAGAAATTGCTGATGTGATGTTAAATATTAAATCACTCACTATTGAGTGTGTTTTTGTTAATTATGTTATTACATACACATATCTCTATTCATCTCTATTCATCTCTTTGGGGTGTTGGGGTAGCCTAGTGGTAAAAGCATTCGCTCATCACACCAAAGTCCTGGGTTCGATTCCCCACAAGTCACTCACTCATTATTCATCTCTCTTCGTCTTGAGACTAGAAGTATTACCTTATGGTTACAAATTTCTGCCTGGACTGTTCCAAGCCCTATGAGGATACCAGCAAGAATAGGTTACAGTGAAAACACAAGAAGACAAAATGAGAATGTTGGTCACTTGCATGACCATGAACTTGATATGTCTGACTCTAACAACTGGGCTTGAACATGATATGTGGAAGCCATATTTGTTTGTTTACTACCTATTAACTTTTTCATTGACTTATGTCAGCACCAGACTCAGCAAGCAGTGGTTTGAGTTATTTGTCCGCAAGCTCATACAGGTACGTCATATTTTTAATGTTCAGAGATGTATTTCCCTTTTAATGTTCAGAGATATATATAATTATAATAATAATATAATAGGATATTTATATAGCGCACATATCCAGGCAACTAGTGCATGCTCAAGGTGCTGGTATTTGCTCCCTCCATCATTGGATGTCAATCTCAACGTCGTATTATCAATCTCAACTCCCTGGGGAGTATACAACTCTTGCAGCCACTTGGCCCACCGAGTTATTGTGGCTTTCTCATCCTAACGAGGTACCCATTCACAGCTGGGTGGACTGGGACACATAGTCACAGTACTTTGTCCATGTTCACTGCACGTTGCTGTACCCGCAACTAGGTGTTTGCACGTATTCCTGTGGCCACCATCTGGTCATATACCAACAGATTCTAGGGTTGTTTTAAGTGCACAGGGTTGTGTACTGTACACTAGCGGTTGTGACAACACTGAAAGAGTCTGCACACAAAGTAAACTCCAAGGTTTTTACACCCGGTCACAGGTGGGCTCGATCTCGACACCTCAACCACGCTGGATCACTAGCCTGGTGCCTTAGCCAGCTCGCCCACCGCGCAGATGTATTACCCTTTAGTGAAACTTCATTATGGGTAACCATGATTCACAGTCGTCTTGGGACTGTCAGATATTCACTAGACTGTGTTAATCCTGACAGTAACTTTGCCAGCAAAAGGTTTTTCCTCACCATGCAATAACAAGCGAGTACTGGGGTATGTAGGTGTGTATTCTCTAACTGTTCTGGTGTGGACTAATGATAAAAATAATTAATAACAGGTCTGTCAAACATGCCGTTTGATTTCATGTCTGGGGATACACTAAACCCACACAAGCACAAATGAAAACAAAACAGATGCGTTATAGAAAGATATGTTGTCATCTCAGATTTAAATTCTTGAGACAATCTGAAAGTTCGTTCTATTTCTTTGAAGCAAATGGTCAAGACGATTCACCCCCAAATGGTTTAAGATTGAATCTTGGAATATCTAGCAGTTGCTTTGACCTTGGTCAGAGACAGGGCCATGGTTGATATAGAGTTTTCAATGTGTAGAATTAATATCAGTTCAATATGTGGAGTATCTGCAGTTCAAATAAGGTTGTGTTGTATAATATGTATTCATTGTAAATTATGTTCATATATTTATTGTGCTGCATGTATACGCCCGACATCATCAAAGTGCTGTCACTAGTGATCTTGAGATTATTTCAATGAAATAATGATGGGTATTGCTCCTGTCAAGCCAGCTTTTCATCAAAGTTTCGACATGTGATTTAAACAATTTCTCCAATAACTGTCACCAGCAGTTCTGTTCATGGTTCCCATGTAGTGTTGGATGATCCATCTTCAGCCTCAGGGGGACTGTGGGGTAGCCTAGTGGTTAAAGCATTCGCTCGTCACGCGGAAGACCGGGGTTCGATTCCCCACATGGGTACAATGTGTGAAGCCCATTTCTGGTGTTCCCCGCCGTGATATTGCTGGAATATTGCTATTGCTGGGTAGAACCAAACTCACTCACTCAGCCTCAGGTTGGTTGGATCCAAACTCCACTACACTCACTCACTGGCGTGGTGTTCTTTATATGGCTTATTGTAGTGTGAGCGAGCTGGTTTTACACCAGAAATGGCCTTCACACATTTTGCCTATGTGGGGAATTTGAATGGTGAAGTCCCAACACAAACTCACTGGTGTTGTCAGACATATGCATTACTTGTACAGTTCTAAAGATTGGTGTAGAGAAACTGTTCTGGGTGCCGTCGTTTAAAGCAATCTTAGCACTACGACGTAAGTCCATGTTAAGGTATGCCCTTATCGCTCTGTACAACGACACCCTGATGTATGGAATGTTAATTCCAAGACAGCTATGTGAAACAAGACTACTGAGCGTCTCCCCCCTTTCTTTCATTATACACTTTATACACTGTGAGTCTTAGGTCTGTGATCACTTTCTGGTATAGGGGCGGTGGGGTAGCCTAGTGATTAAAGCGTTCGCTCGTCACGCCACGCCGAAGACCCAGCTTCGATTCCCCACATGGGTACAACGTGTGAAGCCTTTTTCTGGTGTCTCTCGCCGTGATATTGCTGGAATATTGATAAAAGCGGCGTAAAACCATACTCACTCACTTTATGGAATGATTGAATCATTTCTGGTGCACCTCACCCTGACAAACGGCGTAAAACCATACTCACTTACTTTATTCAAAGTCATCTGTCTCATGTTCTGAAAGACCGCCTCCGTGGTGTAGTGGTTAGAGCGTCCACCCGGAGTGCGGAAGGTCGCGGGTTCAATCCCCGACCGCGTCATACCAAAAGACGTTAAAATATGGTACTTGTTGGTCCCTCCCTGGCGCTCGGCATTAATGGGTACAACAAGGATTGGTCGGCTCAGAGTCAGTATAATGTGTGTGAGTGGGGTATTCATGCTTCACTACGGCATGGTATCTCAGTGGGCTAGCATTATAAAACCAGCTTCAGTCTGGGCTAGTACAAGCAGCCGCACATACACATACACACGCATGCACGTCGTCATATGAGCGAAATATTCTCAAGCACGACGTTAAACCCAATTCCACCACCACCACCACCATGTTCTGAAGGTGCGAATGATATATTTTGTTGTGAATATTTGGCGAGTGGATGTGTACAAGATGTAGTCTATCTCCTGGTTTCATGTGACGATTACAACCACGAAGAAATACATAATTTGTATTGCATTGTGTTTTGTTGTTATTTGAGAACCGTTCAAAAGGTGTTATAACATACAGTATTTATTTATTGAACGTACCTTAAGATATGAATGGATATATGTTTACGGGGAAAGGAATAGTACATGATGCTCATGCTGTTGATCACTGGGTTGTCTGTTCCAGACTTGCTTTTTCACAGACCCCGCCATATAGCTGGAATATTGCTGAGTGTGGCGTTAAACAACAAACAAACAAATCATAAAAACAGGTATAGGTAGCTTTTTAGTTCTTCCTCCAAATCTAACAACTTGTTTCCGAAGCAAAGGGGGCGGTGGGGTAGCCTAAGCGTTGGCTGGTCACGCCGAAGACCCGGGTTCGAATGCCCACATGGGCACAAAGTGTGAAGCCCATTTCTGGTGTCCCCCGCCGTGATGTTGCTGGAATATTGCTAAAAGTGGCGTAAAACCAAACTCAGTCAGTCAGTCAGTCCGAAGCAAAGAGACTAGATCAACATCATAAATTATTTAAAGACTTTCACCAAGTGGTCTAAATTTTAAGATTTCATGAATAATAGGTTACACAATCATTAAAATATGTCGTTTTACTTTATTTTTCTCCCGCCCGCTATTGAGCCCCCTGGCTGTTTGAGGTTGGTGATGAGACACGATAAAAATACGGATGGCTTAATTCACTGGAGATGCCTGCATGTGAATTGTCACGCACCGTCTCCCTGAACAGGGAAACGCTGAACAACTTCACAGGCATGCAAGGTGTGTAAATCACTACACTGCTGGCAAACCTGAGCGGTTATAACTGCATCGCCATACCGCACGTAGCTGAAGGTACGGGGTTGTCAGTACACGAATGTTAACATGTCCTGCATCGTTATACAGACACTCCCGGGGCCCTGTCGTGGTGTATGTATTGTGTTTACACAACATGGCTTCTCGGCGAATCTCTGATGTGAATTTATATCATTAATCTCGAGTTGGATGTAATAACAATAAATAACATTGAATTTGCTTACCACAAAGATGACGAAATATTGTACATGTGATGTTACGCAGGTGAAAAAGAAGGATATATATATTTTACAAGTATTAGCATTATTTTAACATGTTTCTTTTTATGTTTAAGCTGCGTGTATATATTGCGGCGGGTCTGTTTGTTGTGGGAGGAAAGCCCGAAGTGATGCAGGGTATGGACGGTTACCACTATGGTGAATCTATGGAGCAGTAACGTGCTGACAAACCTAGAAACATGATCAGAGCTAATCCCGGCGTACTACTAATAATTCTGGTACCGAATTTATCATAATATACGTAGACAAATTCCCTGGTTAGTACAGGTGAGGTTGCATCGGGACACAATGACAAAGACAAGGTGTGTCAAACTTTCAGGACGAAAGTGTAGGTGCGCACCCCTACACACACACACACACACACACACACACACACACACACACACACACACCTCTGGATCCGCCTATGCCCCGTGATATAACTTGAATACTGTAACATATGTTATATTTGGGATGACACTTTTTTAGTAAAGTACAAATTCTAGTACTTTTTGGGTTGAGTCCCATCCAGGATTCGAACCCACACCCTCAGAGTCAGGCACCTAATCGCCAGCACACAAAGTCAGACGCCTAGACGGCTCAGCCACCGCGGATGGGACTCAACCCAAAAAGTACAAGAATCTGTACTTTACTAAGAAAGTGTAATCCCAAATATAACATATGTTACATTTGGCCACTTTCTAAAATGGCATTGTGTATTTCATAACTTGAATACTGTTCCCCAATTTCACCAATTTTTTGTAAGGACAGCTTCCTCCAAACATGAGTTCACGTAGTAATGTAGTATCAAAATTAACTATTTTTTCTGTACATACTACATATGTGTCGTGCATAACATGTGCCTTGAGTTAGACATACATCGAGTAAAGATGAAAATACATGGTTATCATGCTACTATTCAATTTTTTTGCTTATTAAATTGTTACTCAGGAATATTCCAACTATATGACGACGATTTGTAAATGATTGAAGTTGGAACAGATGAACCAGGGACTGATGCAAGGAGCGACAGCCAACGCCATCGGGGTAAGGTGAGCTAAATCAACTGAGTGAGTGAGTTTATGTTATGCGGCTTTTAACTATCTTCACGCCGGGGGGACACCATTACATTCCTTCGTACAGTGTACCCATGTGGGGAATCGAACCGGGTCTTCGCTCGTCACGCCGAAGACCCAGGTTTAATTCCCCACATGGGCACAGTGTGTGAATCCCATTTCTGGTGACACTGCTGGAGTATTGCTCAAAGCGGCTTAAAACTAAACTCACTCACTCACCTCGGCGTGACGAGTGAACGCTTTAACCACTAAGCTACTACCCGTGAAGGTCCGGGTTAGAATATTGATCTTCAGTAACCCATGCTTGTCGTAAGAGGCGACTAACGGGATCGGGTGGTCAGGCCCGCTGACTTGGTTGACACATGTCATCGGTTCCCAATTGCGCAAATCGATTCTCATGCTGTTGATCACTGGATTGTCTGATCCAGACTCGATTATTTACAGACCGCCGCCATATAGCTGGAATATTGCTGAGTGCGGCGTAAAACTAAACTCACGTACGACCAGTACAGGTTGCTAGGGTCTATTATAACCTGAATTCTTCACGGTGTTGTTTTGTGGCAGTTTACGACAGATGTAGAGGTGTGTTAACATCAGCTGAGACGGACACGCGACAGATCCTGTTTATGAAGCAGCTCGCATCTGCTAACATCCGCCACTACTGTCTAATGCGTTGTTATTCTGGGAAGTCTTACGACAGACCCCAGTACGAGTACAGTGTGTATACACCGCTCTGTTACCATGTGTCATAATGTATGTCAAGGTGAAGCGACGCGGAGATATGCATTGGGTCTGAAGCAGCGTACACACTGACTGTTTCGTTACATGTAATATTTATCACAAGGCAAACAACCATGATCTGAGGGCCACATACAATATTTGTCTTATATCCGTTTACCAAGTCTACAAGGGTCTGCTGACCCAAGGCTTCAGTCCTTCAAGTGTACGAAGTCTCAGATTACAACGAGGTCAATACCTGTTCTGTATTTTCCTTTAAGACCTTTAAGTGTTGCCTTTGTGCGAAAAAAACAAGTACAAAAAAGAAATAAGTATTTGAAGGAGATAAAGCTGTCAACATGGTTTGGTCTTTTTGAGACGGTTCTGTTTCAAAAGAGCACAGCTTGCACCCACGAGAGCACAACTCTGGAAGAGCCCCAAGGGCACTACTCTGGAGACCCCTAAGTGCACTACAGTGGACCACTCACAAGAGCAGGGCACTACGAGGGAGCACCCGCAAGGCCACAGCAGTGGAGCACCCGTTAGAGCACAGCACAGACCACCCGCTAAAGCACTACACAGTAGCAACGGGTAGAGGCGGCGCTGCACCTACAGCAGTGTCAGGGTCCTTGTGATAAGTCGGTTCGACACCCTCTTTACCTCAGGACACCGAGAGATGGTCAGTGTTGGTCGGACTGGGTAGCAGACATGTGAATCAGAATCGGATTTATCGTGAACGTGATAATTCCTCTGGATCGAAAGTGAGAAAAACATATCTTATAAGAAATCATGACAAACCTCAGCAAAAAACGTATTGTCATCATCCTATCTGTGATAGTGGTGGCTGTTGCAATCATAGCACCCACAGCATACTATCTCACCCGTCCATCGGACACGGGGGATGAGGTTGTGCCAGGAGGGCTCCCCACAAATCCCGAGGCCCAGCGACTGGACTGTTTCCCAGAGGCGGAGAATGGCCTTGAGCAGGTGACGAAGGAGAGCTGTGAGGCCAGGAACTGTATTTTCGCCGGGTCGGGCCAGGGAGGGCCCGATTGCCACTTCCCCCTGGACGGGTACGGGTATTCTGTGACGGGCACTGAGGACACCCCCCTAGGGTTCAAGGCGTTCCTGAAACAGAAGGGGAAAGCCCCTTTCGGAGGTGACATTAATTCAGCTGTATTTGAAGTACAAATGAGGGATGAAAATATTCTTAGGTTTACGGTAAGTAGTTAATGGCTGAATGTATATGTGGTTATACAGATTCTTGAATATCATTTGTGACAATGAGTCATTAAATATGTCCGATGTCACAACAAATACCCACCTTCAACTACACAATATAGCTAAGTTGGGTATGAATACGAACAGGCTGATATGGCGACGTTGCGCTTCTACTACATGGCTAATTAGCAATATGGCTCTGGCACAGGTTCTGGCTGTGGGGTGGCCCAGTGGTTAAAGGGTTCGCTCGTCTTGCCGAAACACCGGGTTCGATTTCCCACATTGGTACAATATGTATTGTACCCATTTCAGGCTTCCCCTATATTAATATAGCTGGAATATTTCTAAAAGCGTCGTAAAACAATGTTCACTCATAATATGGCTGAAAATTACAGTTGCAGCGGAATATATAAACTGCATGGACAGTTAATGATGTCAGTCACCAACCTCCACAAGCGACCCATGTATTCCAGGTCACCGCGATACAGCTGGGATTAACTGCGAGCTTACTGTGTCGTTGAGCACTTGCCTCCCTCGGATAACATGGCATACAATCTGATGTTGCTAGGGCACAGGGTTAGAAAAACCCATGTTCCAGAAAATACAAAAAGTGAAAGGTTAAAATTGAATCAAAATCTTTGTTGAACTAAAAAACACCAAATTGTGTGAAATACTGCATACTCGATCCTATGATACTACCGACCGCCCCTTCGTGCTTTGTCAATGTTATATGGTGCTCGGGGGTTTCACAAAGGGGGATATCTAGAGCGGCGTTAAAGAAACAGACAGTCACCAAATAATTTCCATTTTCAAGAGGACAGGCCTAGGTTAACTTTGCTTTCTATCACACTCGCCAACGGCCGCCATACAGCTGGAATATTGCTGAGTGTGGCGTTAAACAACAAACAAACACGCCCAGGTATGAGCGTGTTAGCCAGAACAATGCTTCTTTAATGTCGCTGAACCTGTGCCAGAACATTTCATACATGACAGCGTTGACGAGCGTGCCTCCTTCATGTCTCACAACAGATGAATGGACTGACTGTACCCCTGCTTTAGACATTCTTGCACATTTACATACCGCTGCACTTAACATTCACTGCGACAAGCCGAAAAATATGAATAAATTATTATAAAATACTTAAAAGGCCTAGAAGGCAAGGAAGTGACGTGAATGGAAAGCTATGTACTGTTAGCTCTGGAGGACCTGTGTCCGTACTTCAGATGGTCAGTTTGGACTTCCAGATGCATAGTGATCTGACCCGTAGGTATTCAAGCAATGGCTAAAGTCAAAAACACCTGAACATCTAGACTAACGGTTAGTCTCTGAATAATATAGATAGATAGATAGATAGATACAAACAGTTCCCTTGAAATTGAAAAGGAGCCCCAGTGAAAAGGGAGAATCGGAACCTGAGCAGATCTGGACCTCTTCCTGAGGAAATGTCGACTTGCATCATTTAGGGCTTTAGCATTGCAGAAAGGGGTGGCCAGAATGGAAATAGTGTGGTTCAAGGACTGTGACACAGACTACTGATTCGAGTACTGAACACCAAGCATTGGTTTGATAGTCGTATTTAACAAGATGCTTGAGAGTCCATGCTTGCTTTGAGAACACAATGTCGCCTCAGCGAGATGCACGTGAAATATGTATTGTGTCTATTTTTGCACCGCGCCTCGCACTTATGAATACGTGATTCGTGGCAAGTATGCAATCTGCAGTCGACTGGCTTGAGTGCATTATACTGACAAACTGAAAAACGTCGCCTGATAATGAATAGAGTAGGGTTTTTTCATCTACGATCGTTTCTACAAATAAAAGCTAATGAAAAGAAGAGGAAATCTTTTGAAAGCCGATAATGCTATGCAGCTCATCAAACAAACTTGCGACGTGTCGATTTCAGCCAGACTGTTATTTACATCAAACAGCTCAGAGTACCTCAGTCTTGCTGGAACCGTAAATCACCAACAGCGCTGTCACATTATATTCGACTTTGCCCTTTAAACGAGGTATAAAGGTATTCTCACCAAGGTACTCACATTCACGTTCGGGGAGGAAGTCAATAGTAATTTCAAATATCACTTTTGATCTGCTGTGGAATTTCACTGAACAACAGACTAAAATTGTCACATATAATCCCATCCTTGCGTGAGGAGGGCAATTCGTGACCACAAAGCGCCTGGTGACGGAAAAGGCGAGTGTCGTCGAATGGGACGAGACTAGGCTGTATGCGATATTGAACCGTACGGGGCAAAGTAGAAACAAATGTTCCATTCTTATATACTCAACCAAATTAACATCTTCGCACTTGTTAAATTGTATGTGTTTGTTTGTTTGTTTGTTTGTATACGCACTCAGCAATATTCCTTGTATATCGCGGTAGTCTGTAATTAATCTATTCGAAACCAGACAATCCAGTGATCAACATCATGAGTATTCTGAAATTGATCTTCAGTAACCCATGCTTGTCGTAAGAGGCGACTAACGGGATCGGGTGGTCATGCCATCGGATCCCAATTGCGTAGATCGATGTTCATTCTGTTGATCACTGGATTGTCTGGTCCAGACTCGATTATTTACAGACCGCCGCCGACCGCCTCCGTGGTGTAGTGGTTAGAGCGTCCACCCGGAGAGCGGAAGGTCGCGGGTTCAATCCCCGACCTCGTCATACCAAAAGACGTTAAAATATGGTACTTGTTGGTCCCTGTCTGGCGCTCGGCATAAATGGGTACAACAAGGACTGGTCGGCTCGGAGTCAGTATACTGTGTCTGAGTGGGGTATTCATGCTTCACTGCGGCATGGTATCTCAGTGGGTTAGCACTATAAAACAAGCTTCAGTCTGGGCTAGTACAAGCAGCCGCGCATACACATACACACGCATGCACGTCGTCATATGAGCGAAATATTCTCAAGCACGACGTTAAACCCAATTTCACCTCACCTCACCTCACAGACCGACGCTATATAGCTGGAATATTGCTGAGTGCGGCGTAAAACTAAACTCACTCACTCACTGAAATATATCCATAACGTATTTTCGATCGTTTCAAATACTCCGTAGAAAACGACAGTTGTGCTGGTTTCTACAAAAATGTTAATCAAATAATCAGATAGGTGTGTTGTAATTACAAAATTTCAGTCCGTTTGAGTCAGAAACGGACCGATGAATTGCACACTTTATCATTGTACAAAATTGCCACATAAATATAAATAGTACACATGTTTATCATTTACTAATACCCAACAGCTTTCATATACTTGAAAATTTTCCGGACCCCACCACAAACATTGTGAGGGTGATGCGAAGCAGGTAGGGGTCGTGTCAAAATCACACAAATTAAAACATTTGGACCACTTTCAAAAGAACCTTGTATGGCAGTCTATCAACAAGCTCTATTCTGAAAACAAATACATGTCGCTGAAAATTTAAAAAAAGCGTTTGAAGCAAGAACACAACCTCAGAGTATCAAAGTACACACTCTGGCGTCTCTTACACTCTTTTGGGTATCGTTGTAAGAAAATGTCGGGGGAGAATAGGTCAGTACTCTGTGAACGCCCTGATATCGCTGATTGAGAAATAATTTTCTCAGGGTTATAAAGAAAAAGCGCGAGGAAGGGTTCGAGCCATTGTACTTGGACGAGACCTGGGTCAATGCCTCGCACACTGCCAGCAGTCAGTGGGTACCCGATGGGGGTGATAAGGCGTCACGTAGAAAGCTGCCTCTAGGGAAAGGAGAGAGACTAATCATTCTCCATGCTGGTTGCTCCAGCAAAGGCTTTCTCCCAGGCTGCGACTTGGTATTCAGGGCAAAGTCCACAGATAACAGAGACTACCATTCCGAGATGAATGGTACGGTTTTCCTCGATTGGGTTAAAAACAAGTTGGTACCAGCTCTACCAGAGAAGTCTTTTATCGTAATGGACAATGCCCCATACCACAGCGTGCAGGACCCCGACAGTAAAGCCCCGACATCGAACAGTCGAAAAGGTGATATGATATCATGGCTCGACAAATTTCAGATCGCACGGCCTTCAAAGGCAACGAAGCCTCAGCTATATGAGATCATAAAAACCCACAAAGGTGAACCTTTCTACAAAGTTGACAGTTACATAAAAAGTAAGGGTCACGATATTCTGCGACTTCCACCCTATCACTGTGACCTTAACCCCATTGAAATGATATGGGGTATTGTCAAAGGAGATGTTGCCAGATCAAACACAACTTTTAGATTACGTGACGTAGAGGTTTTGGTTAAGGAATCCCTTAACAAAATCACGACTGAAACTTGGCAAAACTGTGTCAACAAGGTAGCTAACGTCATTGAACAAGGTTACTGGTCTCGGGATGGCTTACAACAGGCAACTGTGGCACCACTTGTCATCCCTTTAAGTCGTGACTATGACACTACGACGGACGAGGAACCGACAGGTCTCCCGGAATAGATTTTGAGATGTCCCCCGCCATGACTGGCTGTTCCGTTTCTGCGGTTTCACCCCGCCGCGACAGATAACAACTTTTGCGTTTTCAATGATGATAGTTTCTTAAACAACTTTTTGGTGGAGTCCGGAAAATTTTCAAATATGGGTAAGTAAAAGCTGTTGGGTATTAGTACAATGATAAAAATGATAAACATGTGTACTATTTGCCTCGCGGGATGTGGCAAGTTCAGATTTGTACAATGATAGTTAAATATTTGTAATGAACCATCGTACCAGGTACGTTGTTTCTATATTTCAAACGAGACGATTAAGGATTCGAACCCGGGTCTTCGGTGTGACGAGCCAACGCTTTAACCATTAAGCCACCCCACCGCCCCCTCGGATCCAAGATGTTTCTAGGTCTGTCTGCACCTGTAATCATCTCCAGTACTTTCAAAGTTATACACCTGAAAGACCCGTGAATTAGAATTGGTCTTCAGAAACCCATGCTTGCCGTAAGAGGCGACTCACGGGATTGGGTGGTCAGGCTCGATGACTTGATTCACACATTTCCTAATTTCGTAGATCGATGCTCATGCTGTTGATCATTGGATTGTCTGGTCCAGACTCGATTATTTACAGACCGCCACCATATAGCTGGAATATTGCTGAGTGCCGCGTAAAACTAAACACACTTACTGTAAACCTGAAACGCCTCACTTTAACTTTAGTAATGCGGTCATGGCGTTACTTAACTGGAATGTTAATGTCGTCGATAAACCAAACTGACTCATAGATGATGATGTTTAGATAAAATAAGATAAAATAGATAAAATAAAATTACTGAAAATTACTAAAATTACAGGTGAAAATGTAAGTTATGACAGGTTTGGATCCGAGATCCGTCTCTATAGTATTAAACTCCAAGCTTCATCTCAGGCTTGCCTTCATACATAGTCATGACGACAGTAGAAGGTTCTAGAAACCTTTTGACAGCGGAGTTTATCTCGTTCACTCACTCACCCACTCATACGTAGGTATAGAGGGGCAGATTAAGTTCCCAGTTCGCCAAAGAAACTGTAGATCGGGTTATTTCAGTGTTTAACTCGACTGTCCTTAAGTCATCGTGCCTCGAGTTCGATACACGCCACCCCGAGTGAGTGAGTGAGTTTAGTCTAGTTTTACACCGCTTTAGCAATATTCCAGTAATATCACGACGGGGGACACCAGAAACGGGCTTCATACATTGTACCCAAGTGGGGAATCGAAACCGGGTCTTCGGCGTGACGAGCGAACGCTTTAACCACTAGGCTACCTCACCACCCCAAGCCACCCCGAAACAACGAGGATAGCTATCACTCACGTACTGAAGTGCAGAGCACCAAAGAGGATCAAAATGAAGCAATGATATGATGGCAGCTGTTTCTGTTTGTGCCTGGAGAGCACGTTCCTGGCGGTTCGATCCTATCACCTTATACCATACCACGTTAAAAGATAGTACTTATTTATACCCTGCCTGTCACTCGGGATAAAACAATTCCCGGAGCCAGTATGCTGTGTCCCATTAGGGTAACTGTGTTAAACTGGGGCATGATCCAGCTGAGTACAAGCGACCTGTGCCATTGGGATACGATGACGTGTCAACTAAGTCAGCGAGCTGACTACCCGATCCCGTTAGTCGCCTCTTACGACAAGCATGGGTTGCTGGAGACCAATTCTAACCCGGATATTGACAGGTTGTATGCGTGTGACCCAAATCGGCAAAACAATTCTCCAGTTGTTTACTCGATATGACAGACGGTGGCCCTCTTGTTATTCATGCAATGTGATATTATTTAAACAATTCCTAGCGTCCACAAAGGGAGACACTGGCTGTGATCTGAAACTTCCCGGACACGTGTACGCGCGCATACATTGCCCCGTTTAAGTTGGAAACCTACCGAAGGTGACCCGTGAGGTTTTGTAGTTGACACCAATATTATTCTAATCCTGTTTATTTAGTGACTGTGTGACAGTGTTAGATGTTGGTATTTTGGGCCATTGACGTATTTTTAGGGATCAGACCCTCCTGTCATATTATGTTGCAACTAGCAGAGCAGAGTTTTGTCCCTTGGGCGTGCTCTGATTGGGCCTGACCATGTTTCTAGTTTAGAATAGAAGAATAGAACAGAATAGAAGAAGAATACTTTAATGCCGTTTCAGGAATTCGTGTTACATCAGCAGAGCTACTGGCACATTAGAGAGATACCAAACATATTTACATAAATTCATTGATTTAGGTATCTTCACATTTGTTTAAAAGACATATGGAACTTGGAATAAAGGATGTACGGGCTCTCTTAGTTTTCACAATTGGAACTTTGTAGCGGCGGCCTGAAGGGAGGAGGTTGTATTCCGAATTTGAGTAGTGAGTTGGGTCATATAATTTTGACAGCTTGATTCACGATTTGCCGTTCATATATTGATGATAAACATTCAAATCTGACTCCAGCGATTTTACTTTCAGTGTTAACAATTTTGTCTATTTTAGATTTGAGATGAACTGAGAGAGACCCGTACCAACAATGGAAGGAAAATGTTAAAATACTCTGAATAAATGCTACATAAAGAGATGACATCACAGATGGGTTAACATTAAAAGATCTCAGTTTACGCATGAGATGAAGACGTTGTTGACACTTTTTGTATAGGGCTTCAGTGTTAGAGTTCCAGTTCAGCTTAGAGTCAATGAAGGTTCCCAGATACTTACTCCGACACTGTCTCAACACATTCACCGTTGATTATCACTGGAAGCATTTCTGTGGGTTTACTCCGAAAGTCAATACAATACCTGTGATTGTGTGTTTCTCCTGACTGACTGAGTTTGGTTTTACGCCTCTTTTAGCAATATTCCAGCAACATCACGGCGGGGGGACACCAGAAATGGGCTTCACACATTGTACCCATGTGGGGATTCGAACCCGGGTCTTCGGCGTCACGAGCCAACGCTTTAACCACTAGGCTACCCCACCGCTCCCGTGTTTCTCCTGATTGGCAGACGTCTAAAACATCTTTTCATCCCACATCGTACCGGGTTCCGGTATATTTGGTGCCAAGCGCTCCATGCCCAGCATCCGAGGTGATTAAATCGGGTTGTCAGGTTCTGTGACTTTAGTTGGTGCCAAAGGGCGGTGGGAGCCTGGTGGTTAAAACGTCATGGCATGTCTGAAATATTGCTAAAAGCGGCGTAAAACTAAACTCACTCATTACTTGGTGACTGCACGTTAACTTGTTCCGATGTATCCTCAGTTATCACTGTCTGTTATAATACATACTCTGGAAACATTCCCCACAATACCACTTCTTAATACGCCACATCCAAAGGTGGAATATTTCTTACTGTGTCGTTGAGTAACAAATGCACTCAAAAAATCAAAATATCAAGACAAAGTGAATTAGTATTAGTGACCCGCTAATGGTGTGCCTTTCGTTCCCAATCAGTGCAGTCTGTCACAAATGACAACATTTGATTGGCTACTGGTTGCATGTATTTGTTACTTCTCAGATCGATGACCCCAACTCCCCCCGCTACAAGGTCCCCGTGAACCTCAACCTGCCGTCAACCAAGGCGGCAGACGCCAAGTACAACGTCGTCATCACAAACCGGGACACCTTCGCCTTTCAAGTCATCAGGAAGGCAACAGGCAAAGTCATGTGAGTCGGTGACCTTGGCATTGCGTATCAGTGAACGTCAATGAGCTCATCGATTGGTTAGAACTGTTGAGAGGGATTGGGGTTTTCGGCAGCAAAATTCCACATTTGGGTCACGGGGGAACGCCTTGATTACCCCATCGACACAGCTTTTTGAAGAACAAATTATACATTCAGTGTAGTCTTTTTAAAATGTCGGAGTGTCACCTTGAATAAAAGTCGATTCTATCAGATAGATGTACGCTTACAGAACATCTATCCTCTGTTCATGTCCTTCCAATACTCTTCTACTACGTTAGATCTGCAGCCTAACAGTTTCTTTTTGCAGGAGCTTTGCTGTTATCATGGCCTATATCCCTATTGTATCTACTGTTATTCAGCTGGGACACGGGCGTTGGGGGACTGACGTTCTCGGACCAGTTTCTGCAGATCGCCACTCGCCTCCCTTCGGACAAGGTGTATGGACTTGGCGAGAACCATCACAAGTCCTTCAAACATGACCTCACTAAAACGTGGCCGATGTGGTCACGTGATCAGCCCCCGTGGCAGACTGTGAGTTTCTGAGTTTTCTCAGCAACCATTAAATCAGTGAATATTTCACTCATAAGTCGCCTTCCATAATATGTTTTTCATTTTTTTGTTAAATTCCAGTAGTTGAATCGGTTTCATTTTACTTTATAAAAAATAAACATATTTTATCTTATTGTCATAAATAATTATATTTTATTGTATGTAAAAAAAATTTATTTTGATGTATAAAATATTTTCTTTTTTTCTTGGGGGCTTGCGTTGGGGTGTCAGGTTCCGACCACATCATGTAGGTTATGTGTTGGCTGGCTATATGTCGACCGCCTCCGTGGTGTAGTGGTTAGAGCGTCCGCCCGGAGAGCGGAAGGTTGCGGGTTCGATCCCCGACCGCGTAATACCAAAAGACGAATATAAAATATGGTATTTGTTGGTTCCTGCCTGGCGCTCGGCATAGTCCGACAAGGAATTGTCGGCTCGGAGTCAGTATAATGTGTCTGAGTGGGGTATTCATGCTTCACTGCGGCATGGTGTCTCAGTGGGCTAGCACTATAAAACCAGCTTAAGTCTGGGCTAGTACAAAAGCCGCACATACACATACGCATGCACGTCGTCATATGAGCACTACGTTAAACCCAATTTCACCTCGACTTGTGTGGTGCACCGTATCCTGCACTGTATCGTACTTACCCTGTGTCTGTTAAGCATGGCTATATCCATAAGCAATGATTTATCGTATCTGATGCACCTGTACCCAATCTGATTTACCCACGTCTAGCCCCAGTCCAACCTGTACGGCGTCCACCCCTTCTACATATGCGTGGAGGATGACGGCGGTAACTCTCACGGCGTTTTCTTACTCAACAGCAACGCTCAAGGTACGTCAACAGTGGACCAAGTTTGTCTCAAGTCTGTCAAGAACCGTTTTATCGATGAATATGCTGGATGCCCCAAAATGTTTTGTGGAGAAATATGCAGCTTCTCCATCTAGAGAAAAATGTATTACGGGAAGCAATGACCGAAAAGCACCAGTTACAAAGACTGTCTTCACCTGTCTTTAGGAATTGCCAATCGGGAAGGTTAACATTACCGTTGTGTAACTGTTCCTGGTATTCTAAAATTTACATTCCATGATTAATATGAAAGATTTATTTTCACAGATTATTCCTTCACTGACACTCCCAGCCTGACGTATCGTACGACTGGCGGTATCCTTGACTTCTTTGTGTTCATGGGGAGTACGGCCAACAATGCTGTTCAGCAGTACACGCAGGTAAGACTAAAGTAGGCAAATTGCTTACAGTGTGTTTAATGGCCTTTACGTCATGCATTGTGTGACCGCCTGCGTGGTGTAGTGGTTAGAGCGTCCGCCCGGAGAGCGGAAGGTCGCGGGTGCGATCCCCGACCGCGTCATACCAAAAGACGTGAAAATATGGTACTTTTTGGTCCCTGCCTGGCGCTCGGCATGAATGGGAACAACAAGGACTGGTCTGCACGGAGTCAGTATAATGTGTCTGAGTGGGGTATTCATGCTTCACTGCGACATGGTATCTCAGCACTATAAACCCAGCTGAAGTCTGGGCTAGTACAAGCAGCCACACATACACATACACACGCATGCACGTCATCATATGAGCGAAATATTCTCAAGCACGACGTAAACCCAATTTCACCTAACCTCACCTCATGCATTGTGTAGTTCGTTAGTAATGGTGAGTCTGATTTTACTATTGGCAATATTCCAGCAATATCACGACGGGGGGACACCAGAAATGGTCTACACACTTTGTAACCATTAACGCTTTAACAACTAGACTACCCCTACAGTCCCTCCTAATATGGAATTCTTTAATCTACAGGCACAAGCCCCATCAAAGTACTTACCCGAATATGTTTTGAAGTTTGTGACACTAAACCCATTTCATATGGCGTCTTATCTCTATGTTAGTCGCCTTGTTGGGTGTACATTTTGTGTAGGATTTAATATGATTATAGACTGTGTTAATGATGAATATGAATATTGAAAACCGTCTGTTCTGTCACAGGTGATCGGACGCCCCGTCATGCCTCCGTACTGGGCTCTTGGGTTCCAGCTGTCACGATATGGGTACAATAACATCTCTAATCTCAGGAGGGCCGTGGAGAATACCAGGCGGTACGACATACCTCATGTAAGTACTGGGATACCACTCTTGAGACGGCTGGCCCTCATCTCTGGAACAATCTTCCATCTCACCTCAGAACACAACCAGATTTAGCTGTTTTTAAATCAAATCTGAAGACATGTCTCTTTGGTGAAGCATTTGAACTATATGTGATATCTTGACCATCTTAGAGCCAGAGCGCCTTTGAGCGGATTACGGATATTGGCGCTATACAAGTATTTGTATGTATGTATGTATGTAAGATGCCGCTGAATATCTCGTGAGAATACCAGAAAGTCGTATATAGCTCTGTACTAGACATAGAATACCAGAAGGCCTTGCATACCTCACGCAAATATTAGACATAGGAATGTGTGAATTCCAAATAGTTATGATCAGCAGATCCGAGACCGATTAATAGAAAAGTACCTTATGTGTCGCAATGTATTGCAACCATTTATTGTGCGTATGGGGCGTAGGGTCAGCGAGTTCAGTAAAGGTTACAAAAGCGAGGTGGTTGACTTACTCCATCACAGACTACAGATCAGATATACATATACTTGTGGCCCCACATGGCGTTAGGTGGTTGAGTTTGTAAAAATAATAGATAACCATTATCATCGTTGTGTATCTTTAACGACCTGTTGGACATGTCATTTGTTCAGATGACCTCGTGTTCCATTATTGGATGACACTTGGTTCCAGGTGATTTCATGTGTTTACGTGTGGTCAAACTTGGTTACATGTGGCTACTGTGTGTTGTAGGACGTGCAGTACGTCGACATTGACCACATGGACGAGCGGAAGGACTTTACAATCGACGACATCAACTTCCCCGGTTTGAACGACTACTTCAACGAGCTGAGACAGGAGGGCATGAAAACCATCATTATCTTGGTATGTGGTGCATCACCATGACTTACAATTACACAAAGCACGATGTCAGTAAAGCACCCATTCTCTTTCCACAGAGGTTACTTGTCATATCTTCCTAGGAACCTCTGTTCGAATACGGCCATATTTCCCGGTTCTCGTATAATCCCCTAGAGGCAAAAAATCGCAACGCGAATTATCTCCATTCTTTCTGTCCAATCAGAACACGTGTTACATCGACTTAGATCCAACTTGACTAACGTAAGCAAATATGGGGCCACAAATATCCCTCCTCTGCCGGGGACTTGTGTTGATGTGACACACAAGACATTTAATGGCTAGCTTGTCCGTTGTCAACGAGGGCGATGGAGATGCCATTGATCCGCCATAACATGACCGAGTTCTGTCTAGAAGAAACGTTTGCGCATCGCACAGGGGAAGAGGTTCTAGTTTTCCCGAAGCAAACGGAAATTACCGAGGCCTTGCGAATGATCACCTTTGAAACAACGTCGCTGATTGCACAACTAAATCTGATTGCAACCAATCACGAATCCTGAACACTCGCACCATGAAAGGGCCGGATTAGAACAGAGGTTCGTAGGAAGGTATGACAAGTAACCTCTGTGGGAAGAGAACGTAAGGCACCACGGGTGTCCTGAGAATACTTCTCCAGTCACTGGGCTTGTCGTAACATTGATCAGATGGTCGTGCTCGGTGATCTGGTTGTCTGAGTGCCAATTTATAACGCACACTCTAAATTAAATTCAGGCCATTTTGATGAAGCTCAAATATTGCTGACCGTGGCTTTGAATTGACAAGGTATTACGGTAAGAACATTTTGATATGGTGTCACCGGATTAGTTAAAGCTCCATTTGAATGGCAAAAAGGGGTGCCTTAAGAATAGGCGTTTAACTTGGATGAACTGTAACAGTTAATGTGATTTCGCCCAAAGTACCCCTGCTATATTCCAGATGTGTTGACCCAGAACAGACGGGGAATAGGGTAGTCAGCGTTGGAAGCGTTCTCTCATTACGATGTCGATTGTGCTAAAGAAACATAAAATCCTTACTTACTCATGAAGCCCAATGCCTGAAATATGATTCAGTTCACAGATCTGCAGGTTGATCCAAGTTTAGCATCAGCTATATACGGTAGTTTTGCCTCTCTATCGTCCTTTGACAGGATCCCTGCCTAATCAGCAACGAGACCAACTATGAACCGTATGAGAGGATGAAGGCGGCCCGGGCGAACATCAAGTGGCCTTCGGATTACACCGCCCCAGATGACATGAAGGATGAAACAAACGCCGTGCTTGGATACGTATGTTCTTGATGATGATAAATGGCTATGTTTAAGGGTTACAAGAATACAATATTTTTTATAAAGGTAATGATTATATAACTGATGTTGGTAATATTAACGTAATGCATTATAGCAATGAAAATGTTCAAATCAGTAACTAGTTTTCTGAAAGAGTTAGAATTTCAGTTTTAGCTGTAAAAAGTTGTAAACGTATCTATTAGGTGTTAGAAACTTGCCTGACTGACTCAATATATATCATGAAATGTACACGTGTTACCTTAGAAACAAACATACTGTCACTTTTTCAGGTATGGCCGAAGGGCAAGGTTGTGTTTCCGGATTTTTTCAAGAATGTCACAAGCGAAATTTGGTCTGACCTTATTGTTAGCCATCATAGCAGACTCGTCTTTGATGGCCTCTGGATTGTAAGTCCATCGCACACTGTATACGCACATACATATGTGAATGCGTGCGCGCGCGCGTGTGTGTGTCAATGTTTGCATGTCTTTTTGATGGAAGTGGGTTGGCATTTATATTAACATAATTTGTTCCATAAAACTGAGACAACAATATTTCCGATCGATTGAACTGATCTGCGAATTGAACTGACACCATTATTTACTTTTTCGTTGATTTTTCTTTAATCCTTTATTGTCATTTTGGCTTATAATGAACTATCTTCGTTTATGTTTCAGGACATGAACGAACCTGCCAACTTTGGAACGAATGAAGAGCGCCCCTTCAACTGGCCAGAAGACGCAAGGCCCTACTGGAGCCTGAAATGTCCCCCAAACAAATATGAGGACCCACCCTACAGAACACGTAAGAACATTTACAAGAATTTTCGAACATATGTAAACTGGAGCTGACATGGAAATTCGCTATTAAACAGACAAGAACGACTTCTACGTCCACGTCACACTTACGTCAGGTCTGATGGACTCACATGAGACTTTGTAGCAGTTTAGACAGTATCAACTTCTGGAAACCCTCAACCAACATGCAGTCATTTATTAAGAGTCTGTCTACCCAAATGCGCGTTAAATCTCTGATATAATCATCGCAAAATGACATTCTAATTAGCATTTGACACCGATTTCAAGTGTAAAGATATGGGAACACCCGGTGTTGCCACGAGGGGAGCATGTCCGGGTGCCTGAGATCGTGTTATTTGCCCACCAGTTCCGTTACATCATGTAATGTATCCACACAGGTGCTGCCTATGGCCATGACGGCAGCGGGAAGAAGGCCCGCTTGTCTGACAAGACCACCTGCCTGTCTACTGTACAGGGGGAGTCGGACCAGTACCGGCACTACGATGTACACAGTCTGTATGGGTGGAGCCAGACCCAGCCTACACTCAGGTGTGTGTGTGTGTGTGTGTGTGTGGTGTGTGGGGGACCTACAAGACGATATAGAAGCGTTTTATCTTTGACAATCGTAACCAGTATATCTTTCAGCTAAGTACAATTGATTAAACACTCATTTTTAGGAACTAGTGACTTTAAACTTCGTCCTTTTCTTAACGAAATAATTTGTTTATATCATTATTTATTTGTTTGTGTACTTTGATTTTAAAAGATTTGTTCCTTGATTGTTTAACGCTGCTCTCAGCAATATTTCAGCTACAGTCCGTTTGAGTCAGAAACGGACCTATGAATTGCAAATTTTATCATTGTACAAAATTGCCACATAAATATAAATAGTACACATGTTTATCATTTACTAATACCCAACAGCTTTCTTATATTTGAAAATTGTCCGGAATCCACCAAAAAAGTTCTTTAAGAAACTATCATTAAAATTTTGACACAGTTCACTATTTGTTACGAGGGAGGAGTGCAGAGAAAGGGACAGCCAGGTGTGCGAGAAAGGATGGAGACGGCACAGCACAGGCTAATGAATCAATAACTTGGTGGGCACTTGTGCACGTGCTTCTCTAACACCTGGCTGTCCCTTTCTCTGCGAGGCGATCCCGTTAGTCGCCTCTTAAGACAAACATGGGCTGCTGAAGATCAATTCTAACCAGGATCATCACCTGACAGACTTGTTTAATAATTCTATCCTTGATATCTTCAATGTGTCGCAACACACTAAAATGTATTTCTGATGTTACATCGTAGTTGTATTTATCCAAGAAGGAACTTCAGGCACTGAACCAATATGGGAATCGAACCCATATTTTCAGAATGGTGAACCAACGCTTTTGCTATTGGTCTGCCACGTCGCCCTTCGTTAACTGATATAACATTACATGGTTCAATGTGCTTGTTGTGTCCAGGGCTCTCCAGAAAGCTACAGGAAAGCGTGGCATCGTCATCTCACGGTCAACGTTCCCGGGCAGTGGCAAGGACGCTGGACATTGGCTAGGGGATAACAAGAGTGATTGGGAAGACATGAGGTTATCCATCATAGGTGTGTAAAAATATATATTCATCAAAACATATTTCATGACAGACAATATCATTAATGAATGTGTGGTTGATATGTTTATCTTGGCTTGGCAAGGACAATTCTGAATCCCAAGAAATTAGCATCGTTGAAATTAGTACATGCCAATGTACGTTTGTTGGATATTTGGTCGTTCTTGTATGCTGCACTCAGTAATATTCCAGAAAATACTAGTCTGTGAATAATCGAGTCTGGAGTAGACAATCCAGTGATTGACTGCATGCTGGTAGATGACAACATTTTAATGTCTTAACACTGTGCAGTGATCTTTCCTAACAGAGATTTCACGATGCTGGCTAGCTATTTTTGAAACCCTACGAACTTCTTAAGCTCATTCTTAACACATTAGCTACGATCAAAGTTACGAATTCTTAGGGCTACGAACGCTTCGTGAATAAGGGCCCAGGCTAGCTATTCTCGAAACGTTCGTAGGCCTGCGAACTTCTTAAGCCCATTCTTAACACATTGGCTACGATCAAAGTAAAGAATTCTCAGGGCTACGAACGTTTTGAGAATAAGGGCCCTAGATCGTTATATTCATCACATCAGGATCCCAATCCACAAAACCTTCGTAACGTTACGACCTTTCGTAACTATATAGTTTATAATAGGCTTACGAATGTCGTAACGCTACGACCCCTTTGTGGATCGGGACCTGATAAGTTACGAGGGTGACAGGACACCTAAACCTAGGTTATACATGTTCCAGAACGGTATTCCTGTTGAAGGAACGTTTTCACACCTTTGTGTAAAAGTGAATAACTTTATAGGTTTGCGCCGAGGACGACATATTTGCTGCAAAAAGAACCATCTAGATTATCTTGTCCTTCAATGCTTGATAAAATATTCAATCTAACTTTTCAGGAATTCTGGAGTTTAATTTGTTTGGAATACCCTACGTAAGTAATTTTTTTTTCATTTAATGCGGACACTTAAAACCAACTCTCACATTGACATACAGCCGGGTGGGGATTTGTCATGGAAGTGTAAAGCAAAATCTTAAAGGACTATTTTCAAACTGATAAATAGAAACAAAAGCCCAAAGCTAAATGGCAAGAAATATAATAAAACATATATCATGCCCTAATATCTTCGATGAATTGTGGATAATGTGTCCCGAGTGAATTAAGTGTGTGTCCCAAGCCTCGACGGTGGACGCATAATCCTTAATTCTGAGTTCCAAATAAGTTATTCTTTCAAAGAAGATATGAAATGTATGTGTTTCTTGATATGACAAAATTTCAGCTACTCTGTTGTTGGAACAAAATTACATGAATTATTAGTTTCTTCATAAACATTGCATGACGCCATCTTCTTTTATTTGTGACAATGCGCTCATATGCCCTCACGTCATGATGGTGTTCTTAGGAATACACTGGAACATTCGCAATGAACTTACCAAACAGCACACATGAAGCTAAATGACAATGCCGTATGAGACTAACAGAAATTTATTTTGCCGGTATCCTTGCCCCTAATTTATTGAAATCACGATTTCCATTCAACAAATTCACACTGTTATATGTTATACAGATCGGAGCTGATATCTGTGGCTTCTTTGACAACACTACGGCGGAGTTGTGTGGTCGATGGATGCAGCTCGGGGCGTTCTATACGTTCAGTCGCAACCACAATGGTCTCGGCTATATAGTAGGTGGCACATAGATACATACAAAAATCTTAAATATATCAAAAGGTCTTGGATGAACCTTTACATAAATAGCAATGACGCTTGAGAGAAACTGCATAAATCAAGTGTGCAGAATGGTGTTTCATAAATGGTATTCCATACATCTAGAGTTGCTAAGTTTTTATTTTTATATGTCTTACAGTGTTTATTACAATTGTTAACACTAAACATTGACTTTGTCATGTGTTGATGTTCTATCCCAAAGTGTATCCTTGTTACCAGGATCAAGATCCTGGTGCACTAGGAGATGAAGTTGCCAGTATATCCCGGGAAGCGGTGAGAACACGCTACAGTCTGTTGCCCTTCTTGTATCACTTGTTCCACTCTGCACACACAACTGGGGAGCCGGTCATCAGGTCGCTGGCCCTGGAGTAAGTAGTATCTGTGTTCCTGAAACGATCGAATGATGTTGACTGTGTATTAATTTATCGCTTTTTATAATGTAGTGTTTGAAGACGTACACATACCTCAAATTTTAAGTTCACATATATCATTAGGTATTGATGGGTTTTAAACAGTGTAGCCAGTTAATTTCTTCTTTTAAGATCAGATATATAGAATATGCCTTTCAATGTATATGGTGTGGAAATCTAAAGGTCCTTTATATTCGGTTTTCCTTATATTTAAGAAAATATTCTGGAAAATATTCTTGAATTGACTGAGTGAGCGAGTGTGAATTGTTTTGGGCCGCTTTCGTGAATATTCCAGCAACACTAGAAATGGGCTTCACAATCTGTACCAATATTGAAAATCGAACCCGGGTCTTCTAGCTCGACGAGCTAACTCTTTCACCACTAGGCTACTCCAAAGCTCCAGATATTTTCCTACTTTCATGGGATTTGTCTGTTGTTTTAGGGTTACCTTAATAGGTAAATGCGTTTATGTTAATGCTTGCTTTTCAGGTTTCCATATGAAAAGAATGTGTCCACCAACTTTGAACAGTTCCTATGGGGCGGTGGGCTACTCATATCGCCTATACTGTACGAGGTAAGTCCGGCTTAGTATATAAGGACTGCTGCTATGTATCATTAACCTCATCACTACCGGTCCAAAGGCACGTGCCATTTTCAGAAATGATGTATCTATCGTGACTTATAATTTGGAGTTTTTAAAAGAAATATTTTAATCGGAACGATATCGAGTTATAATATTTTTCGTTATTAACGATAATGCTCTCTTTTCTTTTTGACAGAATCAAACTGTCCTGAAAATGTATTTCCCAGGGGGAAGATGGTACAACTTTTACACGGTCAGTATCTATAACTATCTGAGGACATGCTACAATTATTAATAGGCCTATCTTCAAACATCCGCCAGAAGATGACACATTATCTATAATAACTGACATGATATTGTGGTTGTAACTGGGATGAGGTTTCAAGCTAGTAGAGGAAATATGGTTCAGTTATTAGAAGATGTAGTAATTAAAAGATGTAGTGGGAATATGACACAGTTATTATTCTATTAGTATTAATGTACGATCATGAAATAATAACGTTATACAACAATTGGTGTTGCCCTCGGGTATAACAATACTCTGCTGAGGAACATGTGAAACAGCAGAATGGTGATAGTCATGTACTATTCCCGACTAGTGTTGACTAGTGCATGTATATTTCAGGGGGCGGTGGGGTAGCCTAGTGGTTAAAGCGTTGGCTCGTCACGCCGAAGACCCGGGTTCGAATCCCACATGGGTACAATGTGTGAAGCCCATTTCTGGTGTCCCCCGCCGTGATGTTGCTGGAATATTGCTAAAAGCGGCGTAAAACCAAACTCAGTCAGTCAGTATATTTCAGTTGGAAGAGACCACTAGTACTGGACAGGAGCACGTGGAGATGGCGGTCAAGCCGGACACGCCAGTCCAGCTCCACATCCGTGGCGGCTATATCGTTATTACACAGGAACCTGGGAACAACACACAAAACAGGTACAGCTTTAATGAAAATAGCGTAATAAAAGAGTACTGATAATACATGAGAAGTTACTATCATATTCAGAGAATCGGTCTTGCTAATTCCATGCTTTACTAACTATGGTCCTACCTCATCCTCGATAATCTTCAGGGTATACGTTACGATCACTCTCCACTATACCCTGGATGCATCCACGGCTTGGGGTGATGAATTTATTACGTCCCTTGGCTGGCTTTTTATCCAGTCAGGTGCCTACGCTGGGAAGCTGAGCGAACCAATCACAACTCATTTTCGCTTCTTAAATTATCTAACCGTTTAAAGTTGGGAACACAATTGATGCAGAGGTACTCTGAAAGAAGTAGAAGGAGTTCTGTCATATAGTTTTTTTAAAGTTTCAGATCTGTCAATTTGTCTTTATTATTTCCCAAAAAATCTGAGTGGCACTGCGAACAAACCTTCGCGACTGCGACCGCTATCCTTGTTGACACTGGCAAGCTCGGTTGTAACGGCGGCTTAGCTGATTGGCTACGGCTACTGTGAGAATGCGGAGCCAGCCAAGGGAGGTAATAAAATCATCGCCCCAAGCCCGTGGATGCATCCAGGGTATAGTGGAGAGTGATCGTAACGTATACCCTGGAGATTATCGAGGATGGGTCCTACCTATGCGAGTGACAAACTCAGAAAATAGAGCACAATGTGTTAAGCCCATTTCTGGTGTCCCCCGCCCTGATATTGCTGGATTATTGCTAAAAGCGGCGTAAAACTAAACTCAGTCAGTCAGTCAGTCAGAAAATAGAGAATCTGCGATGGTTGGGAGGCTCTGTGCATTCTGAGAGCGAAGACAAGAACAAGTAATTCCACTCTCTTTTTAAAACCGTTTCCTGACTCCTGAGACGAGAGTACATGTTAAGGCAACTCTCTGTTAAGAGTGAGCTAAAAAATTAACGCGACATGGGCATTATTTCAGCCTTATAGCGTTGTTAAGGCTATGGTCTTGTCAACACTGGGTATTTTCAGCATTGACTGTAGACCAGTGAAGATCCGGGGTAGAATAGATCTTCAGCAACCCATTCTTGTCATAAAAAGGTGACTATGCTTGTCGTAAAAGGCGACTAACGGGATCGGGTGGTCAGGCTCGCTGACTTGGTTGACACATGTCATCGGTTCGCAATTGCGCAGATCGATGCTCATGCTGTTGATCACTGGATTGTCTGGTGCAGACTCGATTATTTACAGACCGCCGCTATATAGTTGGAATATTGCTGAGTGCGGCGTAAAACTAAACTCACTCACTCACATTTATCTGGAGCGTTTGTGTTACTTATGTTGTAAATTTCTGCACACTCAAGTCGCCAGAACCCGCTAACTCTAAAGATCGGACTCTCCCCAGTTTACACAGCGAAGGGCTGGTTGTTCTGGGATGACGGCGAATCGATCGGTGAGTACCCGCTAACAATCAGACACAGTAGAGACGCTGATGTTGACCCTGTTTCAGATATATACATAGAAGCGAGGCTAAGGCACGATTGTGTACATGAAACAATGACAACGAAAGAACATCATATATCTCGAATATACACATGCTATTGGACGTAAAAGCGAAATTAAAGCCAGGAAACTTGAAACGCATTTGGTACTACATACAACGGGTTCTTCACAAAATAGCGCTGATGTGGCTGATTCCATATTTACAATTACTTGCAAGATATTTTTTCTTGGACTCTGCACAAGCAGGTTGACAGTGGCGAATGTTTCTTATTGGTAAGAATATCTATATCTAAGAATACACCCTTCTTGTCCTATAACACTGACTATCAGCCTGTTGGTTAGTATTAAGACAACCTGGTTACATTCCTGTTACAGACACCTATGAGAATGGAAATTATTACAGTTCAACCTTCTACACGGAAAATGTGAGTACGAGAAACACACAGACAAAACACAGTATGTATGTTTCAGCTCTTGTTTAGTGTTTATTTACATTTTCCCTTTTTTCCATTTCTTTCTTTCGCATCCTTTTCTTGCATTTCTCTTCTTTATGTTGTACTTCCCTTCCCGTCTTGTTTTCTCTGCTTCATTCCACAGAGAATCCAGTTATCTCGAAATATTTGTAAGACATCTTAACTTGCTCTGTGTATTAATCATAACAGCAATGTGGTGTTAGTGGCATATCAAGTAATGCCACTATAACGCCACTCTGTTAACTGAGCAGGACATTTGCCTTAACCCAACAGTGCTACCAAATGTTGACTATAACTTGACTCGTCCATTCCTCTTTTATTCTGAAATAAACGCCCATAAAAATACATACATGGGCGATATATTGCGGGGATAGCACATGGACCACTTAATCCCTGTCTCAAAAAAACACATTAATCTTTAATTCATGTTCAGAGAAAGTGTTTCAACTATGCCTTGTGAAGTCTCCGAAACTGTGAATTTTCAAATTTGTATCATACATGACGACGAAAGGAAATCATGATGATGTGTTGATCCATGCTGATGACCATATACACAGTTCCATTGCTAACTTCAGAATACATTGTCTGTCGAGAATCAGATTCGAGGTGAAAGACCCATGCAGTTGACTTATGTCAGTCATATACACCTCGTAGATCATAACGAACGTAACTTCAATATTCTAATAATAATAATAATAATAATAATAGTGTATTAATAAGGCGCGTTTATCCATACACATTGCATGCTCAAAGCGCTGACATATTTCCTCTGGTCAACGAGTACAGAACACTCCATGTGGAGAATACAACCGGTCGCCTGTCAGGCGCTCAAGGTTCAAATTCAGACTACCATCGTATCATACCAGGTACCCAATTGTACTGCTGGGTGGACAGAGGCAGTTTTGAACAAACTCACTTGTTTAAGGTGAGACCACATGCGTCAAATGTGCTTCGTTGTGGGGCAGGACTGAAGTCCTAGAAACTTTCAGGAGTCAAGCTGCCAAACACAGTCACCCATCCGAGGACTGTCCGCGACCAACGTTGCTTAACTTCAACTGATTGTGACCTGAGCTCTACGCACAGGACCACACACCGCCACATCCGTCTAACACAGACTTACGATAATCGTGGTGCTAACATTGCTCATGGAACGGAACGGAAGAGAAATACAGGCCTATATTGCTTATCAGAGACGACCAAATGGCATCGATTGGTCATGCGAATAATTTGTTTGATTGCGTTTCGTAAGTTATGGACGTCGTTCATAATATCAACCATTGGTTTTCTGTCACGAATTATATTGTGTTACTGCTTACAGACATCAATATTGACCTTTGATGTTAACAGAATGTACTGGACCTGACAATCGAACACAATTCGGCCTCGGAGGTCAATGACCTCTACATAGACGACATATTTGTCCTCGGTGTGAATATCAACGTCAGCCACGTGAGATTAACATCAGAGAACAGAGACCTCAACTTTACATTTGATGCAGATAAGAAGGTAATTATATAAAGTGGTGAAATGGGGTTTAACGTCGTGCTTGAGAATATTTCGCTCATATGACGACGTGCATGCTTGTGTATGTGTGGATTCTTGTACTAGCCCAAACTTAAGCTGGTTTTATAGTGCTTGCTCACTGAGATACCATGCCACAGTTTAGAATGAAAACCCCACTCAGACACATTATACTGATTCCGAGCCGACCAGTCCTTGTTGTACCCATTAATGCCGAGCACCAGGTAGGGACCAACAAGTACCATATTTTAACATCTTTTGCTATGATGCGACCGGGGATCGAACCCGCGACCTTTCGCTCTCCGGGCGGGCGCTCTAAGTACTACACCACGGAGACGGTAAGTATGTGAAGGCATGAAGATTTGATGACACCTGTTTTGGACACAAATATATAGGTTAAGTGAAGTAAATGTCACGTTGATACAGATGTGAGGTAAGGGCGACTTTAAATTTGCAGGTCATTCAAAATACAAATTTTAGCCAATGGTGACCATACATGAAGCTTTGCATATGGTGCACATACAAATTACAAGTGATGCTACCGTGACCTCAGCTTCACAGACACAGCTTTGAGGGATAGTTTCATCAACTTCATACACATTTTGCGAGTATGGTGACCTCAACTTCACATTTGGTGCCGGTACAGATAGTGTCCTAATTAAATAAATAAAGGTAAAACCTGTTCAAATGAGCCTCTCAACGTTGTCCTGAAACATGGAGGGGGCGGTGGGGTAGCCTGATGGTTAAAGCGTTGGCTCGTCACGCCGAAGACCCGGGTTCGAATCCCCACATGGGTACAGTGTGTGAAGCCCATTTCTGGTGTCCCCCGTCGTGATGTTGCTGGAATATTGCTAAAAGCGGCGTAAAACCAAAACTCAGTCAGTCAGTCAGCTGACACATGGTGGTCACTATCACACTTTCATCGTTTAATGCATCGTGACACTGGATTGTTTCAGATTCTCAGGATCTCGGATCACCTACCCGTGAATAAACCGTTCCAGATCGTCTGGACGTGAGTATAGACTAAGTAGATAATATATTAAATAGACTTAAACAATCTCTGTTTCACAAAACAGAGTGGGAACGTTTTAGAGGTGTGTAGGATCATAATGTTGTTGTTTTTTGTTTAACGCCACCGCAATATCCTAGCTATATGACGGTAGTCTGCATATAGTTGAGTCTGGACCAGTTAATCATGTGATCAACAGCATGAGCATCGATCTACGCAACTGGGATACGATGACATGTGTCAACCGAGTCAGGCGTTAGTCGCCTCTTACTACAAACATATTGAATTGTCCCAGTTAAACATGAAAAATGCTTTCTTAAATAAGAAAAAAGACTTGAAAGGAAGTATTCATATTTTGGTAAATGAAGCATATATATCTTCATTAGAAGAAATTGAAATCAAAAGGCTTGGAAAGTGTTCCATTTCTGACGGAAGAGTATGGGGTCGTTCTGTGAAAAGAAAAGTGTTTTAGGCAGATGTTGGCATAGCTCCTAAAAAAATAAATTTATTTCTGTATTGATTTTGAGGTGGATTTGAAGTATAAAAAATATGTTTTTATGTCATATTCAGATATTTTCCACACTCATGGTATGACCTCTTCAGGGAGCAATTGAAAAAACTCTCTAAAAATGTCATAAACTTGGCTTGTTCTTTACCCACAGTCAAGAAACGGACGATTATTTCACCCGAATCGATTGCTATCCCGAGGCCTTGAGTTGGAAAATCAGCGTCACTAAAGAAGAATGCGAGAAACGAAACTGTGTCTTTGACAATTCTACACATGCTCCTATCCCAGCATGCTATTTCCACCAAGAGAATTATGGGTATTCGGTCTCTGGACCAGTTGAGCAGACGGCACTCGGTTTCCGGGTTCCTCTCACCAGACTGGGAGCCGGGCCGTTTGGAAATGATGTCCAGAATATTACGTTCAATGTGGAAATGAGAGGAAACGACGTCCTTAGATTCACGGTAGGTCATTGGGTATTTTTATATTTAAGTTTACCTTCAGAAAGAGTGGTTGCAATGTAAAGTCTATGCTTTTAGAAAACTGCCCTGGGTTGAGAACAGTTTATCTTATGCATGTTTTGCAATATCTTTGAGGGTTGTTAAGGAAAGGGGAACTTGTTTCTTAAATGCAATGATGTCGTTAGACGTGCTAGATTTGTTGACTAAATTGAACAAAAGGATTTTCACCTTTCAGATAACATTTGCTTTTGAGCATGATGCGAAAACATGTCTCAAACCCAGCCCATATGCCCCAATGAACCTACTGTATACCACGTCACCTATTTTACACTCGCTCAAATCTCAGCACCATGTAAATAGTCATGAAATTATACATTGTCGGCATCTATGTGGCTTGTAATATTTCTTCCAGTTCGATGATCCAGTCGAACAGCGTTTTACGGTTCCTCTCAACATGACCCTGCCGGAGAACAAGGGAGATAACCCAACTTACGATATGATCATAACCAATAACCATACATTCAGCTTCCAGATTGTAAGGAACAGTACAGGCATGGTTATGTAAGTATAGTGTATCATATAGACGGGGTTATGTAAGTATAGTGTATCATATAGACGGGGTTATGTAAGTATAGTGTATCATATAGACGGGGTTATGTAAGTATAGTGTATCATATAGACGGGTTATGTAAGTATAGTGTATCATATAGACGGGGTTATGTAAGTATAGTGTATCATATAGACGGGGTTATGTAAGTATAGTGTATCATATAGACAGGGTTATGGTATATGTATCATATAGACGGGTTAGGATTTATGTATAGTGTATCATATAGACGGGGTTATGTAAGTATAGTGTATCATATAGACGGGGTTATGTAAGTATAGTGTATCATATAGACGGGGTTATGTAAGTATAGTGTATCATATAGACGGGGTTATGTAAGTATAGTGTATCATATAGACGGGTTATGTAAGTATAGTGTATCATATAGACGGGGTTATGTAAGTATAGTGTATCATATAGACGGGTTATGTAAGTATAGTGTATCATATAGACGGGTTTATGTAAGTATAGTGTATCATATAGACGGGGTTATGTAAGTATAGTGTATCATATAGACGGGTTATGTAAGTATAGTGTATCATATAGACGGGGTTATGTAAGTATAGTGTATCATATAGACGGGTTATGTAAGTATAAAGTGTATCATATAGACGGGTTATATAAGTATAGTGTATCATATAGACGGGGTTATGTAAGTATAGTGTATCATATAGACGGGGTTATGTAAGTATAGTCATCATAGACGGGTTATGTAAGTATAGTGTATCATATAGACGGTTATGTAAGTATAGTGTATCATATAGACGGGTTATGTAAGTATAGTGTATCATATAGACGGGGTTATGTAAGTATAGTGTATCATATAGACGGGTTATGTAAGTATAGTGTATCATATAGACGGGTTTATGTAAGTATAGTGTATCATATAGACGGTTTATGTAAGTATAGTGTATCATATAGACGGGTTATGTAAGTATAGTGTATCATATAGACGGGTTATGTAAGTATAGACGGGTTATGTGTATCATATAGACGGGTTATGTAAGTATAGTGTATCATATAGACGGGGTTATGTAAGTATAGTGTATCATATAGACGGGTTATGTAAGTATAGTGTATCATATAGACGGGGTTATGTAAGTATAGTGTATCATATAGACGGGTTTATGTAAGTATAGTGTATCATATAGACGGGTTATGTAGTATATAGTGTATCATATAGACGGGGTTATGTAAGTATAGTGTATCATATAGACGGGTTTTATGTAAGTATAATGTGTATCATATAGACGGGTTATGTAAGTATAGTGTATCATATAGACGGGTTATGTAAGTATAGTGTATCATATAGACGGGTTATGTGGTATAGTGTATCATATAGACGGGTTATGTAAGTATAGTGTATCATATAGACGGGTTATGTAAGTATAGTGTATCATATAGACGGGTTATGTAAGTATAGTGTATAGACAGGTTATGTAAGTATAGTATCATATAGGGGTTATGTAAGTATAGTGTATCATATAGACGGGTTATGTAAGTATAGTGTATCATATAGACGGGTTATGTAAGTATAGTGTATCATATAGACGGGTTATGTAAGTATAGTGTATCATATAGACGGGTTATGTAAGTATAGTGTATCATATAGACGGGTTATGTAAGTATAGTGTATCATATAGACGGGTTATGTAAGTATAGTGTATCATATAGACGGGGTTATGTAAGTATAGTGTATCATATAGACGGGTTATGTAAGTATAGTGTATCATATAGACGGGTTATGTAAGTATAGTGTATCATATAGACGGGGTTATGTAAGTATAGTGTATCATATAGACAGGGTTATGTAAGGCCATAATAGTGTATCATATAGACGGGTTATGTAAGTATAGTGTATCATATAGACGGGTTATGTAAGTATATCATATAACGTATTATGTAAGTATAGTGTATATAGACGGGTTATGTAAGCATAGTGCATCATATAGACAGGGTTATGTAAGTATAGTGTATAGACGGGGTTATGTAAGTATATAGACTTGAGGTTATGTAAGTATAGTGTATCATATAGACGGGTTATGTAAAGTATAGTGTATCATATAGACAGGGGTTATGTAAGAGGTATAGTGTATCATATAGACAGGGTTATGTAAGTATAGTGTATCATATAGACGGGGTTATGTAAGTATAGTGTATCATATAGACGGGTTATGTAAGTATAGTGTATCATATAGACGGGTTATGTAAGTATAGTGTATCATATAGACGGGTTTATGTAAGTATAGTGTATCATATAGACGGGGTTATGTAAGTATAGTGTATCATATAGACTATCATATAGACGAGGGGTTATGTAAGTATAGTGTATCATATAGACGGGGTTATGTATGTAAGTATGTAAGTATAGTGTATCATATAGACGGGGTTATGTAAGTATAGTGTATCATATAGACGGGTTTATGTAGGTATAGTGTATCATATAGACGGGGTTTTGTAAGTATAGTGTATCATATAGACGGGCGTGTTTCTATAGGACACTGATATACTTTCTGAACTTGAGAAGTGTAAATCTGCTTCAAGAAGCTAAGCCTGCCATTTAGAAAGTGGTCAAATGTAGCATAAGAAGGTGAGGTGAGGTGAAATTGGGTTTAACGTCGTGCTTGAGAATATTTCGCTCATATGACGACGTGCATGCTTGTGTATGTGTATGTGCGGCTGCTTGTACTAGCCCAGACTTCAGCTGGTTTTATAATGCTAGCCGCAGTGAAGCATGAATACCCCACTCAGACCCATTATAGTGACTCCGAGCCGACCAGTCTTTGTTGTACCCATTAATGCCGAGCGCCAGGCACCTCAAGTACCAAATTTTAACGGCTTTTGGTATGACGCGGTCGGGGATCGAACACCCGACCTTCCGCTTTCCGGGCGGACGCTCTAACCACTACACCACGGAAGCGGTCCTAGTAGCATAAGAAAGTGTAATCTCAAATATAACATATGTGACTGGTTCCTTCCCTCATATTCCGTCCTTTTGATTGATTGCTATGTGACCCTTGGAAACGTGACTTCAACACCTTGTCACAGATGACGTAAGCCATTGTTCCATGTCACAACTTTCATTCGGGAAACTCACATGTAGTTAACTTTTGTAAAAGAAGCATGTGAGTGATAAACAGTTGAAATAAATAGACCAGCGATAAACTACTGATAGTCTTCTTCCGTGAATTGACATTACTTTCAGAAATTATTACAAACCAAAATAACACAGACCGGGACTTACAGGACGCGAATTCCTGCGTCCTATACACATAAACATTGACGCTGGATGCAACGAAATTTATGAACACAACCACAGGGACGCAGAAAAAGTCCAAATACTTTTTGTAAAAATTCCAATCAGGTAACAATAAGTTATCACTGAGTTTGCTACGAGCTGGGTTATGGTGTTTTTTGCAATTTAATTACTGTAACAATGTGATGATCACGATACACAATACAATAACAGAATTAATAATAATATTAAAGTGTTTGGGATTTGTTGTCCAGGACTCCTGAAAATTAAGAGTATGAGTCCCAGGGACCCTCAAATACAGGACTCAAGGTAAATCCCTGCACACAGATGATTCTTAATTTTTCTCATCGACGTGATCAGTAGTCAAATAGTAACATACCTCCATGCTTTAGTTAAACAAGAATCAAATGTACAGTGTATTTTATGCCTACATCAACAGTTGGGACACTGGTGTTGGGGGTTTGACGTTTGACGACCAGTTCCTCCAGATCTCGACCCGCCTCCCGTCTCCAAACGTGTACGGCTTCGGGGAGAACCTGCACGCTTCCTTCAGACACAACAGCTGGTACAAGACTTGGCCAATGTTCTCACGGGACCAGCCCACCGTCAACGCCTGGGGGGTAGGGAACCAATGTAACATGTCCACTCCATAGGTTCTTGAAACGCTTAGTTTTTTTTGTCTTGCCATTCTTATCAGTCATGTGTTACGGCAACCGTCAAAGCTTAGGGTGTAGTGCCACCACCATTTAGGGTGGTGGACGTTTACTGCAGAGCACAATATAACCATTCTTTCTTCATATCTTTTACTTAAAAAATGTCAGTGTTTGGACCAATGATCTACTTAGAGCATGGCAATTTTTGTATTTGTTATAGTGCATATGTATAATGCGCACATATCCACGCTCGTAAACATGCTCTTGGCGCTAACACAACATTACACGGATAACCCAAACTGCCTGTTAGGCGGGTACCCATTTTCTGCTGGGTGAACAGTGGCAAGTTTGAACAAACTCACTTGTGTAAGGTGAGACCGTATGTGCTTCGTTGTGGGGCAGGAATAAAGTCCTAGAAAGTCTCAGGGGCCAAGCTGAAACACGGTCACCCATCCAAGGACTGTCCGCGACCAACGTTGCTTAACTTCAACTGATTCGTGACCTGGACTCTATGCACAGGACCCCACACCACCAGTTAGTTCTGACAATTGTTGTCTATGTGGTTTATGTTTCGGTGATTTCTTGAGGATTGAAGGGTCCGGACCACCAAATGACATGTCAGCTTTGTTGGGTTTGTTTTCGATTATAATGCAACTCTCGAAACTTTCTAATTCTCTAAACATTCCTCACAGACTGTTCAGTCTGACACATGTCAGCATCCGGACGTTTAACAGTGGAAGAAATGAAAGTGCAATATTAGCTGAGAGCGTGTTCCTATCATAAATTCATATATTTGAATAAAGATTATATTTTTATTAATACTATGAACTACATTCGGAACCACTGAAGTCTGTAATTGCATTATCATAAAACACTTTTCCTATAACGAGTAAGTGAACGAACCCAAAAGATTTAAAGCCATGTGTGTCCATGTTCAGCATCGGAAAACATCTGACTCAATGTTCTAGGAACCTTAAGTAAACGTTTGAGTGAGGTGGTGAAGAGTCGATGTGAAGTAACATACTAAATCAGATCTTGCACTGTAACCCCATCAGCATATTAATGGGATCCTTTTTGCAAGTTGCTGGATTGGTGTGTTGCATGTCCATTACATTATAACGCGTTTCAAGCCCAGCTGGTTGTATTGTACATAGATAATACTAAACGATGCCCCGTGTAATACCATATTTATGAAACTCGTGAATGGTATTGATATCTAACTCGCTTTCGCGCGTTATATGGTATTACACGGGACGGTATTTCACGCTCATAAATATGGTATTACGCGGGACATAGTTTAGTATTGTATTTATTACTCACCCAACATTAGCAAAATAATATCGAGGAAAGTACTTCTTTCCTAAGAATTCAACGAGTGCGATGACTCTCAGCTTTCCGCAAGTCGAGCCAGGTCTAAAACTATTGTGACAGAGGTATTAGCATTGTGACGTCATAACTGTAAACCAGTTTTACGTCATACGTGCGGCACCACGTGATGTTATTACACAATGTGTAATAACATTGTAAAATTATTAAAAGTGATATCTTCAATGTGTGAGTTATAAATACGTTTATAAGGTTGGCGATTTAACAGGATGAGGTTATGTTTTACCTTCATATGATATCAACTGACTAAATCTATAGATGAAACGATCTTTGATAATGTCATCATCTTGATCCAGACTTACAATAACCACTACGGCGTCCACCCCTACTACATGTGTGTGGAGGAAGACGGTAACTCTCACGGCGTTCTCCTCCTCAACAGCAATGCACAAGGTCTGTAGATATAACTGATGTAGAATACGAGATCAATTACACCATCTATGGTCCATTGTTGACTGCACAGATTCATCCTGGTCAGCACAAAACTATTTTGTACAAGGAAAACCTTTTCAATCATCAGTTTAAAAGGATTTCAAATTGTATATTTATCAAAACTCAATGTACACACCTTCACTCAGATACTGGTTGTTGGGCAAAGATCAATGATGAAGTATAGTCAAGGAATCTTCCGTTTTCAACTCATCACAAGACATATTACTTGTGTAAGGATTGTCAAATGTTAATTCAAAACAGCGCTGTTCGCAGTTCGTAGTTATTTGTCATAATTCTTTTTTTTTCAAAGCTATATCGTAAATGTAGTCGATGTCAAATTTGAGAGTGGCAGCGTGTGAGTGTGTCCTATCGTTCCGCACGATAATCACTCATTCACCGGGGTTGGGGGGTGGGGGGGATTTGGTCTGGGGGTTGTGTTATAGTACTCGCTTGGACTATACCCTAGTGTGACTCACCAGATGTTATAAGTACAGTTGTGTTTAAGTTGAAACTGTTATCGCCTGCCTTAGTATTATTTACAAAAAATGGATTCGGTGGTCACGGAATCCCGTTTACTGATGATGGACATCAATGATGGTTGTTCCCAGACTATACCTTCTCTCCGATGCCCATGCTGACCTACCGCACTACTGGCGGCATCCTGGACTTCTATGTGTTCCTTGGACCAACCCCCGACCTGGTCACCAGTCAATATACAACGGTATACTCATCATAAAAATATACTCTTAAAAAGTAACACTTTTGTCTGGTACACGTCTGTAAATGAAGCAATGCCCAGATTCATAGTCTGTGAAAACACAGGCAAGAGGAAGTTAATAGTATAGGACATGATGATCAACGCATATTTTGAGAATCTGACTGTCAGTGATAACTAAAAGCCAGTTCAAAGTCCGTCAAAGATAGTTTATATGGAACCTACCCGGCTATAGTTATTAGGCTCGTTGACAAAGACGTATAGAAATATTCGAACATTTTTAGTCATGTGTTATTTTACCACAGCTTGTTACTTCTATTTGAGTGACCGGGGATCATACAGTGCAAAAAATCAAATACAAAATTATTCGTTTCATCTGATAGAAATATTTTTTTTAGAAAAACCACGACACTAAATCTTGACCCAGTCCATTCACCCTCCTATGTATTTGTGTAGGCTATAGGACGCCCCTTCATTCCTCCGTACTGGGCGCTAGGATTCCAGCTATGTCGCTATGGATACAACCACATCCAGAACCTGAAGGATGTTGTCCAGCGAACTCGGGATGCTGGCATTCCACATGTAAGTGTTAATGGTACAAAGAGAGTCTCGGGAAATATGTGACCATGTGATTCGTCACACGCTGTTGTTGCTTTTTAAGTGTACCAGCAACTGATTTGAAAAGAAGCTGAAATCCACTATTTTATCCTGTTATCTTCATCTGACATCTGACACTGCTTCTTCTGATGCTACAGTCTACACAAGGATATCATGTTTCCTACCGTGGAGAAGTATTGAAAGGTTCGGGGCCGATTTCATTTAATTGATTGAACTAAATCTTAGATCTTTCAAAGGTATACCTAATATAATGACGTAATACTTGTATGACTAGAAACCACACTGACTGTATTTGGTGTGAACATTCTACCAGGAAAATCTCATCTTGAGTGGAAGATGATTGGCAACACTGATACGCTATCACCCATCTATAACTTTACATGCTAGTGAGATTGTGTCCTTTGTGTTTGTTAGGATGTGCAATACGCTGACATTGACCACATGGATGAAAGGAAAGACTTCACCGTCGACCACGCCAATTTTCCTGGTCTCGGTGAATATTTCCAGGAACTACAGAAAGATGGCATGAAGACCATCATCATTCTGGTGAGGCATTCTCAGATAAAATAGACAATATTTCCTTAATGAGACTATAATTATATCGCATACTTTGAAATAAGTAACGGACTATCATTGAGGATAGTTTTGTGAATACAGTATCGCATGTTATTTTAAGCTGATCAACATATTGTTGAAATTGTGTCGAATAAAATCGTTTGACGTCATTTACAATGTGTGCCGTCATTTCACTTTTTTACCACGCCACGTTGCTGTGAACGGCTTTGGTGTAAACTATTATACCAGTATTTATAATAATAAATAATCCTCTGTGGTAATTACTGACACCCTTATAGTTTCTATTCTGGATAATAATTATAATGAAAATGATCTAAACTATCTAGAGAATACATTATTCCAGGATCCTGCTCTGATCTCCAACGTGACTGGCTACGAACCTTACGAACTCATGAAGGCAGTCCGGGGCAATATCATGTGGCCTAACTCCTCCAGCTCCATCCCAGAGGGAAGTCAGGATACGGATGGGGCAGTACTTGGATACGTGAGTGTTTCCCCGATTGCCCAAGTTGATATTGTTGATATTGGCTGTGATGTCCTATATTGGTTCAAGTGTTTTAAGCATCGATACTTTACTTAAGTAAAATGTTCATTATTTATAGGATTATATTTTTAATGGTCATGACTGACAGACTGAGTTTAGTTTTACGCCGCTTTTAGCAATATTCCAGCAACATCACGGCGGGGGACACCAGAAATGGGCTTTACACACTGTACCCATGTGGGGATTCGAACCCGGGTCTTCGGCGTGACGAGCCAACGCTTTAACCACTAGGCTACCCCACCGCCCCTAATGGTCATGAATAAACATTAGGACGTGTTTTAACGAATGGTAGTTCTATGTCCAACAGGTTAATTAATGAACCTGACCATTGTGTCAACCTATATTATTACATGCATCTATAAGGTTTCTATTTTGAAGTGGGGCGGTGGGGTAGCCTAGTGGTTAAAGCGTTCGCCCGTCACGCCGAAGACCTGGGTTCGATTCCCCACATGGGTACAATGGTGTCCCCCGGCGTGATATTGCTGGAATATTGCTAAAAGCGGCGTAAAACTAAACTCACTCACTCCTATTTGAAGTAAGCAGTCCATCTGATTTATTCATCAGTTTGCTGCTCCTATTACAAGTCTTCCTACAGACGCCCGCTCAATTGTATTTATTCACAGGTGTGGCCGAAGGGCAAGACTGTGTTTCCAGACTTCTTCAAGCCAGAGACTAACCGAGTGTGGAGAGAGTTGATAGTAAAGCACCACAACGAGGTGCCATTTGATGGGATGTGGATAGTAAGTACTAGTGGCGGTCCGATTAATAATCGAAGATTGGTCGCAGTGACTAAACGACCAAGCAATCGAACATGTTTTCTCATAATCGAACGCAACCAATCTTGGAACACTTGTTTGCATCAACAATATTTTTCACAAGGTTGCTTTTGTCTGTGTCATTAAATTTACATTTCATAAGCACAACAAGCTCGTTCCAAGTCATGATTGAATTTATCTTAAAGAATCCAGGAAATCTGTGTTCCTAACATACTAATAATCCTTTAAATATGCAAAATTTGTAAATGGATTTTGTTTAATTTGCTAAAAACACCAAATTACTACATGTTTTTTCTTTATTTTTTACAAAGACAACAGGAACATTTGATAAATGACGCTAACCAATTATTTTCGATGATTGATCGGTTGTAATGTACCAATCATCAATTATGAGATTTAACCAATTCCCAACACTAGTAAGTACAAGGACTGATCGGCTCGGAGTCAGTGTGTGTCTGAGTGGGTAAAACTGTTAAACTGGGGCAAGGTATCACAGCGGGTTAGCATTGTGCTGTCAGCGGAGGTCTGGTATGGAACATGCAGACAAACCCGTGGGGGGTTCCGGAATAACTAAAGGTCCTCAGCTTGTGGTGATAGGTGACTTACGGAATGGTCAGGGTTTTTTGTCGCATTTATTACAAAGAATATATGGGTATTTCGTACCTTGGAAGCCCTACTGCTGATTTTTCACATGAAGTTTGCAGTGAAATCTAGCAAACTTGGAATTGTTTGTACACACGTTCAAGTTACCCGTTACAACCCTTTCTGTAACAGGACATGAACGAGCCCGCTAACTTCGGCACAAACGAGGAGAGGCCCTTCAACTGGCCGGAGAAGGACCAACCATACTGGAGCCTCAAGTGTACCAACAACAAATATGACGATCCTCCATATGTTACACGTGAGATTCTATTGATAGTTCGGTAGCGTCAAGTTGTAGCCACATTTGTGTTATACTGTTAATAATAAGTAAAATATCATGTTAAAGAGAAGTAAACGTAAGGTTGCGTCAAGGTTGTGTCTTCAGTAGTGTTACATTTCGATTATAACTGACTGACTGACTGAATTTGGTTTTACGCCGCTTTTGGCAATATTCCAGCAACATCACGGCGGGGGACACCAGAAATGGGCCTCACAAATTGTACCCATGTGGGGATTCGAACCCGGGTCTTCGGCGTGACGAGCCAACGCTTTAACCACTGGGCTACCCCACCGCCCCATTTCGATTATAAACAAACGTGTAATATTATACTGAAATGAAGTAAACGTATGTTTGTTTATATTGCTTGCTACAAATCGATGTTTCATCACACGTTTTCACTATTTTCCTTGTGATTGTAAAATGGTTTTTAAGCGTCCCCTCCCATCAATATAATTTAGTTCCAAACAAAGTGAGTGAGTGAGTTTAGTTGTACGCCGCTTTTAGCAATATTTCAGTAACATCATGGCGGGGAACACCAGAAATGGGCTTCACACATTGTACCTATGTGGGGAATCAAACCCGGGTCTTCGGCGTGACGGGCGAACATATTAACCACTAGTCTACCCCACCGCCCCGTCGAAACAAAGATGTATATATACATTTGGAACAATTTCCAAAATACAATTTTCGTTATCGACCACCTTGAATGGTACATCGCCACACTTAATATGTAGCCTGTATGTTGTGTTTCAATACGCCTACCTTGTACCTGCATCAGGAGCTGCCTTCAACTATGACAACGACAAGGCAGATGGGCGCATCTCGGACAAGACGTTATGTATGGTGGCCCGGCAGGGACAAAATGACGAGTACAGACACTACGATGTCCACAGCCTGTACGGCTGGAGCCAGACAATGTCTACCTTACAGTAAGTACACCATATACCACTGGATTTCTGGCAAGAAAAAGGGTTTTCGAACTGCATCGCTTTCGGCTACCGTCCCACATTGCCAAACAATAACACAACGGCATCATGCACGGGATATATGTCCTGGAAAGGTAGCCGAGGTGAAGAGAGTTATGTTCTCCTTTCAGTATATGACAGATTGCATGACCTCTTGTAGTGACTAATAATGTCATTTAGCTAATATTTGCACACCCGCATTCCCCTCGATCCGCCCCGGGGCCACGTACGTTGCACTAGTGAGTGACAGAATGATTATAGTTAAAAACCGCGGCATCAGCGATGACGTTGCTGTGAGTTCTTCAAAGTAGATAGAAATAGTAGCATTTGATAGAGTCCAAAATTTCCTTGCCAACCATCGAAACGTCAAACTTAGAACAAAGCACCAGGACGCCTTATCTATATGGTCAAACTTGTCAATGTGCATTTTGTATCCAGGGGTCTGCAGCAAGCTACAGGAAAGCGTGGTATCGTCATCTCCCGGTCAACGTTCCCGGGTAGTGGCAAGGACGCTGGACACTGGCTAGGGGATAACAGAAGTGATTGGGATGATATGAGATTATCAATCATCGGTAAGTAAAAAATATATATTCATCAAAACATGTCCTCAGGATTAATTATATAACCGTTTTGGGCATATATTTGCCTCAAATTACCAAGGTAAATTCTGCATCCTAAGCGGTGCATCTGCATCAAATACAAAACGTAATCCACATGTACGGTATTGTCTGAAGCAGTGGGAGCACCGACAATAGCATATACTACAATCTCTGTGATGTGACATTTCGTCTGAAAGGACCTATTCCGCTTTTCTTGGGTCGTCATGCTAGCTCAGAACTGAATGCAGCCTGACAAGAGGAAATCTTACATGACAAATACAACAAATGCAAATATACATTTGATTTACACATTCAAACATGCTAATTCATCGATGTCTTTTCAGGTATTCTGGAGTTTAATTTGTTTGGAATACCCTACGTAAGTAAAACGGATATGCAGTTATTCTCAATACACACATATAACTGTCTACTGGCATTACCTGCCAGTTCAGAATTGATATACATAAGTATAAAAGTATACAACAAGATAAAGGAAAAAGTTTACACTGATATCACACAATGGTTTCCCTTCAATATGTTCACACTGATATATTTTATACCTACAGATTGGAGCTGATATCTGTGGCTACTTTGACAACACTACGGCGGAGTTGTGTGGTCGTTGGATGCAGCTCGGAGCGTTCTATACGTTCAGTCGCAATCACAATGGTCTCGGCTATATAGTAGGTGGCACATTGATTTGTTATGTAATACACTTTTGTTGTACACAGATAGCGTCATAAATGCAATAAATCCAAAACTCTTGCCGGCTTTTAATATCTTGCTGCCTTCACTGAAACCTTTCTTTTCAGTTATTATTTTTTGTAAGCTTGTAAAATTAGTCATTTTCAGAAATACCAATAGCACATGGCATTAATATTACTTTGGATATGTATGTACAAACTTTGTTAACTTTCTTCGATGCTGACTAGTTTACATTTTTGGTGTCAGGTGTTATATTTTTGTTTAAGAATCAAGATCCTGGTGCATTTGGCGATGACGTTGTCCGTATGTCGAGGGACGCCATGAACACCCGCTACAGACTCTTGCCTCACCTGTACTCGCTGTTCTACTTCGCACACACTAAAGGAGAGACAGTCATCAGGGCTCTGGTCCATGTGTAGGATGATCATATTATTCAGATATGCACACTCTTTAATGTTCAGGTTTTCTAACGTAGATCCGACAACTATAATTTCAATTTCATAGTAACTATAGTTTATGGTTAGCGTTTAAGTTTATTGGCGTTTTTAAGACAAGTTCGACTTGTTCCACACGCACGCACACACACACACCAAAGATGAGAATATCTTTCTGAAATAAAGCTGAAATAGGAAATCTGAGACGAAGTTCAACTTCTTGGGAACTATATTTTCATTGTAACTTCTTGTTTCAGCTTTCCAAAGGACAAGAATACTTACAACAACCATGAGCAGTTCCTGTGGGGCGGAGGGCTTCTTATATCGCCCATACTGTACGAGGTGAGTAATTCCGCCTTAGTTGACGATGACTACAGTTCTGTAGAAACTTTTGCTGCTCAATGCCATGACCAATATACCGTATTGGTGAGCAATAACTTTGAATTTAATAAATGACTTGCAATGCATAACTATCATTTAATGTATCATTCACTTTGTTCCGTGAAACCATTGACGATAATATGAAACTTGATTTAGTGTTTTTGTTCTTTACAATTCAGAAACAAAAGCTTCTGAGAATGTACATACCTGACGGAAGATGGTACAATTATTACACGGTTAGTATCTGTACCTACCAGAGGAAACTCCTACTTTTTTAATTGTTAAATAGTTTGTACCTACTACTAACGACAATGTGGTACAAATTTCATTGTTAGTACATATGAGAAAAGGAAGTTCCTTTATAACATGGTTAATCTCTATATTGAACACAAGGTTATAATTTTATGTTGAGATAAATTTGGCTTTGTTCATCTCAATGAGTGAAAATATAAATAACTTTCACGACGTGCTCAGCCACGATTCAAAATTTCAGTTACTTACAGGGGAGGACATATTCACCAGCTTTTAACAAGAAAAGTCGAATCTATTTATTATGCATGTATTAAATGTGGTGATTTGTACATAGTAGTGAGTATCAGAGGAAGAGCACCCTGCTATTTCACATTCACTCACTCATTCACTCGGATTCATTTGCTTCCGTATCTATCTTTATCATCTCAAACAACGGAAACGTATTATAAGATTAACTCTGTACTGATCTCTGGTAATGTTTTCAGATGGAAGAGGTCACTAAAGCTGGACAGATGTACCTGGACGTCCCGGTCAAGCCGGACACACCAGCACAGCTTCATCTTCGCGGCGGATATATCATCGTTACCCAGGAACCAGCGAACAATACACATTTCAGGTGAAATGAGACAACTGATAAAAAAATACAATCTGACAGATTTTCTCATGACATTGATCTTATAATTTCAGTTCTTTACTCTAAATATGCTTTCATACGATATTAATGTCCGTTGAGTTTGCTAAACTGTATGTAAGCATAATGAATACGGGGATTAGGAAAACTGGCTTATTCACTTTTAACGTCGTGTCCTTAAACTGAGAATGACTGCCACCTACCTCAGTGATAGCACAATGCTTGTAACCGATGATATATGTTGTGTGTCTGTGTGTTGCTTAACACCCCACTGAGCGGTATTCCAGTTACATGCGGGCGGTCTGTAAATCCCTGAGTAATAATCCCCGAAATAATCCACATGCAAATGGGAACGACGACATGACTTGTTGAAGATCCATATGTTCACCTAAAGTCACCGCGGGAATGTTATGTGTTCACTTTGTTACTGGTTTTCTCTACCTTCAAGTCGCAAGAATCCATTCACGGTGCTGGTCCCTCTGTCTCCTATCAATGAAGCTAAAGGTTGGCTGTACTGGGATGACGGAGAATCTATCGGTAAGTACCCACAAACTGAAATGACACACCGTATGATAATACGTAAAACGACTGTTTGGGACGCAATAATACTGTGTAATTGTTATGGTTATAGTATGTGAATAATTCTGCATGTCAAATCTCTTGTCTCTTGAATACCATGGAATAAAATTAACGTTTACCTGCTTTCTATGCGAAAAATAGATTAATCATTCTTCAGCCGGGTACATTTCGATGTGACAGAATTGCGTCATTGGCTCAGAATTCCACACAAGCATTTCATTGTTGATTTGCATTTAAACAAGCCTTTTCCTTAAAGTGTGGTTTGTTGTTTAACGCCACACTCAGCAATATTTCAGATATATGGCGGGGCTCTGTAAATAATCGAGTCTTGACCAAACAACCTAGTAATCAGCATCATAAGCATCGATCTACCCAATTCGGATACAATGACATGTGTCAACCAAGTCTTATTCTCGCAGTAATCCTTACAAATTCTGTTTCAGATACATATGAAAAGGGAAATTATTACATGTCAACCCTTTATGCCCATGACGTAAGTACATTTCTTTCAATGACCTCCCAAATCTTTAAAGTTGGTTGGTTACAACATGTTTTCACATATTTAACAGGTGCTGTTATTTTCTCCTTAATATAAGACATACATTGCTAGGTTGAAAAATCTTTGTTGTATTTACAAATAGTAAAACGTACTTTCTAATATGACAAACAAATTTCTATTTTGACAGGGTGTACTAGACATGACTATTGACCACAACACGCTGTCTGAGGTCGACGACCTCTACATAGACAACGTCATTGTCCTCGGCGTGGAGGTGCAGGTTAACCTCGTTAGACTGGTGTCTGAAAACAGAGACCTCAACTTCACATATGATGCAGACACAAAGGTAGGTAAATCCCATCGCCCGACGCCCGGGACAAGTCAGTTTTCATTTCGGGCAATCAAATAATGACATCTTACTTGTCCGTGGGCTACTAGATAATTTCCACTTATGGTTTCAAACTGCAAATAAACTTTGATTTAATTTCATATCTGCTGAAAGTGTAGCTATTAAATTTCGCAATGATAATAAAGTAGAGTTTTCTTTCTTTGCTATTTATCACTTTTCAATAAATAGGCCAGTAAACATTAACATCAAATACCATATTGATTTATTCCTTCATAATTACATCATCATGATTATTTCATAAAATCAGGGCAAGTGGAAAATTAGTCAGGACAAGTTACTTTCTTAAAGTCACTTGCCCTGTGGCAAGTGTCTTTTTAAAATATCTTTGAACCCCTGGCCTCTTCTTTATAGATTATGCCAATATAATGATAGACTAAACATAATATGACTAAGTGGGTGAGTGAGTTTAGTTTTACGCCGCTTTTAGCAATAATCCAGTAATATCACGGCGGGAGACACCAGAAATGGGCTTCACACGTTGGACCTGTGAGGGGAATCGAACCCGGTCTTCCTCTAGGCTACCCTACCGTCCCCAAGAGTTAAATATATTCTGGAGGTATTTAATATAAAACTGCTCCCAAACAATCAGCTAATTGTTTAGCAATGCAGAACTGTTTTTCTGGATTATTTCAGATTCTGAATATCACCGATGACCTCCCCATAAATCAGCCGTTCCAACTCCAGTGGACGTGAGTATAATGACATAATTAATTCCTCCTCACACACCATGACTGACTGACTGACTGAGTTTGGTTTTACGCAGCTTTTAGCAATATTCCAGCAACATCACGGCTGGGGACACCAGAAATGGGCTTCACACATTGTACCCATGTGGGGATTCGAACCCGGGTCTTAGGCGTGACGAGCCAACGCTTTAACCACTGGGCTACCCCACCGCCCCACAACCCTATGACTCTAGCAGATTGTTTTAACTGGACTGACATGTTTATTAGAATTATTTGATTAGGATTACCAATGATTGTATGATCTTCTGCGGAAACCGGCGGTTGGTATAAATTTTCTCATCTTGAAAGATAAATTCTGATTAAATAATCAGTTTTGGTATACCTACATTACAATACAATAGTAACAATGGAGAATAGTAATGGCCATTCGTGGACGTCATTACCTTCTCACCGCCTCCGTGGTGTAGTGGTTAAAGCGTCCGCCCGGAGAGCGGAAGGTCGCGGGTTCGATCCCCGACCGCGTCATACCAAAAGACGTTAAAATATGGTACTTGTTGGTCCCTGCCTGGCGCTCGGCATTAATGGGTACAACAAGGACTGGTCGGCTCGGAGTCAATATAATGTGTCTGAGTGGGGTATATATGCTTCACTGCGGCAGGGTATCTCAGTGGGCTAGCACTATAAAACCAGCTTAAGTCTGGGCTAGTACAAGCAGCCGCACATACACATACACACACATGCACGTCGTCATATGAGCGAAATATTCTCAAGCACGACGTAAAAACCCAATTTCACCTCACCTCATTACCTTCTCGAGAACAGTTGCTAAACATACCAGATCAGATCAATAGCCTACAGTTATGTATACTCATACACTATAGCAAATGAACAAACGCCTTTACAACAGGTATTGACCTACCGTTTTAATATATATATTTACAAAGGCACTAGGTGTTCGTGGAGCACATTAGCATGTCCAAGATAACTGTAGTCGTGCACCATCACAGAATGAATGAGCTGTATGAACTCTATATCCTCTAGGTCAGCATCGGCCGATGACTACGAGAAGATTGACTGCTACCCAGAAGTCCAAGGTAATGTTGTCACGGTCAACGAGACTTCCTGTATGCAAAGACACTGCATCTACGCAGACGCAGAAGACACTTCCGTCCCGGATTGCTACTTCCGCCAGAGCAACTACGGCTACAGTGTTTCAGGGGCTGTGGAGCAGACTCCCTTGGGATTCCGGATACCATTGACCAGGATTGAAAGTTCCCCTGGTCCGTTTGGAAAGGACATTACTAATCTGACGTTTGAAGTGGAAGAACTTGACAACAACTTGCTCAGATTTAAGGTGAGACATGAAATTACACATTTGTCCCAGAAATGTTTGGTCTGGTTCTACAGACTCAGGTCAAAGTCCCATACATTTATATACATCACTTGGTGCCAAATATACACACAATAATGTAGCTACGTCAAAACGTCAACGCCAATAAATTAATTTATCATTCTCGAATATCTGACTCTTATAAGACTTTTCATGAGGCTTTAAAGTGTTTTGTAAGCACTGCTTAGAAATTATGGTACGGAAGAGCATCGCACATCACAGTTAAAACCATTTTTGCGCCATTGCCGTAACCCTCCTACAGCAATCTACCTATAATATCAGAAGATCAAAATGGCATTAACAGTTTGCTTCTCTGCAAATCTGATCCTCATTTCATGTGTGGTAGTTGTGAAAGCTTGCTTCAAAAATTAAAACTGCGGCGGCCATTTCTTTCGTCCAGTTCTACGACCCGTCGTCCTCCCGGTATGAAGTTCCTGTTCCTCTGGAACTGCCGAAGACAAGAGCTACGGTACCTCGATATCGGCTGGACATCACCAATAATGAAACCTTCTCTTTCCGGATTATAAGGCTCAGTTCAGGAGCAGTCCTGTAAGTAGTCTGCCAACTCAGTAAGATGAATGAGTGAGCGAGTATGATTCTACGCCCCTTTTAACACTATGCCCAACATGCGTAGATGCCAGAGAAGCACTTCACTCAAGGTGGCCATGTCAGGAATCACACAGGGTCCTCTTATGCAACACACACCAGTTTTAATCTATAAAATTCGGGTTTTGGGGTCAATGTCTTATGATGATACCCCTTTATTTTGAAACTTAATTTATAGCCAGTTAATTAATGTCATATATATGAAATACTTCAAGGAAATGTATAATTCACTTTTCATTTCCACTGACTGACTGAGTTTGGTTTTACGCCGCTTTTAGCAATATTCCAGCGACATCACGGTGGGGGACACCAGAAATGGGCTTCACACATTGTACCCATGTGGGGATTCGAACCCGGGTCTTCGGCGTGACGAGCCAACGCTTTAACCACTAGGCTACCCCACCGCCCCTCTCATTTCCACTGGGCAGTGATATCAGCATATATAATCTCATACGACGCTCTGCAAATATACGTTCCTCCTTCGTTCAGTTGGTGTTTTCAGAACCCTGATATGTCTAGGTTCGGGGCAAACATATTTGGACGATGTTTTCTGCTCCTTCATGCCGAATGCCCCGTACCAACATGTTACAAAAACGATAATTGTATTTCCCTGTGTAAGTGGTTAAAACTGACATCTCCTCAGCTGGGACACTGGGGTCGGCGGCTTCACATTCGACGACCAGTTCCTCCAGATCGCCACCAGGCTTCCTTCCACCAACATCTACGGCTTCGGGGAGAACACCCATGACAAGTTCCGACATAATCTGTGGTTCAAGACATGGCCTATGTGGTCACGGGACCAATGGACGATGTACAGTGTGAGTCAGCTAGGTTTCCACAAAGTTCAACATCTGCTTTTATTTATCATTGCATTATCATAAAATCTACCGTTACTGTTGGCATATTTTTATTTATTATCAATTATAATAATCTCAGACCAGTACTATTAACCACACACAAGAATACCCATCACTAACCCATGCGTGTCGTAAGAGGCCACTAACGGGATCGGGTGGTCAGGCTCGCTGACTTGGTTGACACATGTCATCGGTTCCCCATTGCGCATATCGATGCTCATGCTGTGGATCACTGGATTGTCTGGTCCAGACTCGATTATTTACAAACCGCCGCCATATAGCTGGAATATTGCTGAGTGCGGCATAAAACTAAACTCACTCACTCACTCCCCTGATACGCCCTGACAGTGAACGCTATGTCCTTGATAATGGTAATGAAGCAAATATATTGAGGTTGTGTATTGCAGACGTACGAGAACCACTATGGCGTCCACCCCTTCTATATGGCTATGGAAGACGATGGCCAGTCCCATGGCGTTCTGTTGCTCAACAGTAATGCACAGGGTATGTATCTCTAGATGTGGAGACTCGAGGCAACTTCTATATAAAATGGATCTGTACATTGCTTCGTGTCACTTAATGACACGAGTACAGGTAAAACTTTCAGGAATTCTCACTAAGCATTATGATTTGTCCTCTCAAGTATCCCATTTCTCTTCATTTGCGAAGAGGCCTACACTAATCTTTTGTGATATGATCATAGACATAATTGAGAATGGCACCATCTCTGATTTATGAAGTCACCTAGACATTATTCCCCCAAATGACCCTTATTTTCGCCTTTTTCTCAGAAAATAGGTGAATACAATAACCTGCTAACAAAAAAGGTCGAATTATGTGTTACTGTGTTAATGCTGGAAGTTTCTCGGCAAGGTTTTGCAGTTTATGCAAACAAATGGGTTTTCTGACGTGATAATGTTACTGCACATGCAGTAGGAATGTGTCAGTTCTACAAGAGTCGGCTCTGTGATGCCATTTTGTATTTTCAAATTTTAGATTATTCCTTCACACCGCTACCAATGTTGATCTACCGAACCATCGGCGGCATCCTGGACTTCTACATGTTCCTTGGGCCGGAACCGGAGTCTGTAGTCCAGCAGTACACACAGGTAGTCTTCATACGGTAGCATGATCGTAAAACTGGCTTTTCACATTGCCATTGTTGTTAGAAACTGAACATGGATTTGCGAGTGAGTGAATACGTATTGCTTTACGCCGCTTTCAGCAATATTCCAGCAATATCACGGAAGGTCTTCAGTGTGACTAGCGGAGTCTTCAACCATTAAGCTACCCCACCGCCCCACATGGAATGGTGATGTTTAAGGTCTATTTCCCGGGTGGCACAACAAGAATACATTGATACCAGTGATGTTCTTACCCCAAGTATAGTTCATGTTTTTAATCGGGAATCCTTTGTTCTGTAATTTTAAGGGTCTTCAAATTGAAACAAATGCTACCCTTTTAAAAATCAATATGTTCGTGTGTACTACAGATAACTTTATGACATATATAACTCAGCTATATAGCTACAGCTATAATCATTACAAAGCATCAAGTTCAGCATCTGGCTGATTTGTCTAAGTCAACGTGTCGGTACATGTGATGCTGTAACGATGATGGTGTCGTGCAGGTGATCGGTCGTCCTTATATGCCGCCCTACTGGTCGCTGGGCTTCCAACTGTGCAGGTATGGCTACAACAATCTGTCGTCAATACAGGAAGCGGTAGACGCCACTAGGAATGCTGGGATACCCCATGTAAGTGCAGAACAGTCCTGACGTAGGGTACCACTTTTCGGTAGTGTCTGTAATCCCATCCGGAATTTGGTGATCATTTTTTTACAATTTACAAAGCACTCTGGAAGGTTTTCAAGGTGATTGGAGTTGCGGCCCTTTACAAAAGTGATTTCCAATTGTGCGCGTTCCTCCTATCCGTTGCCCCAATGTCATCTGCAGCAATGTTATGGTGCACACTTACGATGTAAAGGCACACAGATTGATCTTCCTATTAATTGTTTTACAACCCACAGCCAATATTAAAAGCCTTTTTGAATGTGATATAAATTAGGTATATAATTGATATCTTGCACCATTCATACGATAGATAAGAAAACATTGTCTACAAAATAAGGATATTGAGTGAATCGAGTTCTAAAACGCTTTCCAACCCAAAGTGGCTGTGAAGTCCACTGAGACTGAATTTAGTAGAATAGGATTAAACTTAGATTACAAGCGTATGTTATGGCAATGTGAGTTATACATAAGGTACATCACCATAGGCGGATCTAGAGGGCGCACCCCTCCTTTTGTCCTGAAAATACGTTCAATGGCCATTGAAACTCAGGTAAAAATGAAGTGTGCAACCCCACACCCCACACACCCCCAATAGTGTGCAACCCCCCACCCCCTGAAAAAGCTGCACCCGCCCCTGATCACTTAGATTGTCACCTTGGGGCCAAGACCCTGTAGAATACATCAAAAACCATTCCAACCATCGATTTGGCAAGCTCTGGGCAGAATGTTCTTGACTTTCATGTTCTATTTTGTGGATGTTTAATTTAAAGAGGATAACTTTATTCCTAGGGCCCATTGTTATTCCAGACCAATCTCACTCATTCTCATCAAAACTGAGACACATTCTTACCAGTATGAATACAAGTTGAATATTATGTGAATTCTTAGAAGTGTGAAGAAAATATACTCATCCATACAATCATTACCCACATGTATAAGAAGTAATTTCATGTGGTGTTTGTGTATTGTAGGACATCCAGTATGCTGACATCGATCACATGGACGAGCGGAAAGACTTCACCGTGGACGACGTCAACTTCCCCAGTCTCAACGACTACTTCAACAACCTCCGTGCTGGAGGCATGAGAAACATCATAATCCTGGTACGGGTAGTCAGTAAGTGAGTGAAAGAATGTACATTTACGCCGCTTTCAGCAATATTCCAGCAATATCACGGCGGGGGACACCAGAATTGGGTTCACACATTGTACCCATGTGGGGAATCGAATCTGAGTCTTCGGTGATGAGCGAAAGCACCACTAGGCTACCCCGCCGCCCCAGGTAATCAGTTATATCACACATGTCACATTGGGTACTTGTCCAACGTTTTACACAGTTGCGGTAGGTATGGTACACATCAGCATGAAACCGTATTATAGATTGACGACTGATATTCAACAACGTAAGGATTTTGAGTAAGGGAAGGTCCTATCAGTTACCACAGAGTTCCTGGTGAGATGTTTACCTTCGATCTCTAAATGGTGTATTTCTCATTGACCTGTAAATACTTTAATTATTATAGTGTTCTTAGTGCCTGAATTGGCATAAGTGCTATATTTGTCATAGAGTTACATTGTTTGTCGTTCTGCTGTAAATTATATATTTATCATTAACCTGTAAATGCTTTGTCATAGAGCTCTAAATGTTTTATTTGGGTTAGAGCTCTTAATGCTTCAGTTCATAATGTTCCTGAAGTATTACTGTATGCAAGAAGCTCCTGTAAATGCTTTGTCATAGAGCTCTAAATGTTTTATTTGGGTTAGAGCTCTTAATGCTTCAGTTCATAATGTTCCTGAAGTATTACTGTATGCAAGAAGCTCCTGTAAATGCTTTGTCATAGAGCTCTAAATGTTTTATTTGGGTTAGAGCTCTTAATGCTTCAGTTCATAATGTTCCTGAAGTATTACTGTATGCAAGAAGCTCCTGTAAATGCTTTGTCATAGAGCTCTAAATGTTTTATTTGGGTTAGAGCTCTTAATGCTTCAGTTCATAATGTTCCTGAAGTATTACTGTATGCAAGAAGCTCCTGTAAATGCTTTGTCATAGAGCTCTAAATGTTTTATTTGGGTTAGAGCTCTTAATGCTTCAGTTCATAATGTTCCTGAAGTATTACTGTATGCAAGAAGCTCCTGTAAATGCTTTGTCATAGAGCTCTAAATGTTTTATTTGGGTTAGAGCTCTTAATGCTTCAGTTCATAATGTTCTGAAGTATTTCTGTATGCAAGAAGCTCCTGTAAATGCTTTGTCATAGAGCTCTAAATGTTTTATTTGGGTTAGAGCTCTTAATGCTTCAGTTCATAATGTTCTGAAGTATTTCTGTATGCAAGAAGCTCCTGTAAATGCTTTGTCATAGAGCTCTAAATGTTTTATTTGGGTTAGAGCTCTTAATGCTTCAGTTCATAATGTTCCTGAAGTATTACTGTATGCAAGAAGCTCCTGTAAATGCTTTGTCATAGAGCTCTAAATGTTTTATTTGGGTTAGAGCTCTTAATGCTTCAGTTCATAATGTTCCTGAAGTATTACTGTATGCAAGAAGCTCCTGTAAATGCTTTGTCATAGAGTAAATGTTTTATTTGGGTTAGAGCTCTTAATGCTTCAGTTCATAATGTTCTGAAGTATTTCTGTATGCAAGAAGCTCCTGTAAATGCTTTGTCATAGAGCTCTAAATGTTTTATTTGGGTTAGAGCTCTTAATGCTTCAGTTCATAATGTTCCTGAAGTATTACTGTATGCAAGAAGCTCCTGTAAATGCTTTGTCATAGAGCTCTAAATGTTTTATTTGGGTTAGAGCTCTTAATGCTTCAGTTCATAATGTTCTGAAGTATTTCTGTATGCAAGAAGCTCCTGTAAATGCTTTGTCATAGAGCTCTAAATGTTTTATTTGGGTTAGAGCTCTTAATGCTTCAGTTCATAAAGTTCCTGAAGTATTTCTGTATGCAAGAAGCTAGTCAGTAATGGCAGCGTATGTGACTTTGGTCATCCCAGGACCCCGCCCTTGTCTCCAACAACACTGGCTACGTGCCCTACGAAGCAATGAAGGCGGTAAGCGGTAACATCATGTGGCCCAACGGTGTCGACATCCCCGAGGGAAGCAACGACACCGACAACGCCCTACTGGGATATGTAAGTAAGAGCAGAACTACTGCAATGATGGGGTCGTTTTACAGAATTATTGCAAGTGATATCGAGCAATCATCCAAATCTCACCTGTTCACATGGTGTCTAGTTGCCGGTGCAGAGTGCAGTTTATTGGACGTGTAGGAATTGTATCATCGGGGTTTTACAACACTCAAATTGGCACAAATTTATGTTGTGGTTAAGGTTTTTTATCACTTTATCCTTCCTGTCACATAGCCACCATGGGCCTTTTCTCCATCAGCCCTTGGCATCTGTGGTTTCAAGTGAATCACCTGACTGAGCTGTGAGTTTAAACTATTCACAATACGGAGACTTCATTTGTTTAAACTAATTGTTTTCTGAGAATCTGAAAACACCTTGGCTTCAATTCATCAGGTGTGGCCAAAGGGCAAGACGGTGTTCCCTGACTTCTTCAAGAACGACACAAGACGGGTGTGGGGCGAGCTGATCAACAACCACTCCCGCACTCTCTTCTTTGATGGACTTTGGATTGTAAGTTTTAACTAGGTTTCTCAAAGTTAGCCTTCCTGAATAAGTTATGTCCTCTAATGTTTTCAGTGAAAATAAACGTTTCATGTATTTCTTATCTCTTGGGTTATTTCTATACCACGTATAACCTATACATTAAAACTGACTCTTTCAATCAGGATATGAACGAACCTGCCAATTTCGGCACCAACGAAGAAAAAACCTTTCAACTGGCCTAAAAATGCCACGCCCTACTGGAGTTTGAAGTGTCCTACTGGCAGCTTGGAGGACCCACCTTACAGGACTCGTGAGTGTGTTACTGATAGCAAAATACATCAGTATCTTCTGTTTGTTTAATAGCTTCTTAGGAAGAGATGCGTATTTAACAGTAATTAATACCATTAAGTATATTATCACACAATTAATGTGACAGGACAAATTACAAATGCATGGACTTAGTGAGCCGTGTATGAAATGCGCATCACGAAAGCGCACGTAAAATATCCTAATCATCATCATCATCGTCATCATAAGTGAGTCAAACTAGTTCGGACTATTATATATACCTGTGTACCCATGCGTTAACGTTACTCAGGGGCCTCCTTCCACTACGACAAGGCTGACAGACTGGCCCGCATCTCGGACAAGACAATCTGTATGACAGCTGTGCAGGGAGAGCGTGGGGAGTATCAGCATTACAATGTCCACAGTCTGTATGGCTGGAGCCAGACTGAACCCACTCTGAGGTGAGACGGCATGACTGCCCTCAAACGTTACAATCACCCCTCCCAAACGTTAGTTACAATGACCCCTCCCAAACGTGAGTTACAATGACCCCTCCCAAACGATAGTTACAATGACCCCTCCCAAATGTTAGTTACAATGACCCCTCCCAAACGTCAGTTATAATCACCCCTCCCAAACGTGAGTTACAATTACCCCTCCCAAACGTTAGTTACAATGACCCCTCCCAAATGTTAGTTACAATGACCCCGCACAAACGTCTCCCAAACGTCAGTTACAATTACCCCTCCCAAACGTTAGTTACAATGACCCCTCCCAAACGTGAGTTACAATTACCCCTCCCAAACGTTAGTTACAATGACCCCTCCAAAACGTGAGTTATAATAACCCCTCTCATGTGTGCAACCATGCACCACTGCCTCTGTGGCCACCAAGATTTAGTGGCAGGTAGGACTTTATCAAATAAATACCTGGAACTGTGCCTTCACATATAAACCTGTTGCCATATACCTGGAACATTGCCCGCCTCTGTAGTGTAGTGGTTAGAGCGTCCGCCCGGAGAGCGGAAGGTCGCGGGTTCGATCCCCGAACGCGTCATACCAAAATACGTTAAAATATGGTACTTGTTGGTCCCTGCCTGGCGCTCGGCATTAATGGGTACAACAAGGACTGGTCAGCTCGGAGTCAGTATAATGTGTCTGAGTGGGATATTCATGCTTCACTGCGGCATGGTATCTCAGTGGGCTAGCACTATAAAACCAGCTTTAGTCTGGGCTAGTACAAGCAGCCGCACATACACATACACACGCATGCACGTCGTCATATGAGCGAAATATTCTCCAGCGCGACGTTAAACCCAATTTCACCTCACCTCACCATACCTGGAATATTGCCCGTTACCATACATACATTTTCCTGGAGTATCTCAGAGTGCAGATTTAAAGAACAACCAAGTTTGGAACCCACTAAAGAAGAGTAGGAGCCATACCGAATATAATATAATCAGTAATAGCACACTATTTTAATTTTAATATGTATTCCTTCAAATTGCATGTAAAACTCCACTCACCACTACAGGCAGTAACACTCAATAAAGTTTACCCTATGTCCATCACAGGGCCTTGCAACAGGCGACTGGCAAGCGTGGCATTGTCGTGACCAGATCCACTTTCCCGGGCAGCGGCAAGCACTCTGGCCACTGGCTGGGGGACAACGCCAGCAAATGGAGGGACATGATGGTCTCGGTCACAGGTACGAGGCGCTATCGACTGCCTTTACTATCATGGTTTATATTCCACCGTTAGGTAACTCACTAGTTATCAGCTGTAGCAATCATGTTATAATATCTGAATTGGTGATATAACGGCCTTGTGAAGAAATATCGGAATCGATATATTAAGTGTTTGGGGAAAATATAATCTTACTTGTATTAGAAAAGGTTCGCAAAGTCGTTCTTCCCATCAACTATAAGATTGTGGAACAATTTACCTACAGATGTAAGAAATTGTACTTCACTATCAAAGTTTAAATCGAGCATAATAACATCATTTAACTAATTTTTCTTACGGTACTAGAAAAGGTAACATATTGTAATTACATACTCAACTACGTCATGAAGCTAGTAGATTAAGTTACGATCTGTACAGAGTAGGGCTAATCACTGATCCATCCTGCGCATGTGGAAACCCATGCGAAAATGCTCATCACTACTTCTTAGAATGTTCTTTATACAATCAACATAGAAAGATCATGCTTAAAGCTATTCAAGATGTATGTGGTTGTAATTCTGTGATTACACTATCTGTTATTTTAAACGGCCTTGCAGATCTGACAAATCATAAAAATGAAATTATATTAAAAAATGTACATCAATATATATGCAAATCTAAACGATTCCAGTAGTCTTCTCTCTATACACCTTTTGTATTATAGCATTTCCCCCTGTTATCTTTCAGTCTTTCTCTGTCTCTGTTTCTAATAATTGCTTGTGATGTAATTAGTTATTGTAAATATCTTGGAGAGGGGTTTAATAAGTTGAACGAACTTGTCCCCGATCCTTTTCACATTGTGAATAAAATATGTTTAAACTAAAAGATTCGGCTAGTCGGTGCGTGATATGGTTGGATGCGTATTATTGTTATTATTAATCCAAATGTGTGGGATGTCGTGTATATTATCAATCAATTGGTTGTCTGACTTCATTATTTGCAATCTACCATCATATACCTGGAGTATTTGGGAATGCGGCGGAGGCAGAGGTTTTCTAATAAACAACTGAATAAAGTGGTGTTTTTCTCGCAGGCATCCTTGAGTTCAACCTCTTTGGTATCCCGTATGTAAGTATACAGCTTGTGAAATTGTAGGTTTGGAAACAAAGAACGAGGCATATATTAGTGGTTTGTCTCTATTCAGGACCGTAGGCCCCAGGCTAACGGTGCAAGTATATATTGTTTACAAGCAGAGTGGATTTCTCTTCATTATATTTTGATAAATGAACAAAGCAATATTTTCAAAGATTGTATATGCATATATAACATTCCTCTCTACTCTGCAAACTTAGTAAGTGTATTCCATATTTGTGATTAAGTATGACCTTGCTTAATGACGAATATGATGCTTGTTAATGACCAGGTAACCATAAAAACGGGTATTACCCTTTCTAATCGCTAGGTTTGATCTGAATTACAACGAATGGTCCTGCTTAATGATAAGGTGTGATCTTCCTTAATAACGAAATATGGTCATGCTTAGTGATAAGGTGTGATATTTCCTAACGACGAAATGTGGTCATGATTAATGACAAGGTGTGATATTTCCTAATGACGGAATATGATCATGCTAAATGACAAAGTGTGATCGGTCGTAATGACGAAATATGATCATGCTTAATGACAAGGTGTGATCGGTCTTAATGACGAAATATGATCATGCTTAATAACAAGGTGTGATCCGTCTTAATGACGAAATATGATCATGCTTAATGACAAGGTGTGATCCGTCGTAATGACGAAATATGATCATGCTAAATGCCAAAATGTGATCCGTCATAATGACGAAATTTGACGATGCTTACAGATGAGGTACAGTCCTTTCCAATGACGACCTTTTACCATGCTTAATAACTAGGTGTGATAAGTGGCCTTTCGAAACAACTGCAAAAAGTACAGAAACTGTTAAGATATTGTGGATAACATGTTCCCTATATTTAACGACGTTTCAGAGCTACGTCTGGACCGTTCATGGGATGAAGGTTAAGATATTGTTTGGAAAGTCAGGGAACCTGTTAATAACATTGACAAACGAGTGGTTCAATTGCTCGCCAATATTTAACCTATATAAGATCGAATAATGTTGTATTGTTTGTAGAAGTGAACAAAACGGTTTAAAATAACCTAAACAAAATTAGATCAAGACATGTTATAATTTCAACATTCTCTCCGGGAATAATAAAAATACTTCACTGTGTATTGGTGTATATTCAGATCGGTGCCGATATTTGCGGGTTCTTCGAAGAGACTACCCCTGAGTTATGTAAACGCTGGATGCAGCTTGGAGCGTTCTACACATACTCCAGGAACCACAACGGCATCGGCTTTAAGGTACGTGGTGGGCAGTATTGGGTTATGCTAAAACATCTTTGTTTAGTGCACGAAATTCCTTGTACGTATCCCCAGTACGTCATGCTCTTATCATGTACCGTCTGAAACCACAGGCCCTCGTGTCTTTGCTAGGATTAAAGATGGTAAGAAAGATATAAAATATTTGAGATGACGCCCGACTCGAAATGCTTCACAGTACAATACATTATGACAAGGCCGGACACTTCTAGGGTGCACCCCACCCGCCTGCTTTGCCGATCGCTACGCTACCATCGCTCAAAACTGAATGTAAACATAATCATGGATGATTGGCCTATCGATCACCACTCATGGCACCTACCAATTTTTTATTGTTATTTCCGCAAGTCGATTGAAACCTGATTTTGACTCAACTAAACGACCTTGACACAAATGGATGACGATATGTCCGCACAAAACGGGGCTGATAGGTCAACGCTTTGCAAATCTGCACATTCTATATAAATTCGCGGGAATGTTTCCTTTCATCGACTGCTTAATGTAAGAATATTTTTCGAGCAATGGCTTCTCAAAAGAAAGCACCAGTTGTAAATGTTACCTTAACAAGCATCAACCAACCAGAGGCCTTGCTTTGTTGAGGGTCAAAATCGGGTTTCAATCGACTTGGGTAGGGTACACCGAAGTGTCCGGCCTTGTCATAATGTATTGTACTGTGAGGCTTTTCAAGTCGGGGGTCATCTCAAAACTATTTTATTTTAATCTTTAATCTTCGCAAAGACACGAGGCTCTGTGGCTGAAACGGCTGCCGGGTGGATCGGTACAGCTCCTTGTTCCATCGCACCATTGTAAGTACGGTGCTCATTCTGTTAACCTCTCGTTTATCAAGCTCAAAGTCATTCATCGGATAATTGATGATTGTTTGTTTAGTACATGATAATTTCGATTGCATGTATAATTCATTGGAGAGTGTAGGATTGTATGTCAAATGTCACCACTGATATTCCATTTTCGTACTAAAAGCGGCAAGACCCTGGGTCCCTCGGGGATGATGTTGCTCGAGCCTCACGTGAAGCCATGGAGACGCGGTATCGCCTACTGCCGTATCTGTACACGTTGTTCCATCGCAGCCACAGCTACGGAAACACCGTCATCAGGCCTCTACACCACGAGTGAGTGGCGACAAATGCAGGCCACATATATTTGGGTCAAAATGGGTCCCTAAGTTTGTCATAGTTATCTTATGAGCTGACTAAAGAGCACTGGATGGTCGATGACTTGCTTGACTGTGTGTCTTCCAACCCCGACTGCGTGACAGGTTGTCTTAATATCAATCATCTGGTATCAGTTTGATCATTTACATCCGATCCTTGAATGTCCGGAAAGAGGTATTGAACAACAAGCAAACAAATGTGTACTCCAGATTCTTTAAGAATTAGTTTTCAAATTATTAATATATATGACTAGTGTTGGGAATCAGAAACCAAATCCACTATCGATTATCAGAGTATTGTGGTGAACGATTATCGAGTATAATCAAAATATATACACTTGTAATGAAATCACCACTTTGAAGGTTTTTTTTACCAGGTCTTTTCTAATAAATGTTCCTTATAACTAATACTGTAATGCAATGAAATGCACGCATGCAAGAAAGACACTGGAATTGTAATTAAACAATAAAAGTAGTTAAAATGTTACAATGCGCATAGCTTTACGCTGTTGAGCGCATGTTTGTTCGTGAATATTCGTAAAATTTAATCGCTAGTTTACTTCATTCAAGTTTGTTAAACTTAAACAACGAAATTCCAATTAATCGAAAATATGTTTTTTTACAATCGATAATCATTTTTAATCCTTCTTTCGATCGATTTTCGATTATTTTCGATCATCGGAACACCACTATATATGACGTCATAAATTATGTGTTCACAACTTGTTAGTAAGCCATATTAAAGTGCACAAAACCCCACTGCACATTTTAGGTATGTTCGTCATGTTGATGCACTTAATGATTTTACTCAATTTGAAATTGATCATTTGTTAACCACTTCCTGTAGGTGTAAGATCGGCAGGGCAGCCTAGTGCTTAAAGCTTTCGCTTGTCACACCAATTAAAATGTTATAGTTGTGAACATTGATTTTCACCCCTATTTTGCGTTGGATAAGTATTTCATAGGATGAGTTGATCACTGGATTGTCTGGTCCAGACTCGATTATTTACAGACTGCCGCCATATAGCTGGAATATTGCTGAGTGCGGCGTACAACTAAACTCACTCACTCACTTTCATAGGATGATCGAGACTGGCTGTACTCTGGTGTCGATGTTTTATATTCTTAGTACAATAGTATCAATCATATATCTCATATTTTTGTCAGTTTTTAAGATTGCTAATTTCATTGAAAAAGAAAATTCTGAAATAGAGGGAGTAAATTGTCCTTCCGAATAAACGTTTTGAATCATATTAATGAAACTTCTATTTTGACTTAAACTGCGCTTTATAATGTTGTAGGTATCCAAGAGACCAGACCACCTACAGGGTTGACCGACAGTTTCTGTGGGGGGCAGGGCTCATGATATCACCCATACTGCACGAGGTATGATATCACTTTCAAAGCTAACTGTTCAATATTCGGCAGATGTAGGGTTGTGAGAGACAGAATATCACACCCTTCCAACACATGCAATTCTTCTGTGATAGAGGGGCGGTGGGGTAGCCTAGTGGTTAAAGCGTTGGCTCGTCAAACCGAAGACCCGGGTTCGAATCCCCACATGGGTACAATGTGTGAAGCCCATTTCTGGTGTCCCCCGCCGTGATGTTGCTGGAATATTGCTAAAAGCGGCGTAAAACCAAACTCAGTCAGTCAGTCAGTCTGTGATAGAAGGTGTTCGGGAGAGTTCACTCAAACGCATCTCGTTCAGTTGGTGTTTATGGAATTTTAAAAACATTCATGGAAACGCATAGACACTGCACGAGATTTGTCTGCGAGTGAACTACACACGCTTCCCAGATTTCATATGTTAGAATTTGAATTCAATTCGGTTTTCAACTTCGCTGACACCAGACGTAAATTTAGAGTTAGGTTAGAAAGTCAGTCAGTTGTTAGATATTCATAAATTAGCTTGGACAATCAGTGGGGTTTAGTTAGTAAGGAAAGTTAGAGGTTAGATATTCAGGGTTAGATTAGTTTAGTATTAGTCGGGTTTTGAACATTAACAGAGTTAGAATTTAGATATTAGGGGTTAGTGAAATTAGTTAAATTCTTAGCAATTCTTCAACGCAAAAGTTTACACATTCAGTTAGTTCTTCACACATTCGTTTTTTACCCATAAGTGTTATCATATTTAGTTCTTCAGTTCCTCATTAGAAATAATTGTTATCATGTTTAGTTCCTCAGTTTTACATTGTAGACAATAAGTGTTATCACGTTTAGTTCATTAGATTAAATTAGCAAATTTACGTTTCCACAAAAAGCGTCAGAACAGAAGGACAAAGACATGCTTCTTCAGGACTTGTACCACGAATAGATTTAGTTGGTTTTGTTGTCGAGGGGAGGAGGGCGTTACTCATGTAGTATGTTGTTGATGACCTTCCTCTTTGACGGATTTAAGGGGAGTGTATAGGGATTTAAGCGGGTATGAAAGGAATTCTGGTATATGTAAGCTGACGTACAAAAGAAAGTACACACCTGGTGCTTTTGGATTACTTTCCAAAAAGCGACGTAAATGTTTTGAAAAGCGATTTTTACAGTGATATATAAGTCACAGACGTTCCTAATATGTTGACAAAACACCACAGATTCCTTGCCCAATTGCCAAGTTGCCAGTCAAAATCACAACACTTTTCAAATAATCCCCAAACACCAGGTGTGTACTTTCTTTTGTACGTGAGTTTATTACCTGAATCACTTGACCTAAATTCCAAAGAAAACTGTGCGTGTACCAACGCTATAATATGGGTGATGTAAGCTTGCGTAAGGTTTTCAGAAATAAACATAAATGTAAAATACTATATTCACATGTATGTCGGGACGTGCAGCCCAGGGGCGGTGGGGTAGCCTAGTGGTTAAAGCGTTCGCTCGTCACCCCGAAGACCCGGGTTCGATTCCCCACATGGGTACAATGTGTGAAGCCGATTTCTGGTGCTCCCCGCCGTGGTATTGCTGGAATATTGCTAAAAGCGGCGTAAACCCATACTCACTCACTCACTCACATGCAGCCCAGTTTACTTGACCTCTGTTTCAGGGTCGTCACGATATGGCTGAAATATTGCCGATGTGACGTTGAATTTTCACTCACTCACTCACTCACTCACTCTGTTTCAGGGCCAGACATCGCTCAGCATCTATGTACCCCAAGGTCGTTGGTTTGACTGGTACACGGTGGGTGTCATGTTACAGTTACAAGGTTGTATCTAACAACTGATAAATAACATGCGTAATCATCAATTCTTTCATATTCTGATCACAAAATATCCGAGTAATATTGTTTGATCGTCCCAGGTGTGTTCGGAATGCAAACAAAACAGACTTGCTGTTCAAGATATTATTTATAATTTCAGACAATGGTTTTATGAACGTAATATTTGGCGTGTATTAAACATTTAAGTCCTATCCTCACCTCGTCTCTCAATTTGGAGAAGCAACGAATGTGTTATGACTTTTCATCTGTGTAGGGTGATGTAGCTTCGGAGAAGGGGGGATCCTACCTCCATATCCCCATTAGCCCAGAATCCCAAATCCCCTTGCACGTGCGAGGGGGCCATGTCCTGCCTCTACAAGACTCGGCCAATAACACACACTTCAGGTACGGCAAATGGTTCATGTAAATTGAACATAAGAATTAAATACATCACCAACCGATGATGATGATGATGATGATGATGGCAATGCATTTGGATGACATATGGGAGCCGTCAACTCTAATCAATGTATGATGGTGTGTTTGGAACGGATTCAGTAATTTCGAGTGCGGAGTCATTGTGATTTTAAAGCAGTAGTTTACTGTTAAAAATATCCAATTTTGAGAGTAGCTGTTAAAGGTAATTTTACAAATAGTTATGCATTGGCACGAAATTGACCTGTTTAGACCTTCCAGTATTTTGTTATGGATTGATGACTTTCTTTAATATTATGTTGTCAGTCGCCAGACCCCGTTCACTCTGATTGTCGCCCTGGAAGACATGGCGGACCAAGGGTTGCAGGCACGGGGGGAGCTGTTCTGGGATGACGGGGAGGGGATAGGTAGGTGTGGCTGTATTGATGTGTGTGGGATATAGATGTCGAGTGGTGTGTTCTGGGTTGGGAAGTCCTTGTGTTGGGAGTCTCATAAGCAAGGTGCAAGTCGTTTTGTCTTGACTATACATTGTATTTAGATGAGTTAACGATGCTTCAAGGTCAGGCTTTGTATTTCTTATACTTCTTTTGACAATAATACATTATGACGATGATAAATAACATGAACAGGAGATTGTTTGAATCTGTTTTGCCTCTGATTTGCACTACTCAAAATTACTGTGTGTGATCTGTTTCAGATACCTACGAGAATGGCAACTACTATCACGCCATGTTTGACTGTAAGGAGGTAGGTATAGTCTTGAAATAGCCAGGCACTGTCTTGGAGTCAGTGAGTTTGTTCTAATGTCATGTGAGGGGCATTCTAGTTGTAACACGATCTGTGTGTTTGATGTGGTGGGAAATCCGGAAGTGATGCATGACCTTGACATTTACCAATTACAGGTGCGCGGGTATGCTGCTGGCAAACACAAAACATAATCATGTCTAATCCGGGATTCGAACCCACGCTACTCAAATGCTGCGCCTGAGACCTCTTGGCCACCCATGCGTGATGAACCAATGAGCAATTGATGGCGTTTGGGAGGTATTCAAATCATAGCTATTAATGTCTTGGGTTTCCTTTTTGTACCATTGGGGCGGTGGGGTAGCCTAATGGTTAAAGCGTTGGCTTGTCACGCTGAAGACCCGGGTTCGAATCCCCACATGGGCACAATTTGTGAAGCCTATTTCTGGTGTCCCCCCGCCGTGATGTTGCTGGAATATTGCTAAAAGCGGCGTAAAACCAAACTCAGTCAGTCAGTTTCGAATGCCATTATACTGTTTTGTCCTGACCACCAGAGCAAGCTGACTATGAACGTGACCCAAGCTATGATGGGGATGGATCTTCTGACGCTGGAGACCGTGGAAGTGTGGGGGTTGCCAGGAACGATACAGAACGTCACCGTCAACGACACACCTCACAGCTTCGTCCAGAATAAGGTACAACTCAGTACTTCATCTAACGTGGAAACTTTTTTTGTGTGTGTATATTTTTGGTTCACTTCAGTTGGATACAATCGTCATTTTGTGAACCTTAAAGGCGACATGCATAGAAAGACATATTTACATACTGAATTACAGTATGTGATGGGATTAGTAGACTATGCAAGATCGTGAATCACCATGGAATCGAAGTACTGCATCTTCGTAAGATGAAGTCATAGCATTGGCAATTCTGGAGATATTACATCCCATTTTCTAATAAATGAATCTATGTTGGTATTTTTTGAACAAATATATTTTTCAATTTGATATACATCTTTTAATACTGCTTTATATGTATTAAGACTGGGTTTCAAACCCTTTATGTTCATTACATATATATCGCGTTTGGCCAATAAAATCATGTGGTTGAGTAGGCGGTTGCTAGTGCAGCAAAATAAGATATCTATAGTAGAAAGCTCATATGTTTTGTTCAATAGTCTATTAACAAGATTGGTGAATTCTTTCCAAAACAGTGTAATAGTTGGACATTCAATATATTAACGTTAAAACTTATATGCAATTAAAATTCTCTTGTGAAAACTAGGGTCAACACATTTATGATAAGGTAATTGCTGAAAATATCATCTATGTTTATAATTTATCTTGTTGCTTTTCTTGATATCTGCACCATCCGTAACTCTGTGTTTTCGGGGTTCTTTTTCCAGACACTGACCATAGGCTTCCTTGACCACCCCATGTCGGACAATCTCCAGATATCCTGGACGTAGGTACGTATCTTCTTGGCGATTGGGTGTCCTAGTGGTTAAAGTGGTAACGCGGAGTCCATATCCTGATTAGGAACATTCAGTGAAGCCCCGTTCTTTCCCCAACAGTGATGACGCCAGCATCATCGTGGCACGGCCATCGTTTCATAAAAACCTCAGATCACGAGGTCGAGTGAGATCAGTTTACAATTGCTGAAATCCAAGCCACAGACGGGATTCTGGCTGTGGAAATTGTTTCCAGCAAATTGTGTTTGGCTTAAGATCCCGGTTAGAACAGTGCCCCGTTCCTCAAAGCGATCGTAGCACTACAACAGTTGTAAGTCTATGTTAAAGTATGGGAGTTACGATTAACTTTGCGCTACGATCGCTTTGAGGAACGGGGCCCAGGGCTTCAGCAACCAAGCAAGAGAAGACTAACGGGATCAGGTGGTCAGGCGCACTGATTGGTCGACACATGTTATCGTATCCCAGCTTCATAGATCGATGGGGGCGGTGGGGTAGTCTAGTGGTTAAAGCGTTGGCTCGTCACGCCGAAGACCCGGGTTCAAATCCCCACATGGGTACAATGAGTAAAACCCATTTCTGGTGTCCCCCGCCGTGATATTGCTGGAATATTGCTAAAAGCGGCGTAAAACCAAACTCAGTCAGTCAGTCAGTAGATCGATGCTTATTATGATATTCACTGGATTGTCTGTTCCATATTCCATTTTCCAAAGACCTCCGTCATGTAGCTGGAATATTGCTGAGCGTGGTATACCACAACAAAGTTAGGATTAGTGTTTTATGTCTACTATACCATCTAAAGTTTACAAGGCAAAATGAGATACGGTATTCTGATGTTTTAAATTCAAGTGAACATATTTCGTTACAAGTTCATGCTGTTTCGTCTTTCAGAGGATATACGCGCCTGGATCACAGAATGGATGAGTCTTTTCACAATCACTTTGTTTTGTCACATTTCTGACAACTAGTTTTAACCTTACTGAAACTTTTGTCATATTTGTATTAATATTTTACATACAGATCGAAAGTATTTTGCATTAATGATGCACCTGGTAGGATATTTTTTCATAACGCACCTGATTAGAGTGTATCTGTGTTAATTCATATTCTATTTTATATTTTAGTAGGTCACCTTGTGTTTTAGACATATAACTATGCTGTGGTACACGTTTTGGAGATGACGTAAACAAAATGTTTATTAATCTTTTCAAACTGCCAAATCTATACTTTCGTTCTTTGGTTTGTATCTTTCATACCTATATGTGCAGTTTTCGTATATTCAGAATTGTCGTATTTTCCGGAGGGCCAGGCTTTAATCAAATGCCATCGATCATTCAAAACAACTCATTCGCAATTTACCGAAAAACGCATATAAATGTCTGCGGAGACATCATTTCATTAATTTTCTCGTGCAGTAGAGATTTTATAATCAGAGTTTTCAAAGAATATTCTTAGTTACATTCATTTCGTCCATCTTGAAAAGTGTAAAAAGGTGCGAGAATATGTTTAAACGGGTAGAAAGATAGCAAAATGGGACAATGCAATTTTTTCACAGTTAATGTTTATATCATAACCAGAATATCTACCTATTTACCATGGAATATGTATATTGGCGCCATACGTGTACCGTAGTCATAAATAACGGGACAATTGTATTGTTGAAGACTATTTCAGATTTACAAGGTTGTTTTTGTGTGTGTGGACTTGAAAAGTAAACCATGTTACTAGGGACAGACGTTTGAAATATATGACTGTTTACATTTTGTTGTTGTTGTTGTTGTGGTTTCGTGTTTTTTATGTATATTGATTCAGTTTTATTATATGTTCATAGGAAATAACAGGGCCTCCTTTCACAAAGCACTAAGGTGATCGTAAGTCACTAACGTGATCGTAAGTCACTAAAGTTACCTTATTGCAGTGTTAAAGAATGGGAGTTAAGGTTAACCTTAGTAAAGGTTGTCTCGTGAAAGGAGCCCCTGGCATATGTGGAACTTCATACATTATTTGTCAAACATTCACTCATCCTTGGTTATCGAGTGGTGTAATTCTAGATCGCGGCTTTCATTTCTGTAATCGTGCAGGAATTGTGACCAAACTGCCCTGTTGCTTCAAATTCGATGTACTACTATCCTGGGAAACCCCGTTTATCCGGACAGTACTGTTACTACAGTACTGTTCCAACAGAAATCGTCCTTATTCCAAATGTGACGGGTGTGTGGAAATTGTCGTCCCCAAAAGTAATCCTTCTGGTCGGTGTGTTCACGCAGACAGGTACTGCATAGGAGTAAACGTATTTTTAGGAGACCTTGGATTCGAACTAACTAAGAGACGCTACTCTGTACAGGGAGTTTTGGCACTTCTGTGCCTCTTTTAAAGCATGAGTATATTTGTGATGTATGTGTATGCTGAATTTGAATGGATCTAGACGTGATATTGGATATCGATCGGAGTCTGATTCTTGCCTTACCGTATATTTGGGTGACTGACTACACAGTAGAGGTCGCAATAGAGTCCGACAGTGACATTAGCTGAATAACTCTGAATACTAATTAAGAGTGGTTTGGTTTGTAGTGACTGAGTGTGTTGGTGAGTGGGTGGATGCGAGAGTGGTTTGGTTTGTATCGACTGAGTGAGTTGGTGAGTGGGTGGATGCGAGAGTGGTTTGGTTTGTAGTGACTGAGTGAGTTGGTGAGTGGGTGGATGCGAGAGTGGTTTGGTTTGTATCGACTGAGTGAGTTGTTGGGATGGTGAGTGACGACAATCTGCCTGTCTATACTCAAAGACATTGTTTTCCTTCACTTTAACCAACAGAGGCAGACAATAGAAATCACCAATACTCCATATAATATGCCTGCCATTATACATGGCATGTAAACGTACAGTCGAAATCATACAATTGAAGGTTTTCAGCTTTTATTAATATTTTCAGATAATATTTGATATGACAGTTGAAGATTCATATGGTGTAACATTCAAACATTGCAACGACCGATATTAAATCAAATACATGTATGTGAATGTTTTCCATTATGGTAAACGACCTAAGATTGTACATAAGTGTCCTATCAGAAGGCCTCAAGACTGACAAACTGGGAGGTTCAAAGACGCTGAAGATAATGGCAACATAAAGACCATCCGTCTAACAGTAGCTCTCAGTTCTCAAACTGTCCTGAAACCCAGGCGGTATAGTACGACCAAGGCAAATGAAGCATCATTTCCAATTCCTTTTTTATATGTGTTTGTTTTTGGTCTCATGTTCTGATAACTGATAACTTGCGTATGTCACAGCACAGGCGACCGTGATGGTTGGGAGTGAAGATAATGATGCAATGAAGCGAATAATGGCAATCCTATATATGAGAGTTAAGTCAAGAAATCTGTGTTGGTGCGCCCTGTCCTTTAGATCAACCCACAGATGACACCATCTGCATGTACTTCATCTGTTTGTGGTGCCAGTAAGACATAGCGTAAAGACTGAACTTATTCAACAATAAGTCCAGGTACTCAACGGTTACTTCAAATCAGTTTGATGGTTACACATGGACAATAACATAGACTACCACGACCACGGTGGGGTAACAACTGTTTCATATATCCGACTTTGAGATATCCAGATAAATCCCACTGGAATGAACAAGGTGGGTGTATCTTCAAGGACCTGGCCAATCCTTTATGCTTTCCTTTCAAAACACACCAGAGGACAATAGATTAACTCCAATAGTGTCTCACAAGCGCTGGGTTGGTCTTGTAGTTTAATCGTTCCTTCGTCGAACTGAAGCTGATTTCTGGTCCCTAACGTGGTATGGCTGGGATATTGCTAAAAGTGCATGGGTTACATCCTCATTCTTTCAAATAGCGCCTTCATATCACCGAAACACGATAGAAATATTACGCAAACACTGCACTCCATTCTGGCTGTCGCCGTGACCTGTATTAACACAATCGTTCTCCTAGGTTCATTTGCTGTACGACGTCTACGTTAGTAGGGGCGGTGGGGTAGCCTAGTTGTTAAAGCGTTCGCAAGTCTGGCCGAAGACCCGGATTCGACTCCTCACATTGGTACAATTTTTGGTGTCCCCTGCTGCGGTAATGCTGGAATTTTGCTAAAAGCGGACAAAAAAATAAACTCACTCACTCAGCTGTCAGGGTAATGACAAGTTACGTCTTCATATCGAACTGCTATGTCCTGGAATCCCGTCCTTTGTGTTGGTGGCTGTTTTGGCTGAAGTGGTTCACTGTCTCCACGACTCGCTCCACGGTTCTGAATTTCTCCAGACGGGGAAAGCGTTCTTTCCATACCACCATAGCATTAACGTAATCTTGAATGGTGTCTGGGTCTGTACGGGAGTATTCAACGTGGGGTCTGTAGGAGGCACAGAGCTGGGGCTGCCACACATTGAACAACTGAACCAAGGCTTCCTTCGATGAAGCATCCCTCTTCTCGCATTCTGACTCTGCCTCCGCGACTTGTGATGTCCTAACACCGTTCCCCGAGTTGACACTTCTGTTCGTTTGGACTCTGGCCTGGGACACTGACCTCGACGTTGTTGCAGCATTTGGACGTGGACTTGTCGACGATGAAGACTTATTAGATCGGTGCGTGTCTTTAAGAATCATTCTGCTCTGCTGAATCTTTCACGTCTGCTGCAGTCAAAGCGAACCAAATCACTTCCTGTCGTCTGCTCTCTTTGTCCTCGAATGACAAATCCGAATGTTACCTTACAGGGACTCGTCAATTCTGCAACAAACCTTAATATATGTGGCCTTACCCCACACAACGGATCCGATTAGTTGATTAGTTGAATAGTTCTCTTAACTAATAAGACCTTAAATCCAGACTGCCCATTCTCAAAACGGTAGGCTTAGGCGGTTTCTGTAATCTCCGGCTCACTGCCTACACAGTCTGTATTCACCTCATTAAGGTTGTTAGCTTCAGTCATAAGTTCTGTAGGAGAGGTGGGGTAGCCTAGTGGTTAAAGCGTTCGCTCGTCACGCCGAAGACCCGGGTTTGATTCCCCACATGGGTACAATGTATGAAACCCATTTCTGTTGTTCCCCCGCCGTGATATTGCTTGAATATTGCTAAAAGCGGCATAAAACTAAACTCACTCACTCATCAGTCCTGTGCCACAACTCGGGTACAAGGGAACCCATCAAAACATTATCTCTCAACCGACATACTTTTCATTCGAGTGATGTTATCGATGATGTTTATCTTTACAAATGATGATGATATTGAAAGATGGTTGTGAAAGGGATTCCTGTCCCGCGACATCCAGCACGGGGCATTATGAGTTAACCAGTCAGATATATTATTTATCTTCTGCACAACTGACCATCACTATCATTGTCACTTAACTCTGCTTCATGAAAGTAATCTGCGATCACCCGTTTGACCCACAAATCCCCAGGTGTTACCTCTAAACACCTTATTCGATTACTTGCTACAAGTTACTTTACAATCGGCAGTAATTACAGACAAAATTACAACGGTAGTCAGCCATCATCCTATTTAATCCGCAATAATCTGTCTCAGTTCCTCACACAAAGGCTACTGTTAATCTTGGTTACCCCAAACACGCAATGCAGCAATAGATCTTAACGTATGGTGTGGACTTCATGAAGATGCTGTTGTGGGGGCGAGGGAGGTGGCGAGCATTGTTGGGTGGGTGGTCTAGAGGGGGTGTAGTGTAATGGATGTGAAGGCTGAGAGGGGTGATTGGGAAAGTTGGGTTTGGTTGTTGTTTAACACCACACTCAGCAATATTCCAGCTCTATGGCGGCGGTCTGTAAATAATCGAGTCTGGACCAGACAATCCAGTGATCAAAATCATGAGCATCGACCTACGCAATTGGGATACGATGAATTGGGAAAGTGGCGAGGGGTTGAGGGTGAGGTGATGTATTAGGGGTGTAGGCTGAGAGATGTGAAGGGGGAAATGGTTAGGATTGTGGGGTGTGGGGGTGATTGGTATGAGGGGTAAGCTGTTGGGGTTAAGGATGATGAGGGTGTAAAGTATCATGGAGGAACGATAGTGCTGGTAAAGTGAAGCCTACCATACAAATGTTACTTTGTTTTCAATTCTAAATACCACTTTAGTCCGTTTGATTTCATTTGAGACCGATGAATTGCTCACTAACACAAAATCTAATTATTGCAACAACAGCAACTTTTGCACAGTCACATAAAATCGCCAGACCAACTCTGATGATCCGTCTGATAATTTTGGACACCAGAATATAAACTTGTTTGCGAGGTGTACGTGTGAAATTGAAATTTCACTGCACACGCTTGTTGATTACCTGGCTGTTCCACTGGCAAGTGCCCTCCCCTCCCCCCCCCCCCCTTTTGGAAAGTAATAGCGAAAAAGTGACAACAAAATAATGATCGATTCTGGTGTCCAAAATTATGAGACAAATCATCAGGTTATCAGGTTGTCTATCGATGTCAAGTGACTGTCCACAATTTGGTTTAGTTGCAATTATTAGATTTTGTGTTAGTGAGCAATTCATCGGTCTCAAATGAAGTCAGACGGACTATAGATTATTCACTTGAAGCACAAACACGGAAGCCAAAACCACGAGCACGACTGCGTTATTTATATGCGTTTTGGGGATGTATATCTCACGGAAGTATAAGCAACTATGGCGCCAATGTGATACAAAATCAGGGGACACTGGGTAACAACATCACATAACGACTGAGAGAGCTGTAGACGCCCCGGGTGTTCCAGACCCCGTGTTGCCAGCATTGCATATCTTTCCTCCTGAGATTCGGTAATGGCAGTGGCGACACCTTCTTGCCTCTGTCATGTCACATTATACAAGGGCTAGTAGTTTTGTCACCACTGATTCCCAGCAAAGGTTTTTTAGAAAGCTTGACCACTGCTGTAGCTTGACCACTGCTGTAGCAACGTGAATATTATCACCACTGTTTTTATTGCTAATGATCACTGTATTGTATAAAATATTGCTAATTGTTTTTGTACCACCATTGTTGTTTTTTGCAGTAATTTCTTTTCTTTTCTATCTTAGTTCATTAAAAAATATACAACATATATATTTCCTTTGCTTTCACGTTGAATTCTTTCAGCAACAAACCCTTTCTTAACAGATTGGAAAACTTGGAAAAAAATTGTATTCCGAATATTAGTCAAGTTCTGATCATTTGAGCTTGTTTCTCAAAATCAGATACGTCAAGCCTGCAATGACAAGACACAAATCCTATTTCAATACAAATATGTTATTACATAATTATTTCCAGTGCCTGTTCTCCACTACCGTTCTATTCTAGGACATAATCCGAGTATTCCGAGTGATATTGTGCTGTAATGAGGGGTAGGAGACGGTATCGACCAGGCAGTGAGTAGAGCTCCAGCACAACCATAGGTCAGAACCTTCTGACCGCGTTGTCATAGCTGAAGACAAGTGCCGTATTCAGTGTAATCGTATCCCATCTGTATAGATCGATGCTTATTATGTCAATCAATGGATTGTCTGGTCCAGACTCGATTATTTACAGATCGTCGTCATATACCTAGACTATTGCTGAGCGTCGCGTTAAACAGCAACAAACACAATCTTACAAGGACAAGTATATTCAACATTGAACTTCTTCAAACCTGACATCCTGGGGCTGTCCCTAAAAGAACACCCGGCGATGGTCTCTAGAAGGACACCCTGAGATGCTCACTAGAAGGACACCCTGCGATGGTCTCTAGAAGGACACCCTCATATGGTCCATAGAATGACACCCTGCGATGGTCTCTAGGACACCCTGCGATGGTCTCTAGAAGGACACCCTGAGATGGTCCATAGAATGACACACTGCGATGGTCTCTAGAAGGACACCTAGTCTGTCTCACAGTCCCTGATCCACATTATTTTCCCGACTGCCAAGCCCTCTCTTGCAGTGCTAAAGCCCTAAATAAAGCAAGTCTAGATTTCCTCAGGTTCTGAATCCCTGGTCTCCCTGGGGCTCCTTTTCAATTTAAATGGGCTTGTTTGTTACTATCAAAATTATATATATGCAGAGACTAAGCATCAGTCTAGAAGAACACCCAGAGATGGTCCCTAGAAGAGCACCCAGACATGGTATCTAGAAAGGACAACCTGCGATGGTCTCTAGAAGGACTCCCTGAGATGGTCTCTAGAAGGACACCCTGAGAAGGTCCCTAGAATAACACCCGGCAATGGTCTCTAGAAGGACACCCTGAGAAGGTCCCTAGAAGAACACCCTGCGAAGGCCCCTAGAAGAACACCCTGCGATGGTCACTATAAGGACACCCTGAGATGGTTACTAGAAGGACACCCACAGATGGTCCTTACAATGACACCCTGCGATGGTCTCTAGAAGGGCACCCTGAGATGGTCTCTAGAAGGACACCCTGAGATGGTCCCTACAATGACACCCTGGGAAGGTCCCTAGAAGGACAAATACCGACACAAGTAAACAACACCGAGTAACAACTCGCGTTCAATCTGCCCTGATATGGCGGTTGTTCTCACGCCATTGTTCGTCATGGCTTGTGATTCTTTTAAAATATAAAAGACTATAAAACTGCTGATCTCTTAACCCTTCGCCCATATCTATCGATTAACGAAGGCTGAGGTTAACTAAAGGGTATTCTATGTTTGTTATCCACCATCGTTCCAACCTTTGATCCAATTATTACAGTCATGTCACGGGTTCTACTAATTATCTGTATGCCGAACAATACCCACAATTGTAATCCCAGTGACAAACTCATTCCAGGACAATGGTTTTGGGCGCCTTACAAACATGTGATTGGATATATTGATATTTGATACATCACCGACAAGCACCGTTAACTCAATCGGTATATGCAGATGTGATTCTTGATAGCACGGCTTTGTACTGTCGGCTGTGGGGAACAATGACCTCTGTAGTTCACAGTTGACAATATACGTGTCATGCTTGTTTGGGACATGTTTTCGGGGATATTAATAAAATGATAAAACGGTTATATTGTTGAAATATGTTTCTTAATATACACTGTCAACAAGCATTTATAACATGTATCACAACGGACACTCCCAATACTAAATTGACACTTTAACTTGTGACAAAAAACAACACTACTAAAAACCATCTCACATGACTATATGCTCAAATTATATTTTCCATCAATATACATTCCTTTTGAAACTTTTAACTATATGACCATTATTTAATGCATACACACATAGTACCATATGTTGTTAATTATTTTGAAACCTTGTTAAACCGAACGGGTTACATTTCCTTGGATGAACACATATCAAAATGAACACATCACGGGTGCTTGCTGTGTCCTATTGATATGTAGACGTTTGTTATACAGAGTTTCCGGATTCAGGGGGTTTCACTGCACAATGATCACAATTACTCCTTCAGCTTGAACTGTCCATGTGACATGCTCTTCTGTAGCCGTTGATGTTGACGTCCCAGCAGCTGGCTGAAGCTGATGTTTCCTAGGCTACTGCTGTGGAGACCTTTCCGATTGCTGCTGCCGAGGTACTGACCCAGCTGGTGGTGGTTGATGCTGTTGCTGCGCTGGTGACCCATCAGATGGGTGTTGCTGTTGTTGCTGTGCTGGCCAAGGCTGTTGCTTGTGGTGTTGCTGAAACTGGTCCCATCTTCATGAATCTTCTGCAGGTGTTGCAAGTGGTCCGTATCACCCCACGATTTATCCCCAGGACTCTGATCGTCGTTTGACTGTTTTAGGCTTCTGAGAGATTCAGTGTCGACACCGTCGTTGATAAGATTATGCTGATTGAAACGCGCTATACTCTCCGCAACTCTCCCAACAGCCCGGAATCTGTTCAAATGATGAGAACGCTTTTTGTCCAACAACATCGCATCAACATAAAATCTCATCTGTTTCGGAGTCGTCGGAACATATTTCACACCTGTCCTATAAGACGAACAAAGTTGAGGCTGCCAAATATTAAACAGATGAACTAAAATATCATTAGAAGTGTAGGTCCGGCTAGGAACAGAACTGCGGGGTGAGATTTCACCAGCCTTGTTACTTTCGTTCTGTGTTTTTGCGCTTCCGTTTCTCAACGTCCTTGACCTTGGTGTGAATGATGTGGCAGTCTGAGGACGGGGTTGCGATGGGGACATTTTCCGAATCACGCTTCCTGACACAGGTCTTGATGCACGTGGGACATTTGCACGTGACGTGTCTCTTATAACGTCAAGTCGTTTCGAGACCGATGATTTCTGCGTAGACGCTGTGCTAGGTCGTGACAATGACGTTGTACTGGGACGTGACACTGACGTTGTGCTAGGACGTGACAATGACGTTGTACTGGGACGTGACACTGACCGAAAAGGTACTATCCTCCTCGTTCCATCCTTTGCTTTGTATGCATGTCCACCACTTGCACTAGAACGATCACTTCTCACAGAACGAACTACCGACGGACAGGACGATGCCATCGACATCGCTGTGCTCGACCGCGAGAGCGTCAAAGGCATTGACGCTGCTCTGGTGATCACTGTATTTACTTACAACGTTCGCGCACCACCGACCTCCAACCAGTTCAGCCGATCTCCAGTCTGCCTTCCCACAAAGCACCTCCACAACTGATAGTTGCATGTAGCCTTACCGTCAGTGGGTACTTTGTTTCCAATTTCGTAACCTGAATGATTATATTTGTCGCCGTCTCGAACAAGTAATCCTCCTAAGAACGCTTCTCATTACGCCTGGATTGACAACAGCTCGTGTGAAATACCATGACATCGTCCAGGAAAACAACGCCTTGAGGTCATGTCATGTCACTGTAACCATCACGGGGGCGGTTTCAAAAGCATATCTGTATAATAAGAAAATTATGTCAAATATTCTAATTTTCTATATATTTTCTGTACTTTTGTAACAGAACGATTGAGATACAACAACATCATCGGATTTTAATTATTCAAATAATTATACGGTGCTAAGAAAGCACAAATGGTAACAAATAGGCAAGAAAATGATGACATATACGTAAAGCGTACCTTATTACATCTTGGTAAACAATATTAAGAAGCATGTCGAAGACTGTTACCCGTCAGTTAACGTCATTTGTAGAGGATTTAGTACCAGACATGTCAAAAGACCAGACGCCACACGTCAATCCAATGAAGCCAAACATCCGTGTCAAATCCGTCTTTAATCCAGTTAAACCATAGCGTCTGAAGCTGGTGGAGTCACGTGATCACTGAGCTGGGTGGAAAGGTAAGACGCGCAGTACAGCTCGACTGTGACTAGATTCTTCATGCCCTTATGTGTTGAAAACTCCACGGCAACTCAAATCGCCCACAGCGTGTAGGGGTAGGGTGGAGGTCATTCGTGGAAGGTCCCTGCCATGCTCCACTGACCGTTTTATCCACCCTGCCAACAATCAGATTGTGCCTTGTCTTACGGGTGGAGGCGCGGACGATATAACACAGATTTCGTCATAAAACTGATCTTTGAGTTGAACCAGATGACGTGATTACGCCATGTTCAACATACAGGGTTTACTCGGGTGACTGCAGAGAGCATTCGTGATATTCCACTAGCTGTCCCTTGCGTACCTCCGTACACAGATATCATCTTCCATCAGTGGTGATCACCTTACAGCTCCTGGGAGACGTCGAGTTGTTTAATTATTTATTTGAAACGTTTTCGTGACGTGCTGTTACCTGCATTGTTCAGCATCCATTGCGGTCAAACGCCAGCTGTAGCCGATTGCCAGCATTTCTTTTCATTTCGTGGTGATGGAAATTGGGTGGTTTCAATTACAGACATGTTTTAAGGAAACATGTTTATGTACTGACGGAGTGCGCTCTCGCATGTGCGTTGATGTATTGTGTAACGTGATCGATGATTGAAAAGTGTAATCGATTTGATCACGGGACTGTGAACATAACACCCACCTATAGGTCTCGGAGGTGTTTTGAAATGGGATTTAGCGTCTTGTTCAGGATAACTGCACTCATACAGTGACATGTTACCTTATGGAAAGTCGAGGTCCCATTGATTTCCCTTCATACTGCACCATATATAAAGTTCAGGATACATGCTCTCTCTGTCGTTTCGGAACCAGATGTAAAGTTGTATTCCGTTACCTTATAACAGCAAGACATACTCACGGAAGCGAATATGGGAAAACATGAAAACATTACAAGGGTTCCTTAATTTATTTCCAGATTTTCACCCACAGCGCAATATAAAGCATGGCAAGAAACCCGGAAATGAGTATAGGAAGACTTGCACTTTCGTCTGTTCCTTTATTCGTTTCCATGAGTATATATAAGTTGAAGCCTCTGTTCTCAGATACTAGTCCAGTTTAACATGTACCGAGGACAATGATGTTGGCTGTGTAGAGATTGTGTGTTGTGGTCGATAGTCAGGCTATTCTTTGACTGGCATTCTAGAAGTTGAGGAGATGAAGAATGAGGACAATTTTTATGGATATATAACTTCTTTATTCTGTATGGGCGAGTTTCAACATAGATTTTAATGTCGTTGTCAAACAAGTGGTGTTAGTCAGGAGAGTACATCATGTACACATTGACGGTAAGGTGTCATATATACGATAGAGCTAGAACCCATGTCTATATTCGTGAGATATCTCTACTGAAAGAAGAGTCTATTGTACCATTCCGACTACATTACTTACTAGCATACAGTGTTGATATCAGGTATTGGGGGTTGGCGTATGCTGCCCTGTAGGTCAGACTCGTCATTAACACATGCAAAGGCAAGTCAATTGTTCAACTTAAACACGGAGTGAGTGAGTTTAGTTTTACGCCGCTTTAAGCAATATTCCAGCAATATCAAGGCGGGAGACACCAGAAAAGAGCACATATTGTATCTATGTGGGGAATCGAACCCAGATCATCCACGTGACGAGAGAACACTTTAACCACTAGCCTACCCCACCGCCCACTTAAACACGGAGACATGTGGTACAAGTCTAAATCGGAATTGCATTGAGCAGCATTTTCCTTTCTGATGCGTCAACTTTATAAAAGTCATCCCCATCTCTACCCTCTAACGTTTTGAAATCTTTAATTAGAGCTTGACTACATGTATTATATCCCTGATTGAACAATCTTTGTATAGAATGTTTGGCAATGTATTTCATTAATGGTTCTATACAAATACATAACAATATGATATCATACACAACCAGCTGAAACTCCTTGCTATATTCGGATGATGAAGGCACACCTGTCAAAATATGAAAAAAAATACATGCTACAAGAAATATACAGTGTTCACGTATTCTAAACAAACACGGAACATCTTTGAGAGGTATTAAGAAGTTAGAGCAGTAACGGATAAGAACATAAAGATGCACAACTTCTTTATTACAGGGAGAGCGAGTAGGTTTGGTGTAGGTTGTAACACCGTTATGTTGCGAGCGAAATAAGGGGAAAACATGAGGTGAGGTGAGGTGAAATTGGGTTTAACATCGTGCTTGAGAGTATTGCGCTCATATGACGACGTGCATGCGTGAGTATGTGTATGTGCGGCTGCTTGTACTAGCCCAGACTGAAGCTGGTGTTATAGTGCTAGCCCACTGAGATACCATGCAGCAGTGAAGCATGAATACCCCACTCAGACACATTATACTGACTCCGAGCCGACCAGTCCTTGATGTACCCATTAATGCCGAGCGCCAGGCAGGGACCAACAAGTACCATATTTTAACGTCTTTTGCTATGACGCGGTCGGGGATCGAACCCGCGACCTTCCGTTGGGAAAACATGAAACACAACACCCAAGTATTGTTGATAAGGTTATATCCCACGGAGCCATGACGACGTACACATCAACGTCATCTACATCCCAACACCATACACATAGCATCGTCATCAACATAGCAACATCATCTACACAACAATATCATGCACATGGCAACGTCATCCACATAGAAACACAGTTCGTTAATTAGACACTTGACGGTCACTATCTTAAAGGCAAAAGTCTATGGAATATAACTGCCCTGTCCATGTTGACGTCTCCAGACGAGGTGGAGATAAAGGCAACAAAGCAAACGTAGGGAAAAACTGCTCGGACTTACGTGTTAGAGTTCGGCATTCAAGAACTAACCCTGCGCATCCCCGCAAAGCATCATATAATCATCGGCAGGGCCTCGACTTGTGGGGAGTAAATGAAGCGTTCGTAAAATGTGTTGGTTTGTCAGTTTGTTATTTCAAAACTCTACTGAAGACGTGAAATACTGAACATACCACGTCAACAACAACGACAGAATTTTTTTTTTTTAAATACAAATAACACCTCCGCAGCGATCAGGTCACTACATGCATTTGATGGTCAGACTTGCCATGTCAATCGTATTACGGCGGCGCTGGACATAGTACCAATCACTGGATTGTCGGGTCTAGACTTAGTATGGTACAATCACCCAAAATACAGCTTAACTACTGCTGAGTTTGGTATTTTTTTCGTTTTACGCCGCTTTTAGCAACATTCCAGCAATATCAGGGCGGGGGACAAGAAATGGGCTTCACACATTGTACTCACGTGGGGAATCGAGAACGGGTCTTCGGCGTGACGAGCCAACGCTTTAACCACTAGGCTACCCCACCGCCCCCACTACTGCTGAATGCAGAATCAATAAAGACATAGTACAAAGACTGACAACATGTGTTGCGTCTTTGTGAAAAAAAGAACCCGGTATTCGATAAGAGAATTCTTTAACAACAATGCCACACTTCCGTTATCTCTGTATAACACGCGGGACGGTGAGGTAGTCTAGTGGTTAACGCGATCGCTCGTCACGCCTAAGACCCGGGCTCAATTCCCCACATGGGTACAATGTCTGAAGCCCATTTCTGGTGTCCCCCGCTGTGATATTGCCGGAATATTGCCAAAAGCGACGTAAAACCAAACTAACTCATTGTATAACACTCTGCAAAAGTTGAACACCATGGTGTTCAATCACCGATATTTCAAATGTGACCTCAATCAGCATCAGTGCATTTTAATTGGACCGGTCGGAAGTGAGTCGCTCCCTACTAAACATGACTGACGGGTGTCAATGTGTGCGAAAACGCGCAAAATACGGACAAAACTCAAAAAACATGTTTGTTCCAAACTGAACGCCTTCAGGTGGTTCCGTCATAGTGTTCCATGACTGTGGAACGGATGTCATAAGACTTCGATAAAACATTTATGGATTAAGTTACCTGAACGTGATCCTTGAAACAATGAAAAGATCGGACAACCATCCCTTCCAAAATGCATAAACATACCAGTTAGGTACGGATCTTGAACGTGCCCTTCGATTGGTATTCAGCGTTTGTGACCTACTTGAGTAGGCGTGTAGCAGACGTCATGAGAACGTGAGTTGTTTTCAATAGATGTTGATGGAGGTTACACAAAATCAAACATTTTCCCATCGACAAAAGTCTTCTAAAGTAACGTTATACTGTTTTTGAAATTAACGAAGCTATCAACAGCTATTACATGTACTTGTGTGCATAGTCCTGCCGTAAAGAAGCAATAGAAATGATAAAATATGAACACCTCAAGCTGTTCTTTTCCGAGTACCGGAAGCTAAACAGACATATCCCAGTTCAGCACAGAATGCTAACTGCTTGAAAATACCTGTGGTCACGTGTGAAAAAAGGCAGCACTAAATGTTTAAAAATATGGTCAATTTTAATTACTGGATTGGTGTACATTTAAAACATGCAAATATCTTACACAAAATCAACCAATCACAGCTGTCAGATGATTCAGTCAGCACTGAAGGCTTCCTACGAAAAGTGCATGTTAAAATACAGATTCTGATTTGGTGTAGTGTAACCTAGAGACTCTGGGCGCGTTTGTCGGAGGTTCTTGAATATATGCCATCATTGATACAAAAAACACCTTAACCATGATTTGTGTCGACTTAAAAATAACTGGAAATGTAGACTTTTCTTCAAACGCCAATAAAAAGTGATATACTGGTCAGTTTTTATTGTGTCAGTGCCAATGAACATCGCACGCTACATACCTATTAAGGGATAGTTCATATTTCATATAAAAATACAGTTTACAGTCAAAAGAGAGGTAACATATGCATTAACTTATTGGAGGTTTATGAGATGTTATTGATGGTGATTACGTTTTGTACATGCATATATGTAGTGTTTTTATGACATCCAGGTCAGACCTATGGTTATAGCGGAGCTCGCCACTTGCCGCCTTGTCGATACCGTCTGATACCCCTCATTACAGAACAATGTATCACGGAATACTCGGCTTATGTTACTGGAATAGAATGGTTTCTCAAAGCAGGCAACGGAAATAGTTCTGAAATACCATGTTGTCTGGGAAGTGGGATTGGTGTCTTAGTCTTTGTCTTTCTGTTTTTTTAGGAAATATTAATATTCCAATAAAGCATCATATCCGTAGCAACACGTTGAAATTACAGCTTAGAATATGCCCCCAACCTATGTTTGTCGTTTGTTTGTTTGTTTGTTTGTTATTTAACGCCGCTCTCAGCAATATTCCAGCTATATAATCGAGTCTGAACTGGACATTCCAGTGATCAACATCATGAGATCATCATCAACAACGATCAGCGCAATTTTGAGACGAGTATACGTGTCGACCTAGTCAGGGTGCCTGACCACCCGACCCCGTTAGTCGGCTCCTACGACAAGCATGAGGTTGCTGAAGGCCAATTCTAACCCGGATCTTCACGGGATCTATGCTTGTCGTAAGAGGCAACTAAATGGATCAGGGACGGGTCGATTACATCAT